ATGTTGGCACACTTCTTTTTATCATGGATTACATGAATTAGTTTAAAAATAAAACACGGCCGGCGGGATGTTTGGGCCCATCGATTTGGCCCCTATGACCTATGGGGGTCTGGCCTCCGGCCCCCCTTAGCTTCCCCATTGCTCTACGGTCCACACGCTGGCTTTGGGGCCCCATAAAGGCCGCACGCCAGCTCCTGAGACCCAACGCCGGCAATTCTAAGGGTCACCGGCGCACCGCACACGGTCTTTGAAGGTCCCATAACGGCCTCTGGAATACCTCATGTACATAGAACTAGATGCCGGCAGCGCTCTTGCGTTGCCTTGGGCCAGAATTGGAGGAACGGTGCTGAGGGCACACACCGGGCAAAACCACCGAAACCCAGACTGAGCTTGGACTGAACCAGGAACCTGAAACCAACCGAAACATCCCAAAAATGCTTGAAAGCACGCGAGATTGGTGTGGATATCTACCTACAGTAAGATATGAATTAACTGCACGTGCATAGTTCATGCCCCAGGCACCCCAGTGCAGTCATTTTCATGACATCATGTAGCGTGTGTCTAGTTCTATCAGTGTACCGACTTTTGTGTCGCTAGATCGACGTTTCCCGGGATCAGAGGATCCCTCGTCAAAACCGTTATCCGCCCCCCGCACGCGCAGCTTGCACCCCTCGGATATTATCTCGCCGGAATGTCGTGATCAAATGTATTCTTCTTATGACCTGCAAGTTTTGAACCAGTTAGAGCTGCCGTTTACCCTGCAGGCGTGGCAACGTACGAAGGGGTGCAATCGGCTTGCACGTGCATAGCTCATGCACCACAGAGTTTAGCTCAACCAAATGTGCATTATTTTGGAGGCCTTGCCTGGGACTACCATTGAACCGATTTTGAGGTTGATAGCTTAAAATTTCTTTGAGCCAGAGGACCTCACGTCAAAACGGTTTTCCGCCCCCAGCACGTGCAGCCTGCACCCCTAGCAGACGGTGACCCCACTGGAAACTGGTTCAAGGTGTTAACGATGTGTCCCGCCAGTATGGCTTTGCCCGTGACCTCTGGTTGACCTGTAGCCTTGACAAAAAATTTCGTGTCACCGAAACTTTGAAGCGGAATAGCATGTGCCACGAAGCACCGAGCGAACCGAGGCCAGCACCAAAAGTTTACCTCGCCGGAGACGAATCAAACGGTCCCACTTTCGTCCCGATCGGTCCACCCATTTTGACTCCAGGACCAAAAAAGCTTGGACAAACTCACATACTCACTCACTGACAAACAGGTTCAGGATCTCAGGTATCTCAGGAATCGGCCTGGGGCCTTCAAGAGCCAGTTAGGGCCCTCGGAAAGTGGCATTATACCCTGAGATAGCTGTGTAAGGCCCTCGGGTAACGGCTTGGAGCCCTCGGGCATCGGCCTGCGCCCCGGGCATTGGCCAGAGGTCCTTGGATATCGGTCTAGGGCCCCTCAAGAGCCGGTGAGGGCCTTCAGAAACTGGGGTGGGGCCCTGAGATAACTGTGGGGGCTTTCAGGTGCTGATGCGGGACCCTTAGGCATCGGCCCCAAGAGGAGGTTAAGGAGGGCAGGGGGCAGGGGCCCTCAAGAGCCGGTTAGGGCCCTCAGAAACTGGCGTGGATCCCTGAGCTAGCCATGTAGGTACTCAGACACCGGCGTGGGACCTTTAGACATCGACTTGGGGCCCTCGGGCATCGGCCTGGGCCCTCAAGAGCCGGTGGGAGCACTAAAAATGGCGTGGGTGGGGTTCTGAGATAACCCCTGAGATAACACTAGAGCCTGTTCACGCCTTCAGGCACCGGTGCGGGACCATCAGGCTCGCGCTGGGGCCCTCGAGAATCGGCTTGGGACACTCAAGCGCCAGGGCCGCATGGGCCCCCACAACGAACTGTGGGTGTGCAAAAATAGGTGTTTGCACACCCTCAGGATTTTCAGGGTGTGCAATTGCACACCCTGCCCCCCGGAATCCGCGGTCCCTGCCTGTCATAGCTACACAGACTGAACAATCGGTCTAAAACGTTGGCGGCGATTACTAAGAGCACCATATAGGTATACGTAAAGTATCTTATCCATAGTGAAGTATCAATTGTCCATAGTAAAGTAGCTTATCCATAGTAGGTGTCAACCACCACTGATGGCGTCGTAACATATTACGAAGGCACTAAAACTACAACTTCTTAAATGTTAAACTGAATGCTAAATTCGAAATCAGCTCCAAAAACTGTCCTAGAAACATGTAAAACTCGAAAAGGTGAGCCAAGGTCATTAAAGGTCAGTGATCTTGACCTTACTTTCACGTGACCTTGACACCCACCATATTGCATGTGACTAACAATCAACATCATATCACATGTTTGAACGCTTGAAACCACGAAAAGACAGCAAACGCGCGGCTAGTGCGCGCCGACGTACGCCGAATCACGATTCCGGCCAAACGTGGCCTCGTAATAATAACTTAATATCAGATGCTGATCTCCCGCTTCTCAGTCAAGTTAGAGCCATTTCTTCTTGGCCGCGGTCACCGGCCCAGGCCACCACATGATATTAAGTTATTATTACGAGGCCACGTTTGGCCGGAATCGTGATTCGGCGTACGTCGGCGCGCACTAGCCGCGCGTTTGCTGTCTTTTCGTGGTTTCAAGCGTTCAAACATGTGATATGATGTTGGTCACATGCGATATGGTGGGTGTCAAGGTCACGTGAAAATGTGGTCAAGGTCACTGACCTTTAATGACCTTGGTTCACCTTTTCGAGTTTTACATGTTTCTAGGACAGTTTTTGGAGCTGATTTCGAATCAAGCATTCAGTTTAAAAGTTATAGTTTTAGTGCCTTCAAAACATGTTACAACGCCATCAGTGGTGGTTGACACCTACTATGGATAAGCTACTTTACTATGGATAATTGATACTTTACTATGGATAAGATACTTTACGTATACCTATACGGTGCTCTTAGTAATCGCCGCCAACGTTTTAGATCGATTGTTCAGTCTGTGTAGCTATGACAGGCATTATAACTTTTCCTAAGGTAAGGCCACTTGGACGTAACCTGGTGACCTAACTTTGAGTGACCTGGGTCTGAAAGTTATGCAGCATGTGTGAAAAAGATTCATGAAAGGGTGTGCTAAAAACGGCGGCGCTCCACAACGCCGTTTTCGAGATATTTACATAAACCTACATGGGGTGTCCAAGCATCCCCACCGACCGGCGCGGATAATTTTTTGCACGTGCAGAGCGCACCTTTGGGGTCCACCAGGAGATAGATATGCTCAATAACTATGCTCGAATGCATTCTGGGTGGCCTGTGTAAATTTGGCACTTTGAGCTTGCTAGCGCTACCCGCTCTGCCCGTATATGTGTCACAGAGTGCAACATCAAAAGGTTTGCACGTGCACAGCACGTGCACCGTGTACCCCAGCACATCTATTTGCACAGCGCCTTAACCCTCGCCGGACCTATTGGTTTTCTACATACGCGCCGGCCGAGGGGGGGGGCGGGTACGACCCCCCCTCGCCGTTTCGCCCCTGGTGGAGCTAGCGCGTCGCGGAAAAAACGAGCGTGTGCGCCGTTACGAGACGCAGAGATTGGTACCCGATTTTAAGGTCCTAGGTCAACCGGTGACCTCTGAGGTCAGGTCAAGTGCCCCAAGGTACGGTTCAGTTTTTGGTGAATAACTTCGCAAAAAACGGCCGCAGAGCGCCGATTTTGGCAGCATCGTGTTCGCCTCCTCGCTCAGGCGCGTCGAATGATATACTTTTTGTCCGGGTCAGGTCAACTTGGGGTGTTGACCTCAGGTCAAGGTCAGGTCAGCACCCCCAGGTCACGAAGTTGGTCGAAAGAGGTCATGTCGCATATCATTCGATTCGGCAGGCCTTCCTGAGTCCATTGGTGCCTTCCCCGACTCGCTAGCTCAATTTGATCAAGAGTTATTGACGAAAAACTAATTTGACCTTGATGACGTCATAAATGACGTCACGCAAGGTCAACATTGCAAAAGTGACGCATTTAACCTTGCAAGGAGTGCATCAAATCACGATTCTGTGTGCTTGAGATAGTTGGAGATCGTTCCCGGCGCCAGAATAGCAGTTTTCATTTTTCCCCATTGACTTATAATGGTGAGGTCACGAAAATGACCTGACCTCATATGACCTTTAGGAAAAATCCGAGATATACAAGTTGTGGGACTCATAATGGATACTAGATCCTGCAAGTTTCATTTCCCTGTGACATCTCCTCTGGCAGTGAGGGCGTTGCGAAGTTGCGACATCTGAAGACCGTGCAGAGGTTCACTTATGACGTCATAGGTCAGTGACCTGACCTGACCCAAAAATGCGGTTGGTGTCAAAAGATGCGGCTTGGATCAAAGGTCAGGTATGCCAAGTTTCAGCTCTCTATCGCCAGCGTGTTCGGAGCTATCGCGAAAAAACCCTATGGGGGGGCGGCACCCGCCCCCCCCCCTCGGCCGGCGAGGGTTAAAGCGCTCGTCCAGTAGTGTCAGTGTGCCAAATTTGGTGTGCCTAGGTCAAGGTTTTCCGGAATCGGAGGATGCATCCTCAAAACATGTTTTTCGCCCCTGGCGCGTGCATTCCGCACCCCCTGCTGCCGAGCATACCATATGTTAATGGTCAAACACCGGAACATGTGACCTGTGAATTTGGCACCTGTGCCGCCCACCGTTTAATTTGGAGCGTCGCTTAAAGGTTTTTGCCCTTCCCGACTTTGTCAGCTCGTGGCACGCGCCACGTGACACCGAATGACCTGTGACATGCATCATCACCTGCCTCAAGGCATTACCCATCGAACGGTACCACCCGTACCACCAGCATCTCGATCCGATCATCCGTTTAGACGCAATTCCAATTGTAATGGTTCGATGATCTTTCAGAGCACGGGTTTTTGGCAACGTAAAATGGCGCCTTGTCGGCTTCACCTGAATGGAGGTGGTTGCGGGTCCAGTTTAATTATACGTCCGTGCGTCCGGGCCCAAAATGCCGTTCGATGTCGCACGGACGGCAAAGATTCTACGTGACGTCACGTAGAATCTTTGCCGTCCGCGCAGAATCTTTTGAGCGTACTACGGTGGGCAGAGAGGCAATGATGGCGCGTATTTCAAAAGCGGCGCAGCAGCTGTTTGCAGAAGTTGTTGACATTTGTGCGCGGTCTCTATGGAAACGTAAACTTGGACCTTTTCGAAACTGACGCACATTGTGTAAATGGCGCACAAAATGGCCGGTCTCGTCGTCCGACTGTGTGCTTCATCGAACGCAAAATAGAATATTCTGCGTAGAATGTTCTTCGTCCGAGGAGACATCGAACGCGGCCTTAACCTATTGTGATTATTTGGTTTGGTGGGTTATTATTGTCACATTATTGTGTGAATTATTGTTAACTCAAACCCAAGGCTATAGCCTATATACATGGGCGCCGCCACCGGGGGGGACGGGGGGGACGCGTCCCCCCACTCTCAGAATGGAAGGGGGACGTCCCCCCCAAACTCATTACGGAGCGAGCGAAGCGAGCGTAGTCTTTCGTAGGTTAACGGAAATTTCTGAGTATGCCGTGGTCACGCTTTTGCTAGGCGCGACCGGTCAAGTGGTCTCAGCAACCACTTGACCGATTTACATGCGGTAATTTTTGTAGGGTAGCACTAGATTCATTCCTTCTAACGAGCATCGGACTATTCCCGATGCATGTGAGTGACCCCATATGCACGTGCCACGTGAAAAACGAAGAGGTGTCAGTTTTGTAACAATTTCAATATCTCGGCAACTACTGGGCCGATTGCGCTGAAAGTTGGCATGTAGGTATTGGTATACCCACTAGGCAATGCATATCCATCGTTAGGGACCGGTTAGAAGGGTGCAGTGCACAAGTTAGTTGTAGGTATCCCCTCGCAATTTCGCACGTGCAAGGCCCACCCCACCCTCTCGCTCGCTCGCTCCGTTGGTCGCCCAAAAAGGCGTTTTACTGGTTGTTACCCTACTCGAAATTTGATTAGGCCCTTCGGTCCAATGAGACCATTTCAGAGCTGCAAGTATGAAAGAATTAGTGGGAGACATTGGTCGGGGCAGCCACCCCAGTGAGCCACTTGGGATGAACCCGACCAATTGAACAGGCAGCCCAGCCCACTGGCACTCACTGCACCCGGCAAAGGACTATAGCTCCAGTGGAGCCATTCCCGCATGGGATAGAGTTGCCCGTCCAGCCCGGAGCAGGGGGTTGCGGCATGGAGGAGAAGGATTTGACTGTCCTGAGGATGGAAGAGATGGAACGGCCGGTGCCGAATCTGAGAGGGTCCAGGAGGTTTAGATACTCAGTATATGGGGTGTGGGCCTACATGCATTGGTCTGACCCCTGCCACCTCGGCCAACAAAACCTCCAGCTCTTATCCGACCTGTCACCGCGGAACTGCCGATTTTTGATATCGTGATCAACGTGTGTCGTATAACACGACTGGCCGAACACGGGCCTAATATATTTTGTCTAACCAGCCAAGAACATGACTTTACACCAATCCAACCTTGAAGTCAAAATCCGAACATTTTCGAAGACTTCAACTCCGACTCTGGCCAAAACTGGCCAAAACAGTCAACTCCGACTGATTCCGACTCCGACCCCACACTTCTGCAGTCACGCTACACTAAATTTCCAGCTTCTAAGAAATAAGCTATACGGTTGACAGGACCACAAAACTTTGAGGCGACTTGACTACTTGACTTGGTTTTCCTGACCTAAGGTTTTCTGGTATCAAGCTTGTTACACGGGCTGCAAAATTCGTATTTTGGAGCAGTTTTGCCTAATGTTTTTGCAAATTTTCGCGGCGCTTCGCGCCGATTCGTGCATAACCCTAAAAGAGAGATTTGTGACTATACAACGCCCCCTCCCCCCACGCGGGTATGCAATATGCATCACCTATGCAATATGCATTATCGATGATATTAGTGGCATACATCAGCAATTATACCGTGATAGAACACGAGGCTTTGCCGTGTCAAACTGAATCGGACATCTGAGGCCTCTTGCACCAAACTACCTAGCTAGGTAAAATCGAAAAACCGGTTTCAGAATAAGCTAATCTAACGGTGGTAAATTTGTTTGCAATAGCCCAATACATAATCCTACATGTGCTTGCTAAATTTTGCACGCAAATTGTTACATTTGAGACTTGGACTGGGTATAGGATGCAAAATAATCCAAGAATTGGTGCAAGAGGATTTTGGTGCAAGAGGCCTCAGATGTGTGTAATGTGTATAATTCGGTAGGTACTCTGTGGGAATGCGGTCTATAGCCATTACTTTAAGGAAATACCTTAACACATGGGTGTCCATTTCCGCCAAGTCGGGGGTGCCCGAGCTCTCCAAATTCCCCGCCGGCTCGGCCGGTTTGGCTTTGGAGCCTCAACAGACCGCGCGGGTCAAGGTCACCGCTAGGGCGGCGGCGGATTTGCTGCGCTCGGGCACCCCCAACTCGGTAGAAATCGACACCTATGTACCTAAACTACTTTCCTCAAACCAGTTGTTTTGTCACAGTTCTATGAGTTTTTAAACTTAAAATGGTCAGGAAATAATGAATATTTGCAAAAGGATTTTTTTTTACATCACTATTTTCCATCTTTCGTAGAGGCTACTTACCTATGTATTGCAGCGGAAGCTCATTACGCGTTGACCAAGCATAGTACGTAGTTCAAACCAGCTGAATACTGATTGGCTAGCATTTTTCCGTAAGGGAATGGATTCCTCGGTAAGAGAATGACAAAGTGTAATCTATGGGAATAACTTCAGTCTTCAAACCTAAAATCGATGCCGATATATTTGGCTAGGGTGATCGTTGGGCCTTAAAAGCTCCTGATTTGTTCTCGTCTCAGCTCAAGCTACAACACTGTTACTTCAGTTCAAACCCTATGTTAAAAGTGGCATATTTGCTTTAAACGTTGAATGCATCCGAAAGGCCACGGTAAGAATGTCTACTTTTGGGTTTTCAGTGGGTCAGTCCGTCCCCCCCAGTCAAAAATCCGTGGCGGCGCCCCTGCCTATATAAATAAACCCTCGAACCCCTAATACTGATACCAATTTGGTAACCGTCCCATTTTGTCTTTGGCTTATGGCTTGCAGCTACAAGCATTTTTGTTTGAAAAGAAATCTGACAACATATCAATTGTCAATTGTCCAGTATCTGACTCAAAGATTGCCATTGCATTCTTTGTTGATTTTTATGTTCTAGTTAAGGCCTATGAGCTGAAAACAGGCATGTTTTTAAATTCAAAACTTTTTGACTAGAAACTAGAAAGGGCAATATCATTAATTCAAAAGTTACATAGCAATTAGTAGGCCTATTCCTCATAACAGCATTCACAATAATAACTTGTGATTCAAATGATACAACAAGGCATTGGCCAGAGGGCCATTCACTGGCCCTGTGTGGGGTCGGACCGCACACAGCCTCCAAGCTCCAACCACTGCGTCCCTACGTCAGCCTTCCGTCACCGCACACAGCGACCGCTGTGGCCGGTCGGGACCTCACACAGCCGTGCTGTCAGAACTGCCTACCCATCCCCTACCCCCACGCCTGCTGCACACACCGCACGCAGCAGGGTGCGGTGCCCGTGAACACCCCCAGGGCACTGCTCTGAGGTCTTACTCATTCACTTATTAACTTCATTTCTATTTTCTTACTTCAGCAGAAGCAAGCTGATGCTGAGTTGAGCTACACTGAGGCAAACAATGGGTGCAAACAGTGCAGATACAGTGCTCTCTGGGCACACCAACGATGTCAACAGCTGTGACTGCTCTGCCAGCGGTCTGATCGTCACAGGCTCCAGGTGAAAGAAATGTGTATGCTGGACTCTGCATGCAGTTTAACTGGGTGACCTGGCTGGTGGGATGTGTTGTGCTATTGAACCTGCCATGCTCCACTGGGCTTTGGTAAAAGTTGGTTAAAGGGCTGGCTGAGGCCTAGCAGCTAGTATTGCTATGATATTATTCATGAGTTTTCTTTACTAAATATGTGAATTGAAGCATGGCTGACGCAGGGAATTGCTCATGGAAATGATTGTCATAAATAATCAGACTGTTCCTTTGTATAACTCTAATCTACGTTGATTCCAAAATTTCAGGTGAACCAGGTTTGACCTGCCAGGCCAACCTGCTCTAATCTCAATTTGTCCTGTACAGCAGCGAGTGTAGATATAAAGAGTAAAATGTTAATGTGTAATTGTGTAGTGATTGGATGATATTCTGCGCCCAAAATTTTGCTCCTAGTGCACTCAATACAGATTTTGTTTTGACATCTGCTCCAGACCATTCCTGTAGGAGTTATCAGCCCAAAGGAAAATGTGCTGCTCTTACCACTGATTGGGTCAGCAGACTTGTCACTGATCTCACTGACACTCTTGCAAGGCTACTGAGGCAGGCTCATGACTGCAGCCATAACCGCTGTGTTTACATGTGTGCTACAGTGCACCCTAGTATAACCTCTGTCTGTGTGTCCCGCTGTGACCGGCAGTGATAAGACGGTGCGGGTGTGGTCGCGCCAGACGGCCGACCCCGCCGGTGCCGACCGGGACCAGTGGCAGGAGCTGGCCTACTCGCCGCTCACCTTCCATCTGTACACCGTGCACTGCGTGCGCTTCTCGCCGAACGGCGCCAGCTTCGCCTCGTGCTCCACAGACGGCACTGCCGTAATCTGGAACGCTAAGGTGTGTAGCAGGCACCGAACTTAGGCGCTTCAAATATAGTCATAATCGCCCTAAACAAAGCCTGTAATTTCTTGTCATTGAGTCTTGTGACATCTCAGGCTGTGTTTGATTATTGATATTCGTCCAATTGCTGGCTTGGGCCAGGGCGTCTACCATCTAACGACCTAATAATTGAGCTAGGTATGGTGGCGGAATAGGCGTGTAACTTGTCACCAGAGGTATCGCTGTGACCACTGCCAGTGACTGAGGTGACCGGCCGATGACGCCCCCCCCCCCCTGCCCTTCGCCGCAGACGGGGGTGACGGTGCACACGCTGCGTCACCCCTCCCAGTCGCCGCTGCGCGCCTGCTGTTTCTCTGTGGACGGAGCCCTGGTGGCCACCGGAGGGGATGACGGCGACGTCTGCGTCTGGAGCGCCGAACAGGCCGACCGGCCGCTGCTGTGAGTGACTCACGACACAGCCAAGTGACATTGCACACGAACGACGTAATGATAAGTTATTTTTCTGATCTTCCGAGATGCAAAAGATTTCTGATGAAGATGGAATCGTCAATATTTTATAAAGCAGTTCATTGCTGTGCATTTTTACAAGTACATTTAAAACTGTTTCAAGCGAGCACATCATGAGAATATCAGTTGCCCGCAATTCGTTCAACCTGGGTTCTAGTCTAGACCTGCTCAACTTCGTACCGCTAGCGTGGCAAGAGACATTTCTTGACTTAACCTTCGCCCCAGTGGGGGGGGGGGCATATGTTACCCTCCTGTCGCGTTTTTCGCGTGTGAATAAAAAACCGCGGCGCGTAGCGCCGCGCCGCTTGGGGTAGCTTTTGGTACATCAATTTTGGACAATGTGTGAAATTTTTGACCCCAGGTCATGTCAGGTCAGGTCACCAGGTCAAGTTAACTGACCAAGCCTTAAAAAAGTTTGCAATCATGTCCAGCCTGCAGTGTTTGTCAGAAAGGTTTTAAACTTGGTGGATTGCATGCTGTTATGGGAGCCTACAATTTGTATATCTCGGATTTTTTATATCCGTGACCTAAGGTCAGGTCAGTGGCATGACCTTTCCATTACAAGTCAATGGAGAAAAATGAAAATGCCTCTAGATCCGTGTGTACGCATAGGAACAGTCCAAATATTTCAGAATCACAATGATTTAGTCCACTCGTGATGACCAAGGTGTCATTTTTGCTGATAGCCTCTAGAAAGGTCATCCGAGGTCATTTGAGGCTACAAACAGTTTTTTGCCAATAACTCGCGATTGGAAAGAGATAGAACGCTGGGGATGGTCTCATTGTGTTTGTCTTGTTGAGACGCATCGACTGATATGCAACATGGCCTTTTCCGGTCAGGTCATGACCTTGACCTGAGGTCAAATTTTTAAGTTGACCTTTCAAGGTCAAATTATAGTTCATTCGACGCGTCTCGCTGAGGGGAACACGATTCTGGCAATAGAAATGTCGTGGCTTTTTGTAGTCGAAAGTTATTGTCGAAAAACACTTTTCGTAAAAACAGCTATTTTTGGAGTTTTTGCCCTCTGGAGGCTAAACCGTTGACCTGAGGACAATATTGATAATGACCTTTTCAAAAGAAGAGTTCAAAAGCTCTCGATTGCTTTTCCATGCGTTTTTCTAGCTACCACAGTTCCTGAGATAGCGGCATGTTTTCTGAAAAATATAATGACAATTGGCAAATTTTGACCTTTGATGACCTCTGGTGACCCCAATATTGCTCTAAGGTGAAAAATGACCGAAATACTTTCAAACGTACGTATTGAGAGCTATCAACTGCTTTTTACCGCGTCTTTCTAGCCCTCTTAGTTTTTGAGTTAGAGGTGGGTGGTAACATATGCCCCCCCTCACTAGGGCGAAGTTGGCCGAGACCGCCACTGGGGCGCGGGTTCCGGTAAAATGTCATTGTTCCGTTTTGATTCACTGTTCGGCCATGCCCATCGCGAAATGGCACCAGTCAGCGTACCACGTCGTGTACGATGAGCTGACATTTCCGTGACCTCTGATCGGCAGCACGCTGCACGGTCACGAGGAGTCGGTGTCGTGTCTGTCGTTCGGCGGCCCGGCCGGTCTGCTGGTCTCCGGCTGTCTGGGCGGAGAGCTGCGTCTTTGGCGACCCCGCTCGGGGCGCACCATGCCGCTGGCCCTGCAGCAGACGGCGCACGACCTGGGTGTTACCTGCTGCCACCTGCGACCGGCCGACAGCGGTACGTACCCGCCGGGGACTGTTTGACGGGCGGGGTGTGTCAGTCCGGCACAGCCTTTTCTTCGCGTCATTGTAACCGGTGCTCTACATCTTGTGTTCCGTTTTTGCTCATCGTATTTCCTGACATGACGGTATAATCAACCAAAAAGGCTGACCACTCAGCTTTTTGCGACCGTACGGCGTACACACAGGCGGATATCTTCCCGTTTCCTCTTGTTCAGACGGCGGTGATAGCCTTCTACAACTGTTATACATGTGAAGAGTCTCTTAACATTCCCCCCGTCACACTAACACAGATGGCGGCGGCGGCGATCTGCTGGCCAGCGGCGGCAACGACTGCGTGGTGCGTGTGTGGACGGTCTCGGCCGAGGAGGGCGGCCTGCGGCCGCTGACCGAGCTGACCGCTCACACCGGGGTGGTGATGGACGTCCACTTTTCGCCGTCGGGCCGGCAGCTGGCCTCGGCCGGCGGCGACAAGACTGTGCGACTCTGGGATACGGTGAGCGACTGATACGGCGGCGTGACGTGGTGGATCGTCTGTCGTGGCCAATAATGCCGGATATTCGATGACGTAGGCAACGTAGCAATTAGGGAAACTAAAGTGGTGTCGGTTACGTGATTAATCCCGTATTCTTATATCAAAAGGTGTTGCCTTTCTCTTCTCGGTTTGCCAGTGCTCTGTGTCAGCCTGTATTCTGACTTGTTTTGAAGGCGATCAATCCATATCGTGTCGCTCATACCGTTAGAATCCGGATAGACTGTGGCCCAGAATGCACCGAACGACCAACGTTGGATTTATTGGGGGTGTCGCTCGTTTGTGTTTGGCTTATCCCACCCTAACTGTCTGCTCGATCCAGCACTGACCATCTGATCACACTCTTACCGTCTTCTTCTCCTCGCTCTGACTTCCCGCCGTCCGTCGCTCTCCCAGGAGAGCTGGACGCTGCTGCGAACCCTGCACGGCCACTCGCGGTACGTCACGTGCTGCTGCTTCTCCGGCGACGGACGTCTGCTCATCTCGGGCTCTAACGACCGATCCGTGCTGCTGCGGCCGGTGGGAGAGCCGGAGCAGGCCGGGGCGGGCCTGGCGCCAAGCGCCCCGCCGCGCCCCGCGCCCACTCAGGTACGGTGCGGCCCACTGGCTCCCGAGGGCGCGGGCACAGTGGGAAACAGTGACATTGTGGACTGGTGCAGGTAGAGTGACTTTTCCGTTCTTAGTCGGGTCTGAGTTGATCTGTGACCGTGCAGTTGTTTCGTTCTTTGTCGGGTCTCCGGGTGAAGCTCTGTTATTCGGTTCCCGGCCAGGTTTCTCCGAGTGGAGTTGTGACGCTGCGTATCCATTTCCCATATCTCCAATGGAGCTTTGACCTTGCGCATCCGTTCCCCAGGTCTCCCAGTGAACCGGTGCCTGTATATCCGTTTCACACGTCCCCGACTGGATCCATGACATTGTTGATCCGTTCCCCCAGCTCTCCCAATGGGCCTGTGACCCTATGTGTCCATTCCCAGGTGTCTGAGTGGACGTGCGACCAGGTGGGCGGCTGGCTGCGCTCCCTCGGTCTGGCCCAGTACGCCGACGCGTTCGCCGCCCGCTCTGTGGACGGTGCCCGGCTGCTGGAGCTCACCGAACAGGCCATGGAAGACGAGCTCGGCGTCGGTGAGTCATAATGACAGCTGTGAAAGTGGAGTTGACATGATTTAAATCACATTCCTTGTCGCAAGTTACGATACCACTTACCAGACTCTGTAGTATTGGTACGGGTAACGGTTACCCAGGTCATACTCAACCAAAACGGGTTTCTGTTTTTATATGCGGGCACCGTTTCGGCACTTTAATGTGTAGTTGTGGCATTGTCAGCACCGAGTACTGCCACCCCTATGTCTTCGGACCGAATTCGTTCTGTTGGGTTATGTATTGTTATGCATTGGCTGTGTTATGCGTTGCGTGGCTGGGGTGAGGCGTCCCTCTCGGCGCGCTGCTGGGTGCGCCTCTGCGGGCCGCCTCCCGCTGGGAGCGCCGCTGCCACCGGCGGCGCGGGGTCACGGCCGCAGCCGGGGGCGGCGGTCATTCTGGACCTGGGGCTCGCCACGCGTGCTGCTGCTGCTGCTGCCGTTGTGATACCCGACCTAATACACCACAAATGGAGACGCTGCCTTTCGACCTAACATTGGCGCGGTCAAGGTAAGCTCATTTACGCTCCCTACTTTTGAGTTATGCTTGTTTAAACAATAACCGTTTTAGCAGCTCTTATGCTATCGATTTACGATAGATGAGCTCTTAGCCTACGACCTGAAATTTGGAAAAGGTGCAGTCGTTCTCGACCCAGATTTTGCTGATTTCAGGTCGATTATGTTAGGCAAATATTAAATCACGCTGAGGCACTGGCAGCGCCTACAGCTCATAAAGCACAGATAGCGTGGTCGTTTAAGACACGATTTTCAAATTATCTGGTTTTGTCATTGCAAAACGTATCGTTGGGCGATACGATCATAGGGCTATATAGCGTTGTCGTTGCACGACACGATTTTCAAATTACCCGTTGGTCATTGCATACCGTATCGTTGGACGATACGATCATATTTATTAGTCGTCGATCATACACCGCCCAAAATGGCGAGTGAACTGTACTTAAAAATTCACAGCACAACAAAATTTAGCGGTCGCAAGGAGGAAAATTGGGAAACGTGGATTTCCCGTTTTGAGACGCGTTTTGGCGACTTGGAGGGGGCAAAACTAGCAGCTGCCCTGCTCGACTTGCTGGATGGTGCTGCTTTGGACATTTGCGGGAACTTGGACAAAAGAGCCAGGAGCGACTACAGGGAACTTAAGGGGGTCCTACAAGAGAAATTCGGATCTAGTTGCGACACGCGACGGGCTCGGGCTCAGTTGCGTCTTATCCGTCAACTGCCTGAAGAGAATATAGAGTTATTCGCGGATCGCGTCCGAGAACTTACAAATCTGGCACACCCGGGGTTATCCAGAGAACAGGTGGATCATATAGCGCTAGATCACTTCCTGTGTGGTCTGAGCGATCTTAAGCTTCAAGAGAAGCTGCACAATGACCACACTGTGCTGTCGCTTCAAAAAGCGGAGGAAGTTGTCCAGAGACTTTGGGAAAAGGACCTCACTCTCGCCGTTATGCGGGCGTCCGCCGGTCATGACACGGCTGTGGCAATTTCGTCTGAAGAAGCGCAATCTATCGAGGGTGGACAGGCACCAGATATTCTGACCATTCTTGGAGAACTCCGGAGTGAGTTGAATGAAATGAAAGTCCAGCTGACCGAGCACCGCAAACCGACCGGCAGTAGACGAGGCGTTTGTTACCTGTGTGGCGATACCGCCCACTTCAAACGTGATTGTCCGCAGTTTTCAAACCGACATAAACGGACAGCACGAGCCGCTACCCCGAGGGCAAAACTGAGCGCGATTCCGCCCGGTATTCCCTGCCAGGGTTGTGGACGGTACGGGCACGCGCTACCCGAATGCTGGAGAACGCCAGTCGCAGCAGGGGGCATCGCTCCCTCGAGCCCCGCACGCGACATATCTGGCGCTGTGGAGAATACTCCGGCAATGCCGGGGCAAGAACCAAACACCAAGCGCGCTTCTGTCATCAAAATCGAAGTCGAAGGGCGCAGCGTATGGGCCCTGGTTGATTCTGGAGCCGACGCATCAATGATCGGACAAGAATTCGCCCAGACGGTCGTACCGAAACACTCGTCCCGCAGAGGGCATTTTGGAGCAATAACTCAGGCGGGTGGGCAGAGAATACAGGTCACTACACAGGCAGAAGTGTCATTCTCCATACAGGCTTTGCAATTCATCCAGCCTATGCTGGTAATTCCAGGTCTGATTTACCAAGTCGTTCTCGGCCGAGACTTCTGCTGCCAGCACAAAACAGTGCTAGACGACAAGGCAGGGGTCTTCAGGGTCGGCAGCCTGGAGATTCCACTCCCGACATACGCAGAGCTACGACCCCAGCGCGCCAGGGTGCTAACATGCTCGCCTGTTACAATACCGGCAAAGTCTCAGACGCTCGTTCAGGTCGACGTCGAGATTCCAGACGGTGGTGTCAAAGTCACCAAGGAAGTCAATTGGCAAGGGGTGCTCGAGCCACAGCCCGTGGGGAACGAGCAAGAATGGAGAATCCCTCGCGTGGTCACCGCGGTGACGAGCGAGGCCAAGGTCCCGGTTCAAATCGCAAACATCGGGAGTGAGGCAATTACGATCCCTCCAGGTACAGAGATAGGACTTTTGTACTCAATCCAGGAGAATGGGAGAGGTATTTACGACATTCCAGACACATCGGTTGCTTCAGCCGCAGTCGACGAGGGGACGATCGATGAACTCATGAAGGAGCTCAAACTGGAGTCAGCGGTGCTCTCAAAAACGGGAAAGGCTTCATTAAGGCAGCTAGTGATGGAGTTCAGTGATGTTTTTAGCAAAGGCGAAGCAGACATCGGAAAAACGACTCTCCTTGAACATCAGATCAGAACTGGCGATGCACCGCCAGTACGTCAACGGCCACGACGAATCCCAGTAAAGCTGAGAGAGGAGGTGGAACGACAAAAAGAAAAGATGCTTGAAGAAGGGATCATCGAAGAAAGTTCCAGCCCTTGGTGCTCACCAATTGTCCTGGCGAAAAAGAAAGACGGCAGTTTCAGGTTCTGCATCGATCTCCGAGCAGTGAACTCCGTCACACAAAGCTTGCCAGTTCCCTTGCCGAGGGTGGACGAGAGCCTCGACAGCCTCGCCGAAGCAAAATTTTTCTCAACTCTCGACATGGCGTCAGGTTACTGGCAGGTTGACGTCGCCGAGAAGGACAGGGAGAAGACTGCTTTCAGCACAGGAAAAGGTCTCCACCACTTCCGAGCGATGCCGTTCGGCCTGAAGAACGCAGGAGCGACGTTCCAGCGGCTGATGGAGCTGGTGCTGGCTGGAATGGACTCCAAGAGCTGCCTCGTCTATATCGACGACATAATCGTGTTTGGAGAGAGCGAACGAGAACATCTAAAGAACCTGGAGGAAGTATTTCAAAGGATAAGAGCAGCAGGAATGAAGCTAAAGCCAAGGAAGTGCTGCTTGGCTCGAGACGAGGTGGTGTTCCTCGGACACAAGGTGGGAAGGAGAGGCGTCGAACCAGACCCAGCCAACATAGAGAAGGTGCGCAATTGGACTAGACCGCGAAAAGCAGAAGATCTAAAGAGCTTCCTGGGACTGGCAGGATACTACTCCAGGTTCGTTCCAAACTATTCCGACCTGGTGCGTCCAATCCGAGAAGCCGCAGAAAAGAAAGGTGACCTCGAGTGGACTGACGAGCTCAGAGAAAGCTTCGATAACATCAAGGCACAGCTGACGTCTCCTCCAATCCTAACCCTGCCGACATTTAAAGGGGAGTTCAGGCTCGCAACTGACGCCTCAAACACTGCGGTGGGAGCTGTTCTCACAGAGATGGTCGATGACGAAGAGAGAGTCGTCGCGTATGCCAGCAAAGTGCTAAACAAAAGCGAACGACGATGGCCAGCGTACGACAAAGAGCTGTGGGCGATCGTGTGGGCCATCAGACATTTTCGTCACTACCTCGCGGCCACTAAATTCACTATCACGTCCGACCACAAACCCCTAAAAAACATCCCGAAATCCATCAACGTTGACGGCGATGCCACTGGGAGGAGAGGTCGATGGGCCGTTGAGCTCAGCACGTACGACTTCGTCGTTGAGTACCGAAAGGGTAGTGACAACGGCAATGCCGATGCTCTGTCGAGGCCTGTCACCGACTTCACCGATCCAGCAGTTGATGCAGGAGTCAGCGAGCTCTTAACGGCCAACCACAAAGCCCCTCGGGAAGAAATTACCCTCGGGAAGCTAGAGCTGGAACAGGATCTGGACCCCGTCCTGAATGAAGTCAAGAACTGGTTGGCAGCGGGGAAGCTACCCCCAAGGAAGGAGCTCAAGAAAAAGAGTAGCTCTCTACGAACGATGGCTCGTTTTTTCGACCAGCTGTTCATAGATAAGGGCATCATGAAACTAAAGAGATCGGGCAGCGACAGCGATTCGGTGACGCTCCTCCCCAAAACGTATCGCAAGGTGGTTGTGGAGATGTTGCACGACGACGAGACTTCAGGCCATTTGGGAAAGACGCGCACTTTGGAAAAAGTGGCGGCTAGATTCTTTTGGACAGGGATGAGCAAGGATGTTAACCAGCACTGCGAAACATGCGAATTGTGTCAGAGGAGGAACGAACCAACGCCAAAAATGCAAGCACCAGTCCAAACAGAGACATACTCGAGACCATTCGAAAGAGTGGCCGTCGATATAACCGAGATGCCAGTATCCGCACGTGGAAACAAATACGCCCTAGTCATTATGGATTATTTTACCAAGTATGTGACCACATATGCCATGCCAAATCAAACGGCTGAATCAGTTTCCGAGTGCATGTTCGATTTGGTACTGCACCACGGGGTACCGGAGCGCCTCCACAGCGACCAAGGCCGACAGTTCGAATCGGCCGTCTTCCAATCACTCTGTAAGCGAATGGGCATAGAAAAGACTCGCACATCACCTTATCGGCCAGAAAGCGACGGAATGGTAGAGCGATTCAATCGGACGCTCAAAGACATGTCATCAAAATACATCAAGCCATGTGGGTCCGACTGGGACGATCGTTTGGCGTCCCTTACATTCGCCTACAACACGTCCAGGCACTCGGTGACCGGTTTCACGCCTTTCTTTCTGGTGCACGGACGTGAAGCTCGCCTTCCCGTCGATGAGCTATTCAGAACACGTCAGGAGGTTTCGATGGTCGACACCTACCTAGAACACAGGCTTCGTCTGCTACGCCATGCACATGAAGAAGTCCGTGAAAAAATCGAGCAGGCAGCGGCCAACATGAAGGATTCCCGCGACCAGTCAGCACGAGAGACACCGTACACGCCGGGTCAGAAGGTCTGGGTGAGGGACCACACCACTTGTCCTGGAGGCAAACGCAAGCTGGCATTGCACTACAAGGGACCAGGGACTGTGATAGAGAAACAAGGTCCAACTGAGGAAGGAGTCACGTATAAGGTCAGTATGCCTGGTGGGAAGGTTATCAGGATACACCATGACCACCTGAAACCTGTGAAGCTGCGAGGCCGGGATGACGATGAGGACCGCGCGGCTACGCCCCAACGGCGAGAGCGGCGGACAGACGACGGGCACACCACTCAGAGTCAGGACCCAAACATTATATCTGAGAGCAGTTCCCCGCTCCCTGATTTCGTTTGGAGTTCTGGTGAAACTGTCACGGAACAACCGTACATGCCCGCTAACCGTCCATACGTGACACGATATGGACGGATTTCCAGGCCACCGGCTAGATACCCTGACCCGTAAAAAAAAAACATGAAAGTCCTCATGTCGTTCGAATAGTCTTCAGATTGTGAGATCTCCCTTAACAGGCATAAAGTTGATAAATGTATGTGAGTTAGTTATTATCGTCACCCGTATGGTTTGCCCTGAACTGATCGTTACCGACAGGCATACGTCGCTTGGAGGCCACCGAGAAGTTCGAGGCGATGCTCGCACGTTGAAGGCGCTCGTTTTCCGACACCGCAGACGGCGCTCGATTCTCGACGCCGCCGCCTGCGCACACGGCGTCGCATACGCCGACGGCGCGGGGTTCGCCAGCGTGGTGGACATCATCACCAACATGCTGTCGCTGAAGTGACACCTCCATGTGTACAATTACAGCCTAAGGCGCTATTTATTTAGGGGGGAGATGTGTTGGGTTATGTATTGTTATGCATTGGCTGTGTTATGCGTTGCGTGGCTGGGGTGAGGCGTCCCTCTCGGCGCGCTGCTGGGTGCGCCTCTGCGGGCCGCCTCCCGCTGGGAGCGCCGCTGCCACCGGCGGCGCGGGGTCACGGCCGCAGCCGGGGGCGGCGGTCATTCTGGACCTGGGGCTCGCCACGCGTGCTGCTGCTGCTGCTGCCGTTGTGATACCCGACCTAATACACCACAAATGGAGACGCTGCCTTTCGACCTAACAGTTCCTTATGTGACCCCCTCCCCCTCCCTTCTTCCAGAGCTGGTCGGTCACCGCAGTAAGCTGGTGCGCCAGCTGGACCGACTGCGTCAGGGTCCTCCGGCGAGTCCCGACACCACGCCGCCGGACGAGTTTTACTGCCCCATCACCCGAGAGCTGATGGTCGACCCGGTGGTCTGCTCAGGTGAGTCCGCTCAGCGGCCGGCCCTCACTCCTCACCGGGGGTAGTGACGGCTTTCTTCATTCCATCCATATGTCTATCCACAATGTCCAATGGATACAGTCCAAGCTCCATACCACGCACACCCACAGCGATCATGCTGCCCAGTGTCCATCTCGATTCACAGACCCTTCATCGATCTTACCCACCATTACCTTACCACATTTTTTTTCACTGATCGGTCAACGGTCATATATATTATATATCCCGCATTCATCTGTTGTTATATTATGATGACATCATCTGGTTACGGAAATGTCTTTGAAATATTCTAAACATAGGTCTTTGACAGCTTGAGATACTCGCCAATTTCCATCCGCGCGTCCTTATCGCACGAAGAGTTCCCTCAGCTGCCGTTCTATTCCTGTATTCTGAGTTTCTTCGTTGCATTTTTCTATCGTAGATGATATTCTCTGCAACGTTACAACAACCCAATCAGCCTTAGATTGAAGCTATTGGAGTCCAATGTTACGAGTCGGAAAGAGGAATCTGTTCAGCCTTTTCCGGCATCGTCCAAGGCGTGCTGCAGATCAAAGACAGTGTGTGGCAGCTTGCGAACCCTATAAGAAGTCGATAGAATATGATTTATTTCGAACAGACTCTGAGTTCGCGATTATATGAGAGCTACAGTACCAATCATATACCTCTGTTTACAGAGGTTTGCATGAATATATGTAGAAGTATTAATTATTTTAATACCAACATTGACAACCGTACTAAATGGCCCTGGCCGGCCGTTGTCCCTGCGGCCGTCGTCTTCAGATGGCTACAGCTACGAGCGGAGCGCCATCGCCGCCTGGCTGAAAGAGCGCACCTCTAGTCCCATGACCAACGAGCCGCTGGCCGCACTCGTGCTGGTGCCCAACCACGCGCTGCGCTCGCTCATCGGTCAGCGCTGGCGCCCAGCAGCGGGCCCGCTGAGCGCGCCGTAATGGCCGCTGAACGCGCCGCTACGGTGGCTGAGCGCGCCGCTACGACCCCTGAGCGCGCCGCTACAGTGGCTGAGCGCGCCGCTACAGTGGCTGAGCGCGCCGCTTCAATGGCTGAGCGCGTCGCTATGGCCGGTGAGCCGCTTCAGTCGCAGAGCGCTCGTCGCTACAGTCGCTGAGTGCGCTCCAATCGCAACACTATCCACCAGCACATGTGTCTTTAAAGTGCAATTATCGATGTTGTTTCACCGATTGTGCGTTGGTGTTTCAGCGTAATGCATGCTTTAATCAATATTGTGGGTGGTCATAATATGTGGTTACGATTACGGCACAAAGTGATCATGTACTTACTTCTTGGTTGTGGCTAGCGCGATGGTGATATTTTATGAATCAAACAATCGCAAGCGATTTATGTTGATGTGCATATTGTGTTGATCAATGGAGGTTGTATATTGCATTTGTTCGTCATGAATCGTTTACATTTTAAACGTCGGGACAGTGAAATGTCAAATTAATGGGTCGGGTAGACACCATGACTATTTTAGCGACGCTATACTGATGTCTACGATAATGCTTGATCATAGTGGGTAGTTCTGCTCTGCAATCTTTTTGCAGTCATTGAGTCTCAATGTTGATTTCTATAGTATTTGAAACAATTGCAGAAAAGCCGTGTCCCACCACAGTCATCTAGCGTAACAATCAGTTGCAATGCTTAACTGCAGTGTATGCATCGTGCAACGCTACTGAGGTGCGTTCTGCCTTTTTCTGTACATTGTGCATTGGTTCCGACATACTCAATATTTTGTGCCAGTTATCAATATCCGTTTTCATTATGATACCTTTCACATCAGCTAGTCACAATGTTGCAGCACAGCTGGTAGATTTATTTTGTTTTACGATATGTATGTGATGTCAAGTTGATTTTATTTGAACTGCCACGTCACTCGATGTACTACGGCTCACACTATTCTCTGTCAGTAAGTCCAGACGTGTATCTTGTGATCGTGTACCTGTTACCACTCGCCGGCAGTGGTGCGAGTGGTGCCTATAGGAGGAGACCGTGCCTTGAATCTTTGACAGGCGCCGCGGGGAGCATGCGGATGCTCCCTGTGCATCACTGAGGTATCCTGTGTCGTCTTTGCGACGGTGCTCTGACATCCCGTCAGCGTGGCTCATAGGGCGCACGGCACGACGGGTGGGACACGACCGTTCCAACCACCGTGAATGTGACAACGATCGTCCAAATCAGATAACTTTTATCCTACTTGTCACCGGAACCGTTCAAACCACAGTATATGTCAGGGAAGAAAGAATTGTACGCAAATAAACGGCTGATGCTGATCCTAGTTTTTGAAACCTGCTGCTACACCTTTAGAGGAATGGAACGCTGAGAATTATTATTTTTACGCTTGCTATTAACTTATTTCGAGAGACATTTAAAGAAAAAAAATCACTTCTGTTCTTCCTGTCGTTAATGTGAATGTGAAGCAACTAAGCTACAGTTTGTCTCCCTATAACAGGTAAATATATGAACTGTACCCACAATGGATGATAAATATATTACAGGAGTTGTCACACATTTCACGAGTATAACGGTCAATGGATGCACGTCATTCACAAAAATACACAGCATTTTATCAGTGATGAAACATTGCGATGCTTCCGTTCATCCCTTTGAAGAAGTCTTGGCTGGATACGTTGTACGGCGTGGTCGCGTTACCCAGAGGATTGGTCGCGTTGAACGCACCCTGGCCCGACTCCGTCGGATGGGTATGTGTAAACACCAACGCACCTGAACAACAAACAACAATTTTCAGGAATCAGTTATGCATTGCTATGACAGCTGACAGACGCCTAGTAAGATGGTACCATCCTTCAAAAATTTGTTCTGAGGACGCCCAACATGCTCCGGAACAGGCTGAAAGATGGCTATACCTATATCTTGCATGTTTTCAGCTGACATGCTGTCCAAGCTAGCTATTAGCACTCCTTCATGAACCATAATGGTCTCATCTCATGGTCCAAGCGCTCCCGCAGCTCAGGTAAGAGGACACCGAGCTCTCACTCACCGACGAGCGCGGCGGTGAGCAGGTTGGTGAGCACTGCGGTGAGCAGCGCGCGCGGCACCGTGCTGCTGATGTCGTGACGCCGCTCCGGTGCCAGTGCCGTCAGATAGGCCACCGTGGCTCCGACGTGCGCCAGGTTACTGAAGCCGTACAGCAACGCCACGGTGACGGCACGCTCCCGCTTCTGTCGAACGTGGTGTAACATTGCACATGGGTCACGGAAAATATCCGTGTTTGTTGAATTGGTCCAGTGATCTGGCGTGGCTTCAAATGTCATTTTTCGAATTATTCAAACTATAAAACAAATATGATGTATCGAACTACCGTTGGTGGATGAAGGTCACGAAACCATGGTCTTCTTTTATAGGTAGCCACCATTAAACTTGTTTATTGAATGTTTGACGTCGAATGGAAATCGATCGACATAATTCAACGGTGTTCAAGGCTAGTTTGTTTTGAGAAGCTTGTGGCCGGGCATTGGGGACAATGGGACCACACCCCCTAAAAATTACACGCTGCCCTCCCGTTAGATGTGTCTCACTTCTCGCCGGAATTAGAGTCCGCTCTCACCTTCATTGGATGCAGTTTGCTATCCTTGAGAAATGCTTGGTAGCCGAAATTTTCATTTAGAACGGTTTTCGTGGCAAAGAATCTTGCGATGCGCCCTGTTGATTTCCAGTCGATACCCATCAAGAAAATAAGAGGACGCAGCACAACAGACAAAATGCCCTGAAACATGAAGTGGCTGGAATGCTTATGCGGTAGCGAAAGTCGCGATTGAAGAATGGTCCACGGGTTTAATTCAATCATTAGCATCTGACACACAAATAGCCAATGTCAAAAACGTTACATGGATTGCACCCGACTCCGAAAGCCCGATATGCAGCGGGATCGTCCCTGCTTACCACGAGGTCTGTCCCCAAGTTTTCCCCGAGAACCGTTTGCACTGACCACCAGGTCCATGCCCCAGTTTTCCCCGAGCACCGCCCTCACTGACCACTAGGTCAGTGCCCCGGTTTTCCCCAGTGTTCCCCGGACCCCGAGCACCACCCTCACTGACCACCAGGTCCATGCCCCAATTTTCCCCAGTTTTCCCCGAGCACCACCCTCACTGACCACGAGGTCCATGCCGGGGATGCCGACGTTCTCCAGCAGCCACTCGATGAAGTCGTTGCCCATGTTGACCAGCGCGATGAAGGCGATGAGGACAGCCACTAGCTGCGCCAGCAGTCGCAGCACGGCGATCGCTCCGCGAACCCCGGCGTCAATCATGTTGTACTCGTCCCTGAGACACCAGGGAAATATGGTATTTACATAGCCAAAGCGAGACGTCATTTACGATTAGGTAGTCCTTACTGAGGGGGTATGTCGTGATGAATGTCTGTTGATTTTCCTGCCTTCAAATGCATGCTTTCTTTACGTGCACTGATCTATGATAAATCACCTTTTGTTTTGTTCATCCCAATTGCAAGCCTGCATTATTCCTGAGGCACGATTTGAACAGTCGCTAGCTTCCGCCTTCGAAATAACACCATTTATCTTCTGACATGAAGGTCTTTGGTCAACATTGATTCACAAATCTGGTCAGTGGTCACTGGTCACCCATCTCACCTGTCCATGAACTTCAGGTCCCGGTACGTGGTGACCGATGTGTCCGTCTCGGGGTACATGATTTTTGACACCGCCAGCACGCCGTTGAAGGTGGCGAAATTCACTGTCATCAGCGTCACTCTATCCACGCCCATGTCCATATACATTGCCAGGGCGACGCCTGAAATGGAACAAGCTAGTTTCCAAAAGGTTCAGAAGTGGTCGCTCGAGAATCCCGAGCAACTCTTGTGAAGTTCACCTGAATTGCGACTGCTTGACACTTTTGAACAGTACCAAATTATGAACAGACCTTCTTATTTTGAGCATCATTCCTGAAGGCATCATTAGGATGACTATGAAGGGATAAATTATAGTTGCGTGTTACAGGCGTCTTATTGTCTTACCGGTCATCGAGGCAATGCCGGCGGTGATAAAAGTGTGCAGCTCAGACATCGTCAGAAGCACGATATACGGCTCCAGAATCACAGCCGTCTCGATCTTAAAACAAATAAAATGCATTTGGTAATTCGCCGTAATGCTGCTGCAACTGTTTCAAGATGAAGAGACTAGATGTGCTGGTATGATGAAGAAGCGTGGGTTTTGTTTGGGAAAATTCGTCGGTGGAATGACTGATCATACAAAAATCGTCGAACATGTCCTTATTGATTATATGCCTGATTGATTTTTGGACGATCGCCTTCTGAAGATAAGGCTTATTTTGTAGTTTTACTTCGGCACATGTTCTTCCAGCTTTGTGTTGAATATTTTGCTATCAGATAAATCATTTCGCCAATTGTGGCATGATAAGAATGAGGTTTGAACGGTATCGTTGGTGTCAATCTTTCGGCTACAGTAGAAAAAGGTGCACTGTTGCCGACTTGCGAGCACATATGTATGCGTACCTAGATACAGCTTACCCCACCGAAAAGGGTGCAGAGCGCACCCGAGATGGCTTCCACCGTGGTTGTGCCCGTGATGAGTTCCAAGACAAGGCCCGTCTTGTGGAGGAACCCCTGCAGAACTCCCGTGTAGTAGAGCAGATGCATGATCGAGCCGGTGAGCGTCAGTGAACTCAGCAGCTGCGAAACAGGAGCATTCAGTCAGCTCAGACACTCTGCTTCAATCCTGGGATGGGTAGAAGTGTTTGAAGATAGACGTGTCATTTAGATTTTAGTTTATTCCATTGCTAAGATTACTGATCGTCGAACTTGATCGAGTCGTTTTCTCATTTATTCCCATTATGCATGTGGCTCTCCCCTTATATGTCTGCTTCCTTTCCCTCCGTCCCTCCGTCCCTCCCACGCCTCCTCCCTCCCTCTCTCCCTTTCTCTCTCTCTCTCTCTCTCTCTCTCTCTCTCTCTCTCTCTCTCTCTCTCTCTCTCTCTCTCTCTCTCTCTCTCTCTCTCTCCCTCTCTCTCTCTCTCTCTCTCTCTCTCTCTCTCTCTCTCTCTCTCTCTCTCTCTCTCTCTCTCTCTCTCTCTCTCTGTTCTCACCTCTATCGAGAGCATATGTGGCAGTTTCTGGGAAAACAGAACCCAGGCAGCTTTCTTGCTGAACCCAAACAAGAAGTCAATTTTGCTGGCCATGCATTCCAGGACGACGCGCCCCAGCGCCCAAACCATCATGAGGTAAACGACGATTAGCTGCAGCAGCAGATTCTTGATCACCATTGGCCACCGAATCTGTCGGCGTGAAGCAGGGAAACGGTGTCAGTCAACTACAGAGTAGGAACCGAAAGGGATCTGACCCAGCTTTTCCAGAGAAAGGTTTCGAATAAAAATTAATGGAATCGAGTATGGAGTATGATGGAGCATGATTGAAGAGCAACGGTTCGCGGTTTTAATTTCTTTGAAACCAACTGAACCGATAGGGTTGTCATAACACTATGCAACAAAAAATGAAAAATTTTCTGTTCCTGGAAAGCGACCGAATTTTTCTTATTCATTGGGTCCTATTATAACCGAAATGGGCATTAGTTTTGATCAAAATCCAGCGTATTTGGCCAGCTCATCGAGAATGGGAGAAAGCTAGCCCCAAGCGACTTCGAGGTTCCATGGGGCGAAATATTTGGTGCAAAACCAAAGCACTAACGGCATATGAGTGGTAGTGTCTAGTGTGTCATCGAAATGTACCCTGTGGTAATGTGAAATACAAAAACGTTTTGATCTGAAAATGCTTTTCCGGTTTTCAGAGACGATTTTCGATTTTTGGCCCCGAAATTCGGTTTTTGGCCCACCGTGTCCGATGTAATTGAGTAATCGACTCGCGGTAACTTTCATCGCCTTTCCTATGCCACAAGCTTTCGAATGATATCTGGTTTTGCATATTTGCGTGCAAAAATAACGTCATAAATCTATGTTAAATTAAGAAAATGTTGAAATTTTGTAAAAATTTGACATTTTTTTCGATTTCATTTCAAAATAGAGGAAAAACTAAAGGCCCCATCCAAATTCTGAGCCCAGTTCCTTGAAGAGCATTCAATTTCCGTTCGGAAGGTACCTTTTTAGTGCATTTTATCGGATTCCTGTGGCGTCCAGATTGAGTTAACCTAAACACATATCCTAAGTCATATCACATAGCATTAACCTGATAACGTATGTGAACGCCATAGGATCAACGAGGGGTTAACTGAGGTCATTTTGTTGACCCCTTGTGACCTCGGGTCACACGCAGGAACTTACTTTTGAGCAGTCCTGTCGCTCAGAATCTTGATCTGTTGGGGGCCCGTTTTTCAAGTGACTCAATCTGGACGCCACAGTAAACCGATAAAATGCACTAAAATAGTACCTTCCGAACGGAAATTGAATGCTCTTCAAGGAACTGGGCTCAGAATTTGGATAGGGCCTTTAGTTTGTTCTCTATTTTGAAATGAAATCGAAAAAAATGTCAAATTTTTACAAAATTTCAATATTTTCTTACTTTAACATAGATTTATGACGTTATTTTTACACGCAAATATGCAAAACCGGATATCATTCGAAAGCTTGTGGCATAGGAAGGGCGATGAAAGTTACCGCGAGTCGATTACTCAATTACACCGGACACAGTGGGCTAAAAACCGAATTTCAGGGCCAAAAATCGAAAATCGTCTCTGAAAACCGGAAAAGCATTTTCAGATCAAAACAAATGCCCATTTCGGTTATAATGGGACCCAATGAGTCCAAAAAAATCGTTCGTTACTCAGGAACAAAATGACTGTTGCATAGTGATAGCGGCAAACCGTCAATAAAAGGGCCGGCACAAAAGTGCGTTTGATTGTGTCCAGCGTGGTGCACTGATGTCCAAGCTAGGATGGTATGGGATATCGACCCATTGGCTGGGGAGCTATTTCGCGAATCGGACCCAGACCGTGAAGGGGGGAACCAGCATCGAGGGGGTGCCGTTTGGTGTGGTCCAAGGCGGAACTTTGGGTCCCACCATGTTCAACCTGTTCATGAATGACCTTGTGGGCCATATTCAGTTCGGCTGGCTATCTAGTTATGCGGACGACAGCCAGCTAGTGCATTGTGCTGGACCTGATAATGTGACGCAGCTCAAACGTCACATAGAGTCCGACTTAGTTCAACTGTCTCGGTGGTTTCGATGTAACGGGCTCAAAGTAAACCCCACCAAGACCGAGTTCCTGCTGGCTGGAACCCCAGCAAACACCGCAAGCGTATCAGATTTAGTTGTGAACTTTGATGGTGTGTCACTTCAGCACTCAGAAAGCATCAAGATCTTAGGTGTCCATTTCGACTGTCACTTAAACTGGGAAAAACAGGTAAGCTCAGTGGCACAGAAGTGTAGTGGTGCTATTGTTTCTATTCGGAAATTGAATTTACCTCGGGAGACAACCAAAATGTTGATTCAGGCGCTGGTGTTCCCCACACTCATGTACTGTCTTCCTGTTTGGGCCCCCAAATCAAAGACTCTCAGGAAACGGATCGAGAAGGTGTTAAATTTCGCAGTCAGAACTGTCACAGGGCTCCGTAAATTTGACCGCGTCACGGAAGCCCGATTGGAGCTAGGCTGGCCTACGTTCGACGCGATGATCGATCTGCGCGATGTGCAGCGAATCTATCATGTAATGCGGCAGAGGGACGCATCTCGGCAGCTGAGGGCACTCGTTGAGACTCGGTCACAGGTATCGCTGAGACCGACGCGCTCCACCGCTGATGATACTATGCTACAAATCCCTAGGTGTCGTCTGCAGTGCACAAAAATGTCGTTCCCTCACCGAGCCATTGCGACTTGGAACCGCCTGCCACCGGATGTGAGGCAGTCGAGGGCGGCCAAGTTCAGGCGAAGCATACGCAGTTGTTTGGCGTCCAAATGATCCCGATAGGTATGTCAGTGTGGCTGTGTGACCTCTTACAATGATCTGCTCGCTTCATATTTTAACTTACTTTGATTGTGCTTGACGCTGGAGTGTAAGTGCCTGTGTGGTTTCTCCAAAGATAAGCAATACATACATACATACATACATACATACAAAGTGCCAGCGACCTACCTCCTCTGGCTCCACCGACAGCAGATACGTCACGAGTATGATGACGCAGTAGCCGCAGACGGCCGTCAGCTGTTTCGTCGTCGGGATCATGTGTCCAATTCTGGTAACCAGGACAATGATGACAGCAATCAGGGCACCAGCGATGATCCGAACATACCTAAAACAGGCGTGGTGTGGGTCAACTCTCTGAAATTCTCATGAAATTCTCATAGTATGATGCTACAGGCCCTGATTGGGCCCTGGGCCCAATCTCACCAAGTGCGGTACCTCACTCACCTTGCGGTACCTCACCCACCTTGTTTCACGGTCACAATCTCACCTTGTGACCGTGAAATTTATTTGGCAAAAACTTTGGGTGGGGCATCGGAAGGTGACATCGAACCGAATAAGTACGCTTAGCTTTAGAACTATTTTGAATTCGTTGTTCCGGGTGCATTTATAAATTAGAGGGTGCCTTTCCTGGGTAATGAGAAGCTCCTGACAACTATGGAAAAATGACGCTTTTCGGAGTGATCGAGAAACTACTGGTCAAGATAAGACTCCAGAGACGAATGGCTCGCGTAGCCTGGCATGGTTCCCTTCGGGACCTACTTTGCATGGCCTACAATGGAACTATTCCTACATTATGCAAACCATTCCCATCAGGAGGAAATTACGAGGGCCGAAAAGTCCTGAAATGGTTTGTGATTATAGCGAATTACACTACGGGCTGTGCTTATTGGTCGACGCCTTCCTGGGCTCAAATGTCTGGCATTTGACAAGCAGCAGGTGACCATTGCACAATGTCACCATTATCATTATTCGTGTGGTGTTTGGTAACTATAGGTATGTGGATTAACACGGGGTAGTTGATGTAAATGACATGTAGCTGCTATTTCAGCTCACTGGGAGTCCCAGCTGGGGCTGAGTGGGCGGAGGCGTTGCAGAAATGTACGGCTAATGATACGTTTTTCGTTGCACCGCCACATACGTTAACCCGCGCCCTGGTGGGGTCTGTTTATAACGCGACCTGGTGGGGGGGGGGGGGCTATTTTTTGCCCCCCCTCGTATCTCCGAAACTACTGGACGGATCCGCAAAATTCAAACGGCGTTCGATAGCCCTGTCAAATTTGTCGAGGGAAACCAAATTTTATTGACCTCGGGGTCACCGATGACGTCACAGGTCAGGTCAAAGATAAAATGTTTCACCGTTCACGGGGCTTCTAGGGAAAGCGCTATAACACCGAGTAAAGCGCATTTTGTCGAAAATCAGCGATAAGACGTCAGTTGTCTAGTACATATGTTGCTATTAGAGGTCACTGGTCATACCACGTCAGGTCACAGGTCAGGTCACCAAAGGTCACCAAGGGTCACCACATGAACCCAACTTTACTAAGGTTGTGCGATGCATGTTTTATGGCCAGTTTTTCATTTCCAACCCAATGGTGTTGGTTATAAGACCATCAGGTACGGTTTAGGTCACTTTCTGGTGGAGGTCAGGTCAAGGTCAGGTCAAAAAAGGTCAAATTTCAAAGTTGATATTTTTGCATAAAATGGGTATCGATTCGATGCAGCTCGTCGCGGGGAGTCTAATGGTGGTCTTTGTTTTGCACTACGAGGTCTAGAATTGCTAAAAATTGAGTTTGAAAATTTGACGTCATCAATTTTGAACAGTTTTTTCGCTATAACTTCGCCAAAAAAAGAGGTATCAATCTAAAATTTGGTATGTGGATGGAAGGCGGTAAGGACTATCACATATATTCCGGTTTTTGCGAAATTCAAAAAAACTTTTTGGATTTTTTGACTATTATATCCCAAAAATCTATTTTTTGATTTTTGGGGGTCAAAATAAAAAAAATCAAAAATCCGAGATAGCAGTTTTGTAGCCCTGTCTATTCTACAGCTTTTATGTCCAAACATTTTTCTGTATTTGCAAAGCTATAGGCCTGACAGCTCTTCCCGCGAAACCCTTTTTTGGGTCGAAAACGGCAGAACATGACGTCATTCTGACGTCATTTCCGGCCAACCTATCATAGCTTTTGGAAAAAATTTTGGTCACAATGTGTAAAATTGATGTCCGGGAGGGTACTGAAAATTTGGTGACGATCGGCGCAGCAGTTCTGGAGATATATCGAAAAGTCTGGAGGGGGGGGGGGCAAAAAATAGCCCCCCCCCCCCCCCACCAGGTCGCGGGTTAAAATTCATGCCTCAATCGTGGGGATAGCATTTCGCAACGCTTTCCTGGCTGCGCCCACCAGTGTTCTAATTTCTAACTATAGTGCATGAAGGTGTCATATCTGGGTGCCTCATCCGTGCTATTGAGTCCTTACAAAGTAACACTTGCCTGCGACTGAACAGATCCTTCAGGAATGCAAGTGCACGATTCTGCAGCTCGGCCTGAAGACTGTGAATGCGGTGGGCGTACGGAATTATCACTTTGGACGTGACCAGATACAGAAAAATGACGACACTTGTCCACGAGATGAGACCGCCCGCGTGACACCAGTCGTAGTCGGCCTTCATGATGTAGAAGTTGTACACCACTGCGTAGGTGACGTACGCCACCCAGAGCACGAAGATGAGCAAACGGACGGCTCTGGGGTGCCTTTTCAGCTGGCTGAGGATCACTCCGAAGGCGTGGTGGGGGTAGAAGAGCACCGAACGGGGCTGGCACCGCTGGCTCTGCTCCTCCTCGTTCTCATCTGGAGAGTCCTGATCGGTCCCCTGCTGCCGCAGGCTCCAGCGGGTGCCCAGGATGGCGTCAATCACCGACGTCTTGCTGGAGACCTCCTGGGAACGGACCATAAAAACGACGGTAGAAAAACAATTAGCATGTTCAATATTTTATAATGCACCCATAGAAAGCATCAATAGAGGCTGAAAGCATGCGTAATGTTCCGCCTTAGTCGGGATTATTTGCCATGCTTGTATGCGCATCAGCCCACAAGCTACATGCTCAGTGCAAATAAATAAAAAAATATTCCCATTGCTAAAGGAAAACATTTTAGGTTGGGGCTTGGAAAATTATATGCATTCTTAAGAAATGTTAATCAATCAACCTCTATTTCACTTACTCTTTCAACGTTCAACTTCTCGTCTTGGGAAAACTTGGAGCTGACATAATGAACTATCGATTGGCGATAGGTGGACGCGAAGCCAGGGTCGACATCCAGCTGGATCGGGCGATGCTGGGAAGGGAGCAAAGGTTTACTGTGCATCCACCAACAGCTTTTAAATGTTATTGTTAAAAGTTGCTTTAAGTTCCACACAGTAACAATGGAAACATACGCGACATTCGAGGAGTTAAACTTGTGTGTGGGCTTCGCGGCTTCGTGCTAAGAAGTGTTGTATTTTTAAAGTGATTCAGAACAAGAACGCATGCATGAACAACGATAGATTACCCTAAAATCAGTTATGCCTCACCATAAATTACTTTTCTTTGTCAGTGGGCTCATAAAAAAGACAATTACCGAATAGCTCACCGGTTTATCGCGAGCGTTTCCGTGGTAAACGCTCACTATAGAAGCTCGCTCGGCGTCCAGATTGATGCGATTGGGCATGCCGATGCTCCTGCGCTTTACGTAGTCCAGCTGAAATAAGTGTGCCGAAAATTAGGCATGCACTACACGCTAAGATTAATGGCGGCAAAAAAACTATTATGACACCTAAATACCAGTTAAAATATTGTTATTCAGAACATACAAAGGTATTTGTTATACCTGAGAGCAGTGTTAAAATAGGCATCGCGCAGACCGAGGCAGAATATGTGCTTTTTAGGTTGATGGATCAAACGACAGCGATGCTCATTTTTTCATTGCCTTTAGTGATAGACTTTGATAAAGGTTATCAAATTAGATATCATTGTTGGGTGTATGCAAGGTTGATTAATGCATTCATTCGGCCATTATTGTTTTAGGAAAGGAGCAAAACGATAGCAGTACCTATACAGTAATGTCAACAATGAAATGACCTAAACGTTTGCTAAGCTCCCAAGGAGTTTGAGAGCTGTCGCAACTTTTGCCGTGTTGAAATATCTTTGATATTAATTGATGCTTGACATAACAGCGTTCAACTTGTTGTGCACCAAGATGTTCTGCACAAGTTATCATATCTTAGGAACATTATTGAAGTGTCCGGTAGAAATATGCTGACGTGGGATTTGCCGTCAAATATTATCAAATGTTATTTTAAACAAATAAATAATGAAAATGCTGCGATGAATTCAGCATTTTTGCTTGCTCGTCGTGTCAGTGACAGCATTGCCAATAGACATTGCACCCCCAAATGATGCTGATGAAAGCAAGATGTAAAACGTTGAGAGGATGACCGATTAGTGTAAGATAACTGATGCAGGAAGAAAGATACTCACCATCGTCCACGGCTCGGGACCCGTATTAGTTTGACCAAGCACTGCGTTCCTTCGCATTTTGTCCTGTGCATTTGACGAACTTTCTGTCTGAAATGTAAATTGCGAACATGCTCCTATATTTAAGACATTCATGCATCGATTCACGTTCTTGCAAAAAGGCGGCACGCAAACGACACAATTGAACAGAATCATGTTCTACAAATTCACAAAGGTACAGTTAATCGAGGAAGTCTGTGACGCTGAAGGTGGCATTTTTTCAACTGATAATCTACTGCTTATTGAAGGAATATGACGAAACTCAACGTCAGAGCGACCTACCGCGTTGGCGTCGCTGGCGGGGAGGTCGAGGGGCGGGCCGTCATCTCCGCGGTCTGGCGTCGGAGGCCGCACCGTCACCGCCTCAATGACGGTGCTCCCCTCGAAGGATGGAGAACGTGGACGCTCCGTTCCGACCGAGGCCCGCCCAATAGACGGCGTGTGTTGACGCTCCGCGCCGACTGAGGCTCGACCAATTGATGGAGAGTGTTGACGCTCGGCGCCAACTGAGGCCCGACCAATGGACGGAGAGTGTTGACGCTCCGTCCCAACGGAGGCCCGCCGTTTCCGGCCCTGCTCGGGGCCGACATTGTTAGATGTATTGAACTATATAGTGACAGTCGTATCAGTGGCAGATATGGACAGCGTGCTCCTTCAATCTGTTATATAATTTGATGAAATGTGAGTAAACATCTTCTCGACATATTAACGTTTGATTTGCATCGTTATCAACATAAAGGAACTTTCCTTACAAGAAGTAATTCAGCATAGTTTTTCTCGAATAGTTTTTTTGTCAGATATTTTTCTCGACCCTCCCCCTCAAAATGTATATTTTAAACACGAGTATTGCTCAAAAACTTACCGAGAGTTTTAATTTGTCTTTATCCATTCCCACGATCAGTCAAGCTTCATTTGTGGGAAAGGTGTTTGAGAAACGCTGCGAAGACTAACTTCGTAGCGGCTTGTTAGCGTTTAGTCTTGATAAAATAAGTGCTCGCTTTTGCGCTTTCGATGATGTCCATCATTCCTTCATATTCACACATTGCAAAACGAAAATTACCTGAATGTCAGAAAATAACGGCAAAAATGCAAAATAACACTAATGGTTGTTGATAAAGAGTTGCGAATAAGCAATGGATATTCTATTACCTTGCTATTTATTAGAAAAACGGTCCAGTGTATTTTTTCCTGCTGAAAATAAGGTCAACTGCTGTCTGAAAACACTACACTATGATGCTAAGCGCGAATGCAAACTGACCTTGTCTGTTATAGTTATGACCGCCATGATTATTTTAACGTATATGTACACCATAGTATGATACCAAACAAACGACCCTTTTCAAAATAAATAGCTGAGAAAAACTTTATGTTTCCTTGGAAAGAATCGCATACCTGCGAAATCGCTGCCGTTTGCTTTTCTATGACGAATTCTCGTGCCAATAAACGAGCCCTCCCCAGCTACTGAAGATCGTTCGGTTATAGGTAGGCGCTCCTCAAGGTCGCGCTTTTTCTTTTCTTGGTAAAATCATCAATGAACAAAATAATAAGTTACCTAATTAGGTATTCAAAAAAAAACTTGCTGGAAGGTAACTCATTCCTCTTTTAAAATTGAGGAAACAAATAACAATTTATTTTATTCGGAACTTTATATAAGAAGATAAGAGATAAAGCCAAAACAGAGGCTGCCAAATGAGCTGGCCAACGCTTTTTTCCACAAAACGGTACCTAAAGGCATGTGTATGAGCTTCTCGACCTCAATTCAGTGATACCACACACTGTGATGCTCAGGAGTTCGCCTGAAAGCTAAACGCTAGTAATGAGAGTTCTTGAAGTTACACAACCTAAAATATGTCTTTGCAGGTTGAAAGGCATTCATGCCTCAACTGAGTGGCTTTGATTGATAACCGTTTGTGTAGAATAGCTATACCTAACACTTTTTCTGTAGAACTATATTGAAAAACAAACTTGACATAGTCTCCAACGGACGCCATTTAATTGCGTCCCAGAAAAGCTATTTCTGGCACCTAAAAGCTGACTCGCCCCAAAATTGGTCCTCAGCACCTATTTGGTGGATACCAGCACCAATCACGGAAAATGACCTTAATTAGCTGTTTCTGGCACCTATTCATCGGTACGCCTTACTCTTTTTTTCTGAATCTGGCACCTAAATGCTGAGCGTAGCACCAATCTAGTAGAAAAATGAACTACTGGCTGGTAGAATCATGTTGTTCTGGTATAATGACCCCAGGAGTCTAGCCTAAAGGTTGCCAGTGCAGCTACACTCTAAGACAGCCCCGTAGTGATCTCAGCATTGTATATGACGTTTAAGTAAGCAAATAATATTGATTTGTTTGAAAAACAATGTCATTTAAATATTTAAAAGTATTTATTTGTAATGCTTAAAGGGAAACATTTTTGTGAGTAATTGTCTCGATTTTGACCATTAAAACGGGTATTGTATTTTTTGACGTCATCAAATAGCTCCAAAAAAGAAATGTAATGTTTTCATTCCGTTCAAGGCCGCTGAAGAAACGCGGGATCTTGCGTGGGACATTGTCCGTTGTTTGCCGCGCAGAGTTGTGCCGTGGTTGTGCCTTTTTCATCCGTTTCTTACTTATGTCATATGTGTGCATGAAGCTTTGATTTTGTTTTTGGTTATTGTGTGTCCGGTCAGTCAAACGCCCCTGTAGAAACCGGATGCTGCGTTTGATCGAGATGGAGTCAGACGATGATTGCAGAAAGTTAATAATATTGAAAAGAGGGCTGGTTGCGTGGCATGTCTGTTCAGAGTTGACATTTTGCTTTACTCCAGTTTATGACCTGAGAGCCTGGCTGGAAGTGACGGATCCAAACTTTTCACGTTAAAATGGCTGAGGGTGCAATAATATCTAGTCTCTACATAGCGGGCTGGTATAGGAGCGTCTTGCTATGCTGCACCATAGCTGGCTAGTGATTCTCTTTTGGCTAGAAATGGCATTAATCATTATCTCCACTGGCGAAAATGGCACTTGACATCACCGAATGCAACGTTCATGTTGTTAGGATACATAAAATCAGGAAGATTACGCGAATTAGGTAGGCAAACGTGGAATAAAATAGGTGCTGGATGTTTTGGTTTTGGTGCTGAATCAGCAAACAGCAAATACGGAGTTCAACTAGACGATCTGGCAACTTTAGGCTGTGTGGAAACAATTAGGTGCCAGATTCAGATATTAGGGTCGAATAAGCATTTTGGGGCTGATCAGCAATTAGGTGCCAGAAACAGCTTTTTAGGGACCAGAAACAAATATTCCCCGTCTCCAACTCTGGAGGGGCACTGCAGTGTCTCATCAACTTTGGGATTGGGATTCCACAGATAGCCTGAAATAATGGCGATCAACTGGCGAGGAAAAAGTTTTAGTCCTTTACAAATTAACAAGGATAGTTATATGGATAAGCCACGATTCCGGTTATCCTAGAAAACCGTATCCGTGTCACTGTATATCTGTTCCATTTTCGATCGCCGAATCTATCGTCTGACTCGAACATTCATATTGGCACAACGTTTGTCACTCTTCTGTCTCCCGCATTGAAACGTAACAAGACGTCGCATGTCACATAGCTGAAGTATATTTTATAGACGTGACGAAATGTCGGGCCACGAACATCCAATAAAATAAAGACGTCTTAACAACTCGTTTATTTTCGGGTCACGACGTTCTCTTAGTTTAGCCACACCAACCGAGGGACTCTGTGAATGTCGGCGGCGGGATGGGGGGGGGCGGGCGTCCTGCCGGTGCGCCGGGGAGCGAGGCGGCGGCGCGCCGAGGCGGTCGCCGGTCTCACTTCGCACGGGTCAGTCGTTCCCTACCGGCGGCGCTATTGCTTGCTACACTACTTAGACTAATCTACAGAGCAGCGGTGGTTGAAGCCGCGGAGCCGACCGGCCACAGCGCCCGACCGGCCGGGCAGCGAGCCGCATGGCTCACTGAGGCTGCGCGCGCACTTGGGGGATCGGAGAGAGCCGAAACGAGACATCATCTTTGGGGGTAGAGGAAGTCTGCTGGGGAGGGGCAGCGGTGACCATGTGGTAGAGCTCGCAGTCTGGAATGTTGGTTTGTCATATATGGTCATAGGATTGTGGCCTGTTATGAATAGATTTTGAGCGTGAATAGATTTTGAGCCTGTAACTTTTCAGGTTTGATGTCTCTTTTGTGATCTAACATCTGTTTGTGACCTGTTTGAGGATCGCCGGGCTGGTGCCTTGACTATATCAGTACGATTTGGCAGATTCGATGGCACTTGGGCCTCATAGACTGGGCTTGAGTAGTCGGGCAGAGCAGGATTAGGGCTTAGGGATCACCTGGTACCGAGGCTTTATCCAGCCTGCCTCATCCATACACAGACACCTATCCCGACTGCGTGCGAACGCTAGGTAGATTAGATACAGAGCGTCTTCGTGCGACAAGTCAGGGTCATCTTTTTGGAGGGTCCATTTACACGGTCTAATGGCAAGGTACTGTAGATTTGCGCGGCGCGCGCGCTCACGAATATCAGGGGTGTTCACAATACTGTAGACAGGTAGCGCGGACCCAACGAGGGGTCGCTGTATCAACCGAGATCACCTGACAGTACGCCAGCCAGATGAAACGGTCCGGGGGCGGTACATAAGATGGGTACAGCGCGACAGAACCTCGACACTTCAACACACACGCGAGCGCGCATACATGAGCACGCGCACACCCACACACCCACACCCACACACAGACACTGACGCACATAACTGGCGTGCTGGGGCGGCCGGCCAGCCACACAGTTCTCTCTCCAGTACGTTCAAAGTGATATGTCGAGTGTTAAGCGCATTCGGTGGCTCTCCGCTGCAGTGATATGTTCATGAGCCGCGCTGGCGGCTGGCCGTACTGCCGAATCTCTCCTCCCGGCTCGACGGCCTCCCGGCTCTTTGTGTGAGGACTGACTCAGTTGGTCAGGTGCTTCAGGTCGTCGATGCGACCGGTGATGCGCTTCTCACTGGCCATGTGTTCCACCTTGGACTTCACCTGCGGCAGGCGGGGGGGGGGGGGGGGAGAGGGATTGGTGGTCAGTCTGGGTGCAGCGCGGAGACGACGCGGCACTGCGAAATAACTGGATGGACTTGTGAGGTCAGAGGTCAGAACCCGCTATGAGCGCAATCAATGTTTGTGGTGTAGGTCCTAGCCCTCGGACGCCTTATCAATGCGTGTTTGGTGTGTGGCATTATTGATTCAGGACACGGCGTTCGATGAAAGTAGATACATCGCTTACCGACGCAATCTGACATTTCAACTACCCTCTGCCGCGGAACCCAGGCCATCCCTATTCGAACGAAATAAAATAGCAGCAAATAAATGAATAAGTAAAATGAAATAATGAAACTGGGACCAAGGCGCCTTGAGATTACAGGCACTGGGCAGCGACTGGATTTGTACCGCTGACTTTCTAACAACTGACACAGGAAACAACTGACGCAGCAGGCTCGCCTTAAACTACCTACATAAGCCCGACAAACAATGTGCGCTGTTACGCGACAGCGATGTTTATTGGTAGCTGGCTGGCCTTCCGGCTACCCTGTTTGTCAAAAGTCTTACCTCCTCCATGGGAACGTGTCCAATGCACATCAGGGGGTCGCTGAAGTACAGGCAGGCCTGGAACCAAAGTCAGACGCTATCAGAGGCTGCCTGACATATTGAAAGACGTCTGTTATAAAACATCTGCATACCGGCATACCAATGCATCGAGTGACGGTATATTGGCATGCAGAGACCTAACTATGTCTGTCTCTAAATGATTAAACGGTATGACACACTATCTTGGACGATGCCACTACATTTTTACAGCCTACGCTAAGAGCTGGTTTTGAAAGACTGCGAAACCAGATATCGGTATGTCCAACTCTCCGAGACTTTGAAACTCATCCGATTGACAGCAGGTGGTATCTGATTTGGCAGCGCTAGTTCGCCTACCTTCCTGGGCGACTGGCGGTGCCTCCTCAGCAGCTGGCAGCACAGACCCCGAGTGACGTCACACTCTGTCGTCATCTTGCAGTCCTCGTCTGTGAAACGATTATAAGCAACTCAAAAACATGCTGCCGAGTAAATCAGTTTTGGAGTTCGGTATTTAAATGCGGTTATATGAATTTTCATGAGGTTATTGTTTTAACGGCGCCTGTAATCGAAAATGGTAAACTTGAAGGGACATAAACATGTATGTGGTATTTGTAAAATGCTTTATCCAGCAGGTCGATTTGCGGTTACAGAAAATGATATTCCCATCAACTCCTAACTACCTATATCTCCAGCTGAAAGTCACCGCCCGTCGCTCTCCGCTCTGCGGATGTGACCAGTACTCACAGTAGGCCTTGTTTCCGACCACCTGTTTTTGGCAGCGCTTCTGACCGTCCGTCTGAAGCACGCACGTGAGGCTGGAGCCGCAGTCGGACGCCGACGAGCACGTGTCGCCCTCGTGGCGCACGTACTTGGGCATGCACGTGCCCGAGGCTGTCGAAGAAAGATAACTGTTAGACGAAGGGGCGGGAGGGCGCCGACAAACGGGAGGGAGGGAGGGAGAGAGAGAGAGAGAGAGAGAGAGAGAGAGAGAGAGAGAGAGAGAGAGAGAGAGAGAGAGAGAGAGAGAGAGAGAGAGAGAGAGAGAGAGAGAAAGAGAAAGAAAGAAAGAAAGAAAGAAAGAAAGAAAGAAAGAGAGAGAGAGAGTAAGAAAGAGAGAGAGAGAGAGAGAGAGAGAGAGAGAGAGAGAGAGAGAGAGAGAGAGAGAGAGAGAGAGAGAGAGAGGGAGAGAGAGAGAAGAATTGGAAAGTTAACAGAAATAAAAGATATACAGGGTGTCCGGATAGTTCTGGCGCTTTTCAACATTTTCTAAAACAAATGCCATTGGTTCATAGATACTAATCAATGGATCAAAACAATGACCAGGGACACCAAGCCACATGCTTCCGCTACGTGCTCATTCAATGTAACCACCGTCGGCGCCGACGACGGCCTCGACGTAGGGGAGGAAGCGTCTGCGGGTTTTGACGATGCGGGGCATTTCCAGGTCCTCCCATGCTGTCATGATGCGAGTCTTCAGCGACTCCAGGTTGGGGTGAGAAATGGCCTAGATCCTGTTCTACAAAACGCGTAGCACGCCTTAGTCGAGCGGGTCAGGTTAGGAGAATAAGGCGGCCTAATCTCATTTCGCCACGGTGATCTGGCCCGGCAAGCTCCTCTGTCAGTTTAGCTTGAATGGCGGCGGCGTTGTTGGAGGGTGCTCTGTGCTGTTGAAATGCGAAGTGACCCTTAGGGCATGTCGTCTTGACCCTCGGGTTGATGTGGCTGTCCAGGAACCCCTCGTGGGCCAGCCTGTTATTCATTTATTCGACATTGACGAAGATGATGGGACATTTTTGTCCATCAGACCCCCGCACTTTCTTCGATTGCCGCGTTGAAATGCTGCTCCGTTCCCATATCGCGTTCGAAACGGTCTGAGGATATTTTTTAAGGAATTCCCGAGTCGAAATAAACCTTTACCTGCTAAACCATTCATCGAAAAACGCCGCATCGCGCTGCAACTCGCGCCTCGTTCAAGTCGCACCCGGCCGCCGCGCGCAGGCATTCAGCGACAAGGCGCATCTTCGCCCATCTACCCATCACTGAAAACGATTTCAAGGTCATATTTACACGACCCCTGGCTGAGCAATCAACGAGGGGTCATGTCTGTGATGATTGGCTGAATGTCCAATAATCACAGCGCGCGTTACACGGGGTCCAAAAGAAGCGCCAGGACTTTCCGGACACCCTGTATGAGAAATGAAATAATTGCAGCGAACCGGCTTGGTGGAAAATGGTATTGCTGTGACAGTGCATACTTGTTACTGAAGATGAAGATTAAAGGAATAGCATGGCTGAGCCAGTGCTATGTGGAGTCGGAGGTACCGTTGAGTCGAAACATGATGACGCTTTTTGCCGAGTTCAGTTTGGTGAAAGGGTCACTCGGCTTAATGGATTAATCGACCATCAGCAAATAATTGAATGGTGTGAAACGTTTTTTTGAGCATGATTATGATTATAATGGAAATCAGATGGATTAGTAACCTTTTGCTCATAACTAATGTAAGCCAAAAACAAATCCAAAATATATTTTCGGTGCTGGACCTTCTTCAGTGGAATGACAAAAACACGAAAGAGTGACACATTTTAAATCATGATAAGTAAGTACGCACTCGCAACGCTAATAAAGCTACTTCCGAGAAAACGCATCACATTCATATGAAACATCCAGATTTTTGAAGGCATCAAACATAAGACATTAGATACTGGAAAACTTTGGACAGCATAATATCAAATCGCTATGATATATGGTACATACATATGTATCACGTACAGGTCTAAATGAGCGATATCAGTATGTAGCAGACACACGGTACCTAACAAGTAAAGATCATTCACATACGTTAGCATCAAACACTTCGTAAATGGTGTGTAGTGCATACAAAATACAGACACGTACTCTTCAATGGGCCTAACATAAAGAGTGGGCCCTGTGTGTGTGTTCAAGTGTAAATAAATATGTTCAAGTTCATGCCTGTTTGCGCAACTGAATGTGTTAGTGTGTGTGTGGGGGGGGGGGGTGCAAGTGTATAGGTGGGTGTGATACATACACACCCACACCCACACCCACCTATACACTTGCACCCCCCCCCCCCCCCCACACACACACTAACACATTCAGTTGCGCAAACAGGCATGAACTTGAACATATTTATTTACACTTGAACACACACACAGGGCCCACTCTTTATGTTAGGCCCATTGAAGAGTACGTGTCTGTATTTTGTATGCACTACACACCATTTACGAAGTGTTTGATGCTAACGTATGTGAATGATCTTTACTTGTTAGGTACCGTGTGTCTGCTACATACTGATATCGCTCATTTAGACCTGTACGTGATACATATGTATGTACCATATATCATAGCGATTTGATATTATGCTGTCCAAAGTTTTCCAGTATCTAATGTCTTATGTTTGATGCCTTCAAAAATCTGGATGTTTCATATGAATGTGATGCGTTTTCTCGGAAGTAGCTTTATTAGCGTTGCGAGTGCGTACTTACTTATCATGATTTAAAATGTGTCACTCTTTCGTGTTTTTGTCATTCCACTGAAGAAGGTCCAGCACCGAAAATATATTTTGGATTTGTTTTTGGCTTACATTAGTTATGAGCAAAAGGTTACTAATCCATCTGATTTCCATCAGCAAATAGGTAGAGCATGGGGAGTGCAGACTGCACAGTTATTATCCATACATTTCGACAATTTCAGAAATGACATGCCTGATGCCGGCATCGTAAATGTCACGCTCTATCCGTTTTGAAAGCAATTATACATAAGAATGGCAAATAAGTCGATACACCATTAGTCGTCAGTCACACCCTTGAGTTATCGTAAAAGTCCCGGTCTGTCCACCTAGCAGTGTGTATTATTTGCTTTAGAGAAGGTTGGTTTCAATGACTTCATACGTCATACCAGTAGCAAATATTTACACAGTGGCAACCCCTATACCTGTCCTCGTTTGAACATTAACCCATTCAGCATGCTATTCTGTCATAAATTGCAGTATATTGACAATCCAAGTATTTCTAACATTTTTTTTCCTTGCGTAAGGTCTCAACCATTACCGTATTCAGACAAAGAAATTCTGTTTAAGCACAAATGTAATGGAAATCTCTCTTGGAATCGACATTCGTAAATCTTAGCTGTTTGCCGTGACATGTCAAGCCCTTGTTATGTTAAAAGTAGTTAAGCTCTTCGCGAGTGTCTTGTGGGTCATATTTAGGTCTTTTCTGTGAAGCTATCGAGGCATGAAACAGGTGGATCAGAGGTACTTATCAGGCGACCCTAACAAGGATTCCCAGCTGTCACCTCTGTGAATTATAAACGGTTATCCTATAAGCTTTGTCTTTTGAATAATTCAATGAGGTAAGGCATTATTCATAAGTTATGCGCTTACAAAGCATGCGGCACATGCAAAGCAAACTCTGCAACGCCTCATAATTACAATTCGGCGTATGTCCGAATTATGGAATCACTCCAGTGCCTGCGAGCTCCAATTGTATGATGGACATGCAATAGTGGGATCGGGTGATGCCACTGGCTGGTGCAGCCGCTGCGCTCACGCGACGACGTCTTTGTGGCTGTCCGGGCAGCGCACGCCACCCCCAGACTCGAGGGAGGGGGGGTCACGGCCGAACGTCGATCGATCCCAGCTCCCCGGACACGCCGTGCGCCGCGTGCATGCGTACATGCGTCGATTGTCGGATCGGGAGACGCCGAAGTGAAGCAGAATGTCATGAGGCATCAGACGGCCGGCGTATTTATAATCGATTGAGCTGAGGACTGCAGGGAATCGGCTGGTTCTAGCTCAGCGCTCTCATATAAGGCTCTCGCATATCATGTAAGGCCTTGAGCGCTCTGATCCCTGGCGTGGAGAGAGCGGGATGTGCGCAGGGATGTCTCGCTCTCTGTTCGGCTGCTGTGAGAACTGTTTGACAGTGGAGACTGCCGTCATGTCTGTCCAGTGCCCTAGTGTCTCTACAGACTTTGATGTCCTTGAATATAAATACCCAAAAACTGATGTGCATGATTCTGTTCCAACTTTTGCCATAGTAATTAAGTCTACTGATGCGTGGGAAACTTAGCGTGCCGCCGAAATCAACATACCTATACCCACAGACCCACTTAATTTTTTATGCCTCAAAAGCTATTGTGATACTCGGTAAATATGCATGTATGTGCTGATGAACAATGGAGTGTGGTTAGCATGATAAATCCTCCAATCCCTAACCATAAACACTGAATACAGGAAAATGATGGCACGAATTAGCCGAAGCAATGGCGTTGGTGCGCATCAGCGTAGACAGGCTTGTTGACATTCTTGGTAGGCTCAAGTACGGTGCGGGCTGATAACAGGACAATTATAATTAGTGTGCACTGAAGATTACCCCTTTTGATCACCTGGTAAACATACCGAAGGGCACTCAGAATCAATATGAACTAATGTAAACAGGTGACATAAAGTACGTCGAGGGGTGCGTAATGGCTATATGTGCCTGGGAACCCGCTTAATATCCAAACAATTCACTCGACGTTATTACTCGAGTGTTGTGCACGCAAAGCCAGCCCACATACACAAACATCATGAAATGATTATTGCTATTATTTCCTTATCTGCACGCCACCATGGAGATGAAAAATGCGGCGCTATTTCTGTCCCACAAGATGCGCCGAGCCGCGTCAGGATATACCTAGAGAATAAATCCTGATAGGATGGTAAGGAAAATGGTGAAAGTTAGGATACCTACTTGAATTTCATAATGTTTTGAAGCTCTGCAGCAGTTGATTTTATTATTTTACTGGTGGATTTCGGCAGGCGTATTGTATTTTTTTGCAACATAACACGATTTAGCTATGACTGGCTACGTCCTCGGGTGAACGTTAACTGTTTGAGACACAATTGGTGCTTTGGGTGAAAGTGTTCGGTCGATCAGAGACTAACATGCAGAGCACCACAAGTCTTCTACCAATCCACCACAACCTGTACGTAAGTATCTGTTTGGCTGGATTCCCCCAGCGGGACGAGGGAAGTAAAGGATTGGACACTCCCTGCAGCTGGAATGCTGTTCGACCGCCCCCCCCCCTTCGTGTGGAAAAAAAGTTTTACCGCACTGATCAGGTAACAGCTAAGTCTTCTATCGAATAGTTGCCGTTTTTATCACGTACCTGCTGTATCCTCGTCCTCGACCTCGACGCAGAGATAGGAGTCGCAGCACTGTTCGTTGGAGAAGCAGCGCCGACCGCGGCAGTGCGCCTTGGTCTCCTCGTCCTCCTCCAGCAGCTCCTCGATCAGAGCCGCCTCGTCCCTCTGCCGACACAGGGTCAGAGGTCAGGGTCGACTCGTCCCTCTGTCAATACGGGCCAGGGTCAGATCTGGGCTGCCTCGTCCCTCTGGCGACACAGGATCAGAGGTCAGGGTCGACTCGTCCCTCATAGGAAATAATAGCAGAGGGACGACTCGTCCCTCTGCCGACACGGGTCAGGGTCAAAGGTCAGGGCGCTTCGTCCCTCCGTCAATACGAGCCGGGGTCAGAGGTCAGCTCTTCGGCCCTCTGCCGACACGGGTCAGGGTCAAAGGTCAGGGTCGATTCGTCCCTCTGTCAATACGGGCCGGGGTCAGAGGTCAGGGCGCCTCGTCCCTCAGCCAATACGGGCCGGGGTCAGATCTGGGCTGCCCCGTCCCTCTGGCGACACGGGTCGGGGTCAGAGGTCAGCTCTTCGTCCTTCTGGTGACACGGGTCGGGGTCATAGGTCAGCCCGTTTGGATTTCAAATATACGGCTCTCATTATATCGCCAAATTGGGGCAGTTATTACTATACCTACTGATGACAAAAGATATATCTTTACGAAGAATGCTAACGTGCTCGGGCCCGGCACTCATGCTGTGAGAGCACCTTTGAAATCTGTCTATCAAAATAGCAAACTGTGAGCTTGGGGTTTGCAGTCGGTTAAAACTTAAATAAAGCTTTCCTTTCAGACATCGGTCGCTGACAATAAACCTGTTACTGCCTCCTTCGCAGTAGTTAGACAGAATAGCTAGTCCGTAAATATGATGCCACCGAACAGTGCACGCAGTAACATAAGTCAAACTTTATAGTTAAATGTCACACACCTAAAAGTTCAAGAAAACCGGAAGTGAGCAATCAAGCGTAGTTTTATTTTTTGTCTTTGACAAACCCAAGGCCATATATATAGTGACAAACCAGGTGTCTCATGTTTGCGATCCCACATTGAGCAAATAAATTATGAAGGGGTCATTATCACGCACATCGTTTGATCGCCCACCCACACAAACGGAACATATCATTTATTTTAAGACCTGTCTTTTAGCAAAATATGTCGTAAACGGAGATTGGTTTCCAACGAAAGATTATTGCTACCGCTAAGGGAAGTTGATATTTATGAAGCTGGTAGCAGCAGCCTGGCTTATCGCTCATTGTCCAGTTTTATTGGCCACTCCACTCGATGCCTGGCATTCACCAATAAGCGGCTCAGGAAATGATATTGGGCCATTCTGGGCAGCTGGAAAGCACGCTGGACTCTGCTATAGAAAGGACATTGAACGCTTACGCATACCTATATGGCGCGCGTTAGGTAGGCATTGTGCACGTAAAAGTACATTGTACACGTATAATGCATACCATCCAACGTACAAGCACGCTCAATGAGCATGTGCAGTTCTCATGCTGAAAATATAATTACATTTCTAGCATAATGAAAATTAACCTGTTGCACAGGCCTACTGATATTTCAAGGAAAAAATGAAGCCGTTGATGGTTTCATTTTTGAATTTCAATACACATGAGCGACACGTTAATCTTCATCATAAATACCTACTACTAATATTTTGACAATGCTCAAATGGCAATGCTCCACGCTTAAATGCTTGAAATCATACCAACAAAAATATATTACGTGAGATGATGTTTTTCGTGCTCCAGCGTAGATGGGTAGCCATACGGCTTCCACGGTTGACAGTGATGACATCAGTCATCTTTTTGCAAGCTCGTTAAAGATTTGGGCTGTACGGGGATTCGAACCCCGGGCCCGGGGCCGGGGTTCGAATCCCCGTACAGCCCAAATCTTTAACGAGCTTGCAAAAAGATGACTGATGTCATCACTGTCAACCGTGGAAGCCGTATGGCTACCCATCTACGCTGGAGTACGAAAAACATCATCTCACGCTCTCAGTCCCAGCGGATAAAAACAACACCTAAGAAAAATATATTACACTTGTAATAACTTGGTAATAACCGTAAATGTGTAAGACGTAATGTGTAAATATGGTCAGCTATGCATATTAGCTCGCCGTGTGGGTACATGAAGACATGTACCATGTCTTCTGGCCACGTTAAAAATCCATCGTCCATACCACTCACATCAAACACTTTCACACTTCGCCCAACTAACGCCTCCTTACGATAATTCGTAATAGCACTCAAGTCTGTCGCCCATTTTGTGCCGGTTGGGGGTCACACATCCCTTCAGGAATGTGTACCTACATGTGTTCACGGTCCTGAAATCAAGGTGTTTTTTTTAATCACGACATTGCAGCAGGAGCTGGGAATGAACAGCAAAGGATGGAGCTGCACCAATGGTAAACAGTGCTAGTGAAGACGAAGCGCCTGTACGCGAACCCATAAAGTGCCAAAGGGACCCATAATGGCCCGTTATATGCTGTTCTGGCCATTCTAGCGTTCCTGTGTTGTCCTTGAACAGAGGACACTTGTGTATGCTGCAACCCCTGTTGCAAGCAGCTTGCACAATGCACATACATACATAACCTGGTAGACGGTAGCAAATGTTCTCTAATTTGACATTGTGGCAATTTTGGCCACTGTAAGTACCAGCGATGCCAGTAATAGGCACAGCACTGCAACAACCTCACTCGTACAGGTGTGTCGTATATTTACTGCAGGCGTTTCGAGTAATGTTTTATAGTCCCTGCTGCCTATTATGCGGATTTGATTTACATTATATTATAAATGCTGTCATGACTACTGACAAACAGAGAAACATAGTCCCATGTGGGATTCCCTTGTCAGATGGGAAATATAAGTAGGCACATCGGTATGCCAATTGCCAATTGCATATTATCCGTTTCTGTTTTAAAGGTGTTCGTAAGTAACCCTCGTTTTTTTGTATATGTTACAGTTAGTATGCGAAATCCGTTAGTTTGCAACGCAACTAGTTTCGTTGCAAACTACCTGACCGGCCAGGTAGTTTGCAACGAAACTAGTTCCGTTGCAAACTAACTGACCGTCCAGTTAGTTTGCAAACTAACTAGTTAGGATGCAAACTACCTAGTTACTTTGCAACGGAACTAGGTGTGTTGCAACGGAACTAGTTGTAATGCGAAATCGACGAGGCAGTGAATCTATTTGTCGTTTATATTCATCTTTTATGTAAATTTTAACAACGGTTGTTAAAACAAAGCTGTGTTTTTCTAACGGGTGACGCTAGACATACGTGTAGGACGGGTGGTAATATTTATGGATGAAACTTGAAAAAGTTTCGACTACATGTGACGATCACTGGTGGATCCAGAGGAGGGGCAGTTCCGGGGGGCATTTTACGATTTTGATTTTTTTTAGACACCCACTAACACCAGTCACCACCGCCACCGCACAGAACAGAACTGAACTGTATTGTCCCATATTGTACCGTGATCCGGGGTAAGCGTGCGATCAAGAATCTGTCTCACCGACCGACTCCTACTGCGACTTGCCTAGCCAGGTGACCTAGCGGTGCCGGGTCATTCGGTAACAGCCAATGATAAAAGGGCAGGTTGCGTCACAGACTGATCGGTTGTGGAGGTAGGAGCTGGTCAGCGACTCGGCGACCGGAAAAACTGTCGAGCGAAACCAAATTTCATTGACCTCGAGGTCACCGATATCGTCACAGGTCAGGTCAAAGTAAAAATTATCGATATTTGGCTTGTTCACCTTTTGGGCTCTGGCTGCCGTCTTACGAGTCAGATCAGGCTGATTTTTGGTTTACACACTCGTGAACAGATAATTTAGATACTCTGAGAGTACCAAATTTGTACTTTGATTTTCAGGTCAGGGTCAGGTCATCATAGGTCACGGAAATCTTATGTCATAAGTCGGTCACGTGACACATGATTTATGGTCCATTTAGGCCATAGATTTCGAATTCGGTGTCGCCTGTGTCAGTTGAGGCCATTTTCATCTGAATATAGCGGAGGTCAGGTCACTTTCAGGTCAAAAAAGGTCAAATTTTAAAGTTGAAATTTTCAACAAAAAACATGTCTATCGGATGCAGTTTGAGCTCAGGAACACGATGGCGCTGTTTATATTGGTGTACGATGTCAAATTGGTACATAAAATTGATTTGAAAAAATTAAAATTGTGAAATTTTTGCTATACCTAATGCGTATAACTTGGCCATTTTTGAAGATATCTGGCTAAAACTTGCTAGAGTAAGTCATAAGCATGTGTTCTATCGTATTTATTCAGTTTTTTTTTTTCGAAAAGTTCAAAAGTTTTTGAAAAAAGATACAAATATAAATTTTGAATTTTAATATGTATAATTTTCAAAGTTAACAAAATTTTGAAAATTTCGAAAATCTAACCATGACGTTACTCTGACGTCATTTCCAGCCGACCTATGATAGATACCAATTTCAAATTTTGACACAAGGTGTCAAATTGATGCAGCCGAAGGTACCTACTGAAAGTTTGGGGGCGATACGTCAAGCGGTTTAGAAGTTATTGCAGAAAAACGGGAGGGGGGCTATGAATAGCCCCCCCCCCAGTGGGGCGCGGGTTATGTCTAGACATTTATGGTGATCACTGGCGGTTCCAGAAAGATGGTCTTAAACGTTGCGGGAGACATAATCCCAAAAAAAGTTTCTCCAAATTACAAAACCCTTTCGGATTTTGATTCCAATCCTCACACATGGCTGAGCAATCTAAAACAAGTATTTGATTATAAAAGTTGTTCAGTTTTCGTTTCGTTCTCAAAACAAGTAAATATTTGTCGCTTTCGGGCGCTGCGTAGATGGCGGAACGATTTTGGGCGCCCCTCCCCCCTCTGGATCCCGCCAGTGATCGTAACGTTATGTAGTCGAATCCGGTTAATTCACTGTTTCTATCCTAAATGTGACCACCCGTCTTATGTCTAGTGTCACCCGTTAGACAAACACAGCTTTGTTTTAACAAACGTTGCTAAAATTTACATAAAAGTTGAATATAACCGACAAATAGAGCCACTTCCTCGTCGATTTCGCATTACAACTAGTTCCGTTGCAACACACCTAGTTCCGTTGCAAAGTAACTAGGTAGTTTGCATCCTAACTAGTTAGTTTGCAAACTAACTGGACGGTCAGTTAGTTTGCAACGGAACTAGTTTCGTTGCAAACAACCTGGCCGGTCAGGTAGTTTGCAACGAAACTAGTTGCGTTGCAAACTAACGGATTTCGCATACTAACTGTAACATATATATCTAAACGGTGTACCTACCTACCTACCACCTAGTGCACGCCTCAGTTGAACGCATTTTAGCGACCATAGTCTTAATTTACTCGTTTTTTTTTTTTTGTTCTGAGGAAAAACGTTATGTAAAAATGACATAGCCTGACCCCCTGATGAAGACATCGATAAATAAAAACACAAGCACCACCAACCACAACACAGTGCGGCCCCACTGACCAGTGCTGACGTTTGCGGCATGGCGTTCGGTGAGTAGTAGTGTCGGTGTCCTCCGCCGTACCCAAAACTGGCCAGCATCTCTGGCGAGAAGCGGTTGGCGACTCGGCCCCAGCCGAGGCCCGGGTGGACACAACAGCCGAGCACTAGGAGTAGCGCCAGCACGCGCCGAACGGACACGCTGGGGTGGCCGACCATCCTGGGAGCGAGAGGGCAGACTTGGTCAGTGTGTGTGTGTGTGGGGGAGGGCGATCGATCGGGAGGGGTAGATTGGACATCGAACACCATTCGATAGAATGGTCACAGTGAACGCTGGTAGACAGAATAGCTGCGACCCGTGTGGGGAAGGGGACGGGAGATTTGGGCTGTTACGGAGCAATACAAGTGGTCGAAGTCCGTCGTAGAGAGCGAAACAATACGGTCGCTCGGCGGGATTTTCATAGATGGTTATTTGTCGCTTTAGAGTATAGAGCTATCCAATGTAAGATTTTATTTTTCTGCCTCAGCCCTATTCTTATTCAAAGCGAGAACATATTTATATTCTGTTCAACGAAATGGAACGGCATATCTATCACTGGGCTCGAAAGTCACGAAATTTGCGATGCGTTTGAAGGAAGAATTATATATGGAATCCCAATTGTCTAACAACGCGCTGGCTTTCAGTCTAAGGATTGTCCGTTGTCAGCTGAATTATCAGGAGTTTGTTGATAATTGGCATTTGTACAATGGTGTAATGCCGGTGTTTCGCCCGTCTATACATTCAGCTCGACACCGCAATGTGTTCGTATCAGCTCGTTCATGTTCCTGATAAGGGGGCGTTGGACTTATTGCCGTCATTAAGCTGTCAAGTGGACATGTCAGTGTCCCTGGATGACGCCACGACACGACTCCATAGCGGCTCGTGACGAACAAGTTCGTGGCGGTACAGGTGGCTGCTCGGGTGCACTGTTGAACCAACTTTGCAAAACAGGTAACGGACCTCTGTGAGCCATGGCTGCGTTGTAAAGTTCTCCGAATCAACAGTAGGGAATTTCATGTTTGTTAAGTATTCAGATTCACTCGTTTGCAGTCAGCGTTCCTATCCCTCCAGCAAATGAAATGAGCTCTCGTGAAGCTCGGCCGTTGCATGTTTGATGGCATCACGTGCGGCCCTCCGAGGTCCTGTCTCGGTCAGCCCATGACGCCCGCTGAAGCCGGAGTAACGACCCCACCCGGCCACAAACTCTGCTTTCCAACACCAGCCCGGCTGCCTGCGAACTCCAGGGCGCTGCCGCTGAATATTGCAGTGCCCCTGAGAGACCAGCCCGATGAGCGGCCCTGGTAGACAGATCTCAGCAGATACCAAAATAGACACTCCCGCGGTGTACGTGTAATGATTTGATGCATGTTTGAAATACCATTGCTGAGCTCCGTGCGGGCGGAAACTTTTGGTCAATGTGATGTCGGTTAGATTTCCTCCTCATATTACAAAGAATACGAACATAACTTTCTCAGGAATGTAACTTATGAATTCGACGTTTCATGAAAGGATATCCCGGTGCCATTGAGCCGGGCCCCTGACCAGACCGGGGCTGGGCTACCGGCTCTATTTTCTCACCTAACAATGATACATGAAAATGGATCATTTACTCGTCGTAATTAAGACATTACCAGGCGAATTAGAATGATTCAATGAAATGAAATAAATAAATCAATTCTTGTATTAACTTTAGTCGGAAGACCCGCCACAGCTCTTTCAGAGTGATGCCAGCCACATTTCTAAAATGTTTTTTTTCTTCAGTTTTTACGTCTCTGCAGCTGGTCAGGATGGACTGTTTGTTTTGATAGCGATGTTATTATTTGAACCATTGCCTGTGTTGGCATTTTGCCAGCCGCTAACGTATAACAGGGGGAGGGGTCTGTTGGACCCCCGCAACGGTTCGGTCCCTGATCGAGCTAGAGCTTCGCAGAAAAAAACGAGGGTGTTACCCGTGACGAGAGGAAGCCGATGACGTTCAATTTTAGGATGGATTGACGAGATAAGATGGTTGACCTTCCAGATCAGCTTAACCCGCGCCGGGCCGGGGGGGGGGGTGTTTGAACAGCCCCTGCGGTTTTTCGCAGATATCTCAAAAAACACCTGTTCGTGCATCATTTCCGCACATGTTGTGAAAATTTCAGACCCCGGTCTCCTCAGGTCAGGTCACTAGGTCACGCCAAGTGACCTCATCCCAGAAAAAAATAAGAATGCTCGTCATAGCTACGCCGACTGAACGATTGTCTTGAAACTTTCAGTGATTGATTAGAGCAACATATCTATCAAATGTATATCTCGTAATTTTGATATCGGTGACCTAAGGTCAGGTCAATTTTGCGGCCTCTCCATTATAAGTCAATGGGAGAAAATTAATTGAAAAGCGTCTGTTTTGCACGAACGCTATTCTAGACACTCTCAAACATCGAGATGTAGGTAAAATTGACACACTGAACCGGAAAATGGCATTTGTGACTCCTTGTTATGTCCCCGAGGTCATCTCGGGTCACGAACAGAATCTAACAGTTTTCCGCTAGTAACTTCTGATAGAGGCGTGCTAGAGCGCTGAAAACGCCTTAGATGTGTTCGGCTCGACGTTGCAGGTGGACTGATATGCAACATGACCTTTTCCGGTCAGGTCATGACCTTGACCTGAGGTCAAATTATAGTTCATTCGACGCGTCTCGACGAGAGGAACAAGATGCTGGCAAAAGTAATGTTATGGCTCTTTTGAGTCAAAAGTTATTGCCGAAAAAAACGTTTTTCGTAAAAACGTTTTTTTTTTAGTTTTTGCCCTCTGGAGGCTAAACCGTTGACCTGAGATCAAATCTGAGAACAATATTCAGAAAGGTCTATAAAAGGGCTATCGAATGCGCTTTTCCGCGGCACTGTAGCTCTATCGGTTCCCGAGATAGCCGTCGGCAGTTTCCAAAATGTTGAAATAGTCAACAAAATAAACTGTTATATTCTGTTATATTCCTTTGGTGACCTCTGGTGATCTGATCTTTGACCTGACCCAAAAAATGACCAAGTGTTTTCGTCCTTATTTTGGACGTTCTTTCGATTGCCGCTTAGCACGTGTCGCTACGTGGCCCAGGAGCCGAGTTAGAAGGGGGTGGGGGGTGTTCAGACACCCCCTACGGCCCGGCGCGGAATCTCGGAGCACCGGCCCTGCGCGGGTTAATAACCCGAAATTCAGGAAAGTAGGGATCTTCTGAAACTTCTAAAAATCAAACTGTTATATTCTTTCCGGGGTTCTGATTTTGAGATTCTTTTATATCAGAGATATATTCACGCATTCGGGGTAGGCGGGGCCGGGTTAGGTCAGGTCAACCACTAGGGGTCCCGCCGCCTATCCATAGTAGGTGTTAACGATCACTGACAGCTTCGTAGCAGGTTCCATAAGCACTAAAACTACTTCTGAAATGTTCAAATGAGTGTTATATTCAAAATCAGCTCCGAACTTGCCCTTGGACCATGAAAAAAATCGAAAAAGTGAACCAAGGTCGTTTAAGGCTAGTAACCGTGACCTGACCTTTACGTGGCCTAGACATCTACCATAATGCAAGGGACAGTCATCATTCCACATAATAGCGCGTTTATAATCACAGAAGATTTGGAAACGCACGGATAATGTACGCTGACATACGCCAAATCGCATTTCTGGCCTGACACGGTCTCGAGAAGCAGGTCAAAGGTCAAAGGTCATGTGTTTCAGGCTCATCACGTTTTCAGAGGATGTGTAAAATTGATCAACTCTGGAAGAGTACTGAAGGTTTCGTTGCGATCGGCCGTTTTTTACGCGAGTTATTTTGAAAAACGAGGAGTGGAGATAAGGCTCCATTTATCCAAAAACAGTCGGATCAGTCGGATGTGCTCTTGTTTCTCACTTACGACATATTCCCAAGGTGTGACCAATATCGCTACTCAGTCGGGAATTTCTGGCATCATCTGCACAGAAATGGTAGGGACTGTCTTAATTAATTTCTCTAATTTTGTTCAGCAACAAGTACATTCGTACCTAACTTATTTCAAATGTTCTGAATAAATTGATTGATTATGCCCGAACCCACTTCAAGGTGAGCTTGCTGTGGAAGGCTTGGCCTCGACCGTCAGAACATGAGATGGGTCGGGTTGTGGAAGTGATTTAGAAGCCAGTTTGCTGTTTTCACCTGGCCGAACAGTGTGTCCCACTCACTGACTTCAGCTGGCTGGTGCTGTTCCATCAACCGGGACCAGCCTCGTCAGGAGTCTCAGATAGGTATCGAGCGCAGGAGCGGCGGTTCTCACCATTCGCCAGTCATCGCGGGAAACGCGACTCTGTTAACTTATCTACAAAATGGTACTGCATTTGCATTGTAACGCGTGATTTGAATTGAATCATTGGGCAAATTAATAAATTAATCAACCAATTGAATATTCTCTTGAAATTTTACAATACCACCAAATCCACACTATGTTATGAGTTCACACGATAAAGGAATGGTTGCAGGAATGACATTGTTTAACCTCAGAGCATACCTACCGGTGCCGGTTTCCATAATAAGCAGTTCACCATTTTGGCGCAACGCCAGGCAGACAACTCGCTTCTTTGTCTCACCTGCAGTTAACTCGCGTTTTGACTATGGGTGTCTGCCATCTCCCCTCTCCCAAGCTCAAGTGATAGACTGTGTAGCTACACTAAACCCCTCCCATCACCTCACCACACACACCTCGGTCCCCGCCTCACCTGGTTTGTTCGCTGCCGGGCAGTGGCGGTGGCTGTCGCGTGCGCGGTGCGCTGGGGGTCTCTGGAGCGTCTGCCGGCGGCCGTCGTCGCCGTCGTCGTCACCGTCGGCCGCGCTGCGCCGCGCCGGTCGCGCACGGCGCATCGACCGCGGCGGTGTCGCAGCGGCGGCGGCGGTCTCGGCTGATTTTCGGCAGATGAGCTGGCCGTGACGGCGACGGCAGCGACGACGGGCGACCGCTGAGACGGCTGATCAGACGGGAACGGCAGAGACGTGCCGAGTGCGTAACGCGCTCACTGGATGGAGATGGTTTGGGAACAGGAGGGCAGATGAGTGGAACATGACCTGTCCACAGCGTAGCCCCGCTTTCTGTGAACCCCCGAGAGGCAAATTTCGAAATTTGTCAATTGTGATCTACTGTAAGGTTGGAAAAGATACATAAATAAGATTTTTGGTGCACAGATGAGACCAAAAACGTTTTCAGCAAAAACGATTGGTATTCAGACTTGGAATGAGCCAGAGTAGGTAATCCACATAAACAAACGAATGGCGATAAAACTGGCGATCTTTTTTAGTCTATTGCAGATTGGATTTTTGGCCAAATTTTTGGCTCGCGATCAGCTATCAATGAGCTTAGGTAGTTATTCGTGTTCACGTAAGACGGCATACTGGACCACGTTTGCAACTATGTGGGCACGTGGTGAGCGGACATTGGACTTGATGTGATAATATTCAGTTAGTACCTATGCATGGAATGTGATGACGGTGGTAAATATAGACGCGATGATGCTGCGGGATCAACAATGGAGTTGATCGGCGGCTGGAAGGATTACGTGATGTATGGGATCATTGTATGATGTATGGCTGACGTGAGGATCTGATGAACCTGATGGATCAGGTGATGGTCGTTGGCTGTCAGTTCATCACGTTGAAAGCGAACTTGTCATGATATCCATGATAGATATCAGGTAGTTCGTGAAAGCCTGTCTAATGCACACCTATAAACGGTGCAACGAAAGTTCTAGCTGGACTCAGTGGCTAAAAGTGCGTGAGTAATTAAGTAGTGCGTCTACATTCCAACTGCCTTCAGTAGGTATTACTTAAACGTCAGATTAAATATTTCACAAAGAGCAGGTGTCCCGACGGTAAATCCAGTGCTAATTAACGATTGCAGAGCTGCCGAGTTATGAAATTTCGTCGAAACCAGAAAAAACGTCTAATCTTTAAAGTGAGGTGAAAGGTTGACAGGACATTAGCATGCTTAATTGATACCATAATTAACCCGCGCCATTTCTTCATTTTACAAAATAAGCGATGAAAGATTATTAAACACGCCTGCGAATGTAAAAAATAAGCCCAACGCTAACTTTATCAGCATGTCATGAAAAGTTTCATTGACTTCATTGGCTTCTTGGATCTTTTTTGAATAATTCTTTAAATTTTCACACACAGTTTGGGCAAAAGTTCGAAAACTATGTTTTTGTGCATTTTGTAAATGATTTGCAAGAATGTCTTTTGCGATTGAATAAAAAAACTGGTTTAATTTGACAAAACGAAATTATTTAGAATATCAAAGTTATGTGCCGAAAATCTGGGAGAATCTATTTTTCACCTATTTCTAGGGGAGAGCGGGGCCAGTTGAACCACTTTTTATATATTGACATGCACAGCGAGATCTAGTTGTCATATCGAAAAATGCACAATACCATGAAAAAAAATATGTTCTTTTGGCTTTATTTTAAGATATGTAAAAATATGTTTCAAACATATTTTGCTGCCAAACGCATGCTTATGAAACAGCTCTACGCCCGTTTCAAATGACCCCGATGCGAGGGTCAATTGAACCAGCCCATGGGGTCAATTGCACCTATCCTTAACCCGCGAGTTGCTGGGGGGGGGGGGCGTTAAACGCCCCCACTTTTTTCGCCGGGCCATAGCATAAAAACGGCGCGCCGCAGGCGCGCCAAATTTTGGGTACCTGTAGGGAATTGATTGAAGTTTATTGTGACAAAGTTTCAAATAAATTAGTGGGAAAATTTTTGAGATATCGAGGTTTTAGTGACGTCATGATTTGAGTTTTCGACCAAAAACGGTATATGTTCAAAAAATCATATAAAATCACAAAACAGACATACAGACATGCCGTAAACGCCATTAGACTGCCAATACCATGATCAATCAAATGGCTATCTTCGATTATTTATTATCGTTCCGCATTTTCCAAAATCTTGAACTGAATCTTGGTAATTTTTCGTGACTACTTCACGACCATGATACATGAATTTATTAAATTGAACTTTTTGAGCCAAACACGTACACATATCGATAGGCGTTATCACAAGTGTATTCGCGGCCATTGGGGCGACGTAAGAAAAGAAGAAAACAACTGGCCCCAAGAACTTTAAATTATCAGTTAGCATGCACCTTTTCCTTGATTTGTAGAGAATTTACCATTAATTGTTAGAGAAAATTGCATTTAAAATCTTCCATTTATGCTTTTTTCATCGTTTGCACAGTATGTTCTTTTACTAAGCTAGAAACACTAATTATAAATAGTTCCCGCATCATCAAGAACAATAGGAAAGGCTTGAAGTGAACACAATAATCTAAACGGCTTTATAATCCATGTGAAGACACTTCTAAAATTGCCTGTAGAAATATTAAAGGCAAAAGTTCAACTTTTAACAAGACGGATGGCTATAAACCTATTCAACGTGTGACAACTCAGCCGGTATTTCGTCGCCTACAGCCCAGCTTTCCCTAGTGACCGATAGAGGCGCTGCTATCGATGTCCGCCCGTGCCGCCTAACGTGATAAAATGAATGTCACCATCGTGTTCTACGCCCCAAATTACCTATAAAACATGTATCACAGGCTGCGAATATCAGTTTTGATTTTCGGGGATATGTGCCTACCCGGTTGACCTGACCTTGACCCTGACCTATGCTTGACTGACCCCTACATGGAGCTGACACTCTTGTAGGCCTTGTAAGATGGATTGTGCACCGTTTTGACAGAGTTTATGGCGAGAGGCGCCCATTGCGAAGTCCTGAAGTCCATGCTACTGAAAGCCCGATTTCAGGTGTTTGACCTGACCTTGACCCGACCTGTGACCTCAAAATTCAACTTTAAAGTACTCATCTGAAGCGTCTCGTCGCGCTCTTTCGTTTGCCGCCTCGTGCGTTTCGCTGCGCCTATTGGTTCTCGAGTTATCGGCTGGGGGGCGTTTAACGCCCCCCCCCCCAGCAAACGGTGGGTGGCGAAATACCCCAGCAACTGCCGGGTTAACAATGGGATGTTTTCCTCTTCAAGGCCACTTTCTTAAGGAGATATTTTGTCCGGTTTACTTTTCCAAATGCTTCATTCAATAGGTCGTTGGAAAGCTAAAAGTGCAAAGTTCCTCATAATAGGTGACATAAAGTACATAGACTATGGTAAAATGGGCGGGTGAGGAAAATGAGAAATATCTCAGGCTATAGTGTGCTTTCAAGCAAAAGGCTGGAGAAAAGGGGTCAAAAATTGAGCTCTATTAAACTACTATTTCAGTTTAAAAGCTCATTTCAAAGGTGGACTATTTCCTTTAATGTTTACAGCCCCTGAACAATAACCATTGCAAAGGTCACCGGGGTCCATTGAAACGGCCTGTGGCCCTGTTTCAACTGACCCTCAAAGAAGCGTTTCAATTGACCCCATCCGCTCCCGCCATCTCGCACGCGCCGTAAAGCACATGTCAAACGAGCTGGAGGGATGGCATCATGCTGAATGAAGGGCCAAATAAGGTGTTATTCCGGAGCCAGGAGTTCTTCTTTCAGCAAACAAAGGTATATGAGATATCACAAAATATTCATAAAAACGATTTCTCCCAAACGCCCCTCAAAACCACAAAAACAAGTGTCAAATCAAAATTACCGTCCGTTTGCCGCCCAAACGCCGTTGACAAAGGAAGTGGTCGAGCGCGGATGCGCAGTGGTGTCGGCAACGCCATATGTTGCATACTGTTGAAAATAAAGCCGTGTTTCATCTGACCCCGTGTTTCACCTGGCCCCGCTCTCCCCTACTTTGAATAATGCATAGCTCATTCTTAGTTACCCAGTAACCCCTTAAGCCTTGCTTCTGATACGAGCCCCTAACCCGACCCATCGTATCGCCTGTTTAGAGTCAACTGACCCAGTATCATTGACCCGAGCCGACCTGACCCAACCTCATTGACCCGACCCACTCCGCCGGCCGCTGAGGCCCACTGACCCACCCGTCACAGCGCGGCGTCTGCCCGGTCCGGCTCACCTGACCGAGGCGCCGAGTTTGTTTATGGCATTACCATAGTAATGGCGGCGGCGCTATCGACGTTCGTTGGCGCGTTGGGTGTCGACCTCGACGGGGCGGTCCAGTGCATCGCCGGCCCGCCGCTGCCGCCGGCGAGTCGGAGGCGCGTCACGCAGCCATGGGCTGCGGCCAGAGTGCAGAGGCGGCCGCCGCCTACTCGAACCGCGGATCCATCGCCACACTGGTGAGTATTCCGGCAGGTGGACAGCGAGCTCCCATTCCTGCCGAGTTAGCTTCGCGCCCCCATCCCGTACAGGACTATCCGCGCCTGGTATCCCGTTTCCTACTCCGTGTGTTCCGTACTCTGCCATGTGCTCTGGATTTCCCACACTCTGTCTTCTCTGAAAATTCAGAATTCTGCAATCTTTATTCTCCATATCCCTGCAAAAGCGAGGCGGATAGATGTTTCGCTTAGCCACGCTAAGCATATATTTCTTTCTAGTGCGGTGAGTTGCTTTGTGTGTGGATAACTTAAGGCTAAGCTTGTAATTTCGCCTGCTGCTTACAGAAGCCGCTACCACAGCAGCACGATGTCGGGAACAGCGGATCGGGAAGTGACGGTCCTGAGCCGGCAAACGGAACAGAGGTAAGTGACATTGCGCGATGGCCTGTGAAGAATAGTGATAACCTTAGGAATAAGTGATGAATGAATAGAGAGAGAGAGAGAGAGAGAGAGAGAGAGAGAGAGAGAGAGAGAGGGGGGGGGGGGAGAGAGAGAGAGAGAGAGAGAGAGAGAGAGAGAGAGAGAGAGAGAGAGAGAGAGAGAGAGAGAGAGAGAGAGAGAGAGAGAGAGAGAGAGAGAGAGAGAGAGAGAGAGAGAGAGAGAGAGAGAGAGAGAGAGAATTTATTCACCTATCTATACACAAATGCACTTTTCATCTTATAACACAACTGGCGTAAAAGCGCTTGGTGCGCTTGTAACAGGACGCCGCTCGCAATGAAAATAGGGAAGGGAAGGTACGGTATCTCAAGGGCACAAGAGGTGTTTGTGAGGCAAGTGCGACTCATGTTCGGGGAAACGAGTTAGGCGTCGTTGCGTTGGAAGGGGTGATAGGAAGGTAATCAAGAGCTGCCCACGTAGGACTGGTGGCCCTCAGAACAAAGCAGTTTCATGTTGTGAGTGACTAACGAGTTGTGAAAGGGTCAATGTTAAAAACTCATGTTTCGGCGCATTTTGGGTACAGATTGAGCTGTTAGCAAGTGCTTGTGCAAGTGCAAGTCAACAAATACAAGTGCTAGAAACTCGTACTGCGCAGTCGTGCGGCAGCCAATTTTATTGGGGATGCGCATTATGAACACACATCAGCTGCACCAGACGTCGAGTTCTTTGAATCGGAAAATGTCAGGCATTGATTTATTTCAATGGAACGGCAATAACAGACGGACGTGCCCAATTACAGGAGTATGGCTCAGTTCAGGTCCAATTGAAAAATACAACGCTTTGATCGCAACGAATGATTGGGTAGAATCGGATTTATATTAGTGTAATTAATGACAGAATACATTCCCCTGCCTCCGTAATGACATCCGACTATGGCACGATAGATGGACGAGGATAGTATGTGGTTTTAAATGCGGTAAATGCGTTGTATTTTTATAATAAATTGCTTTCTAATGAAAACGTGATGCCTGCTACCTAAAACAGGCAATAGAAAGAAGCGTAAACAAATAACGCAATGTAAACAAAACATGAAAAATCAGTCCATATCAACCAGATTGCAGGCATGGTGTCGCTCGCATTAGACCCTCACACTCGGTACCCTTTCAGCCGGTGGTGGACAAAGCCACGCTGGAGGAGTACCTCCAAGTGGAGAAGGAACTGGGCGAGGCCCGCCGGGCCGACCCTCAGGTGCTCTCCCAGCTGGAGATGAAGAAGGAGGCGCTGCAGAAGATGACGCAGAAGGTGGAGCAGCTGGAGCGCCACTACGCCGACCTGGAGGCCTTGGCGTGAGTACCCGCGGGAGGGGCACGTGTGACCTGGACCGACCGCACCGGACACGACGGTCGCGTAAATAATTCATTGAGGAATTCCTGGTAACTGAGCGATGTTGTTTATTTATACACTATCGGTTATGACAGTGCACGCCGCTGTCTACTCATTGCCGCTTTCGGTATCACTAACTTTTACAGGGAAAAGGAGAAAGCTGACGTCGATCAGTTGGAAAGACCGGACGTCAAAAAATTCCTTATTGAACAAGGAAAGCTAGATGCACGAATGAGTAAGGAGCAGGAAGAATATTTGGAGGCGTTGCAGAAAAAGGTACTCCTGACAACTGGAGCCTTTACGAGAATACGGTATCTTTGGTTGGGTTGTGTTACAACACATTTTTTACATGCAATTCGATCTTGGGATGCATGGATGGTTTGATCTGGGGTTCATTAATTTTAGTTAGTTGCTGGATATTTATCTCATCAGTTCCGGTCCGAACTGGGAATTGTTTCAATTTGGACATGGAGGCATTCTTCTCGCACCTACAACGGTCTTTGTAGCTAGGAGCATGCCGTTTACCACTGTGAGACACATTCAACAGACATGGAGCATGTGTCGCGGTAGAAAACTTATCTCTTTTCAATAACCATGATAACGAAGCATCATGACCACACTTTATTGAAGGTTCACATAAGCAACAATACAACAAACGTGTGCCTATTAGTTTTGTTGCTTGACATTATGAATGTCGATGAGATACAACAAATCCAAATGGCTATAATGTAAGTTACACAAAACTTCTCTCAACCCTTAGATAAGAAACAAAACAGGGAATTTATAGATAAGGTGTCAGTATTGGTCACTTAGGGTAAGCAAGGCGCATCAAATAACAGAACTCGGTAATAAGTCGTCCATTTCGAGATATTTCTTCTGGTTTTCAACTTTTTGTGACCTTGCTGTACGCTCTCGGTTCTTCTCGCTAATCGTTTCAATTGCGCTTACTTGATACCACCACCATATAAGGGTTCATGAGGTCAGGCATTGTGCTTTGTGCTACCTGGTCCGGATGAATACCGCTGCAGTGCACTCATATGTGCCCTAGCCATGTCTTTTACCGCAGTTATGTTTTTTTTCTTTTTTTCTGATGCAGCGTGAATGATATCTCGATCGTTCGGTGCTCCGTCGTACATTATACAACATACATACATGATGTATTCCTGCTTCATTTACACACCTTAGCTGTCTGCCCCTCCTGCACTTAGTGTTATCAGCCATGTACAGGACAGATCGTAGCTAGTTGTGCCAGCCAGCCCCCGTGGCTGTGAGTTGTACATATGTGTGTTCTCTAGTCGGGACGGTGACCAGACGGACACCAAGGAGGCGGTGGGCGCCCTCCAGAGCGGCCAGCGGGTCAGCACGGCCGAGGAGGAGCGGGTGGCCGGGTTCAACAACAAGGTGCGCTCCGGCCCGCCCTCGAGCCAACGGCACCGCTGCTGGCTTAGCTCAACAGTCTCATTAGACACATGAGACTACCTGGCTTAGCCTGGCTTTCCCTGCTAGCTTCCCGAGCCAGCTCCCTGCCCCTGGCTCTCCGAAGTTCGCTCTCCACCTAGCTCCCCAAAATAGCTGCAAAATCGTAGCTCCCCTAAATAGCTCCCCGGCTAGCACCGAATTAGCTCCCTAGCCCTAGCATCCCGATCTAGCTCCCCGTAATAGCTCCCCACCTAGCCCCCGAAATAGCTTGCCGACGCTAATCGCACCGCTCTTGGCCTAGCTTGTCATCCATAGCCTACTCAGGACCTACGCCGGTGACTGCTGCTCAACGCTAGCCACGCCAACCTCAGGCGGCCCCCGCACACTGTATATAACGCGTAATGCGTATTGCGTATGTCATGGTCAACAGCTTCGAATGGTGTATGCATTCGACTGCAGCAGTTCGATCAGCTGTGTGCATACATACCCAATCTAAAAATGTCAGCACATTGTACAAAGTTTTTGCACTGATGTCTGCTGCAGTCTTAAAATGAACATATGCACCTCATACAGATGATTTTGCTAATGGTGCTGCCTATATATATGTCTATATATAATATATCTGAGACGAAGAGTCCCGTTTGCTGTTCCAGTGTGGAAACTAACGGGTGTGCACTTAGTTTCTGGAAAAAGATTGATCATCCGTATCTTTAAAACTATTAAAGCTATCAATACAAACTTTCGTATAGTGAATAATCATTCATTTGGGAATGAGCATGCCAAAATTCAGACCAAACCGACTACTTTTTCATACAGAAAGGAGCTTACAACTAAGTCATGAACGCGGAAAAGAGTGGCGGAATTTTCACAAAAATTACAAAAAATTCCAGAGAAACAACTTCTCTTCCCACTGGCGCTTTCTAGGTATTGCTAGAGAGAAAGCTTGTGCCATTAGAGGAACGGCACAAGCACGGGGAAGTGCGTGGCACATGCACAGTGTGCAGGTGTGTTGATTCGTGGCGAAAGTGCCCCAGCAGAAGAGGCTCGTTCTGGTAAAAGGTATTCACCATCTTGTGAGCGTTCCCGATACGCTTCCCGTCCTCCCGTTTTCCATATTTGTAAGAAAATTTTAAATTGTGATATTGTATACCAAAAAGGGTAGGGATACCATGATCCAGCACTCGGCAGCCGATAAAAGCAGCAGAGGAGCAATGAGACATGGATCTGTAAGCTATCATATAAATGCTGAGTGCACAGACGATTCAAGCAATCACCTGTGGATGCTGGAATTAGATCACCTAAAACGGAAATTTTATGTAATGAAGATGGGGCAAAACACCACCTCGAGAAGCAAACGTTCACAAAATGTGGAACCTTAGCCTGTTGACCACTTTTGACGCGATCTCCTGGTCAGTGGACCGCCATATCCCCACGTGCGGTATCCAATCATTATGTTAGCCCTATGTAGCCAATGCCGACGTCGATATCTTTTGACAGCAGTGATTAAATAAAGAAATTTTGTTACATTGGGAACATCACTGCCCGAGGAAAGTATAGGTGTCATGATCACACCACAATGCAGTCACTGTGCGCGCGGAGCGCTGGATCTACGGGACGGCGCACATGTACCGTTTGTGAGCCGCGAAGGGAATCTTCTTGGTATATCTCAACGGCGCCCGAATGGGGACTTTTGAAGACAATATAGTACTAAGGAAGATGTTAAGTGCATATTAGCGTCTATTTGAAGTCCATAACCCGCTAGCCATCGCCACACCTGAGCCTGGAGGTGCCGCGCAATTTCAACAGGGAGCGTCTGTATAGCACGTGGGCTGTAGACCGCCTGTGAGGAGAGCGCGCCTAATTCTTGTGACAACTCTTAACTATTGCTGCAATTTATATATGTGCCAAATATCATCTTAATCCAAGTTCAAACACTAAAGTTATGGCAGCACAAACTTTTTCCAGAAACTAAGTGCACACCCGTTACACTTATGCTCGCTCAATACACCTACCTGTATTGATCGCTTGTGATATCTAGGGCTTCATAACTATTTTAATTCGAACCGAATCATGTTTTTCGCTTTTCGTTTTTCCCGCATTTTCACTATGGATGTTTGTTTGACTGCGCATTGCGCAAGGTGTGTACTGTGTAGTGAGTTGGGTGCATGCCAGCATGTTTTGCACAGCCTGTTTTATGATGATGGCCATAATCAACTCAAGTTTATTTTGAATGCACGATGAGAATATTGTGGATGGTGTTTAGTCTGCTTATTATTAGCAAAGTATTTGCTGGGATATCTTGAGAACATACAATCGTTGGAAAATATAATGCACATTTACGGTTTTTACCAGCAAAGTTATGAAGAATTCGCCGGCATTCGGCAATACAGCCACATGTAAGTGACCCGTTCTGTTTCTTTCACTGGGCTCATAGAGACACCTGATAATTGAAAGTCTTGTCTTTTCTTTTCGTGATACCAGATGGGCTCGAACACTTGATAAGCTCGCTCAATCTTATTATGAGGCTGCGCTTCAATAAGGGGCAGATTTTCTTCTTTATCGAGAATTTCCCCTGGCGGATAATTAGTGGGCCTGTACTGCATTGTTGAAAGATGATCAATGGCTGACACGGCCTCGAGTGTTTCTATATACCGGCTCATCGCAGAGTCTCAAACATAGTCTATTCGGATCGATCTTTTGAGGTCTTGTCACGGGATCTTATTAGTGTGTCTATCTACCCGCTAAGTGTATAAAGCCACCCGGCCTGTTGACAAATGGTTTAGATGCCAATTAGAGTATTGGGTGAATAACAAACAGCACAGGAGCAAAAATCTCGTTAAAGCTGCGCGACAAAACAATTTTTGTGATCGTCTAGCAACTATACTGCTTACAGTGTTCCCGATTGACCAGTCACTATCACTGTTATTCCTGGGATGCCAAGAGTCATAAAATGATCACGGTTTGCCGGGCCGCTGCAGGAGATAGCCAAACAGGAACGTGACGAGGCCATCCGACAAAAGGAGAACATACAGCGCGAGGTGGAGCAGCTGCAAAACAAGGCATCCCGGCTGCAGAACCTGCTCACCAAACAGGATGCCCTTCTAGGTGTGTGTGTGGGGGGGGGGGAGGGGGCAGTTTTGTGCGTATGCGTGGCCTGTCGACCCAAAAGCGAACTTAATTAAATTGTGTACAACCACAAAATCAGCACTAATAGAGAAACGACATATGCATGCAGCGTGGTATAAAATGGTGTCGACCCTGTTTACGAGTATATTTCACAGGTAAAATATTTGGTGGCGAATATGGTAGTGAGCTGGAGAATAAACTGGAGCAGGAGCTGGACGCCCTGGAGGCCCACAAGGCCCGAATCATGGAGGCAAACTACAAGGTAACTTGTCAATACCACACAATGCATTCTTATTTCTTTATATCTAAGTGACACTACCCTAGGTAGTGTATGAAAGTGACAAAAAAACTACAGGGTACCGCTTGCTACTGGCCCCGTTTTCACGTCAATGTAAAATGTTGCGCTTTGATTTGACGCTTTTAAAGGGACCCTCCCACCTTAACATTAGATTTGAGTTGAGATAGCCAAAATGGGGTCCCTGGCTCACAATTACCGGTTTCGGCACTCACAACATCGAGAAATGCCTTAAATCGGAAATATTGAATTTCAAAATTGCAGCATTTGGATTCAGAGGGGCTAATGCTTTTGAATACCCCTCTGAATGTGTGACGTCAGCGCAGATCTAACGATTTTTAAATGTTTGACTAAAACGTTCCGTAGCACGCGGTGGTATATGCTGCTTTGCGCGCAACAAGTACCGCACTTTCAGCTGCCAAACTATTGCTTCAAAATAAAGTCGCTAGGAACAGCGGGGATCCCAAAAAGTAAACAAAAGTAAAAGTCTAATATCTTGAAAACCGGTGAGTATTTTTCGGTGAAATTTGGTAGATATTCGTTTTCGCTCTTTCTGAACCGAGCGACATCACTTTCATGCCAATTCATTAACTTTTTTGAAGGTGGGAGGGTCCCTTTAACCTTATTATCTTGTCAAGGCTGCGAAATGTGAGGCCAGAGGAATGACTGACACTGTATCATCTTTGGGCCGACAGTGGCGTCAGGCCCAGATGATGATGGAGTTCGCCTGTCGACAACTGGCCGTGGCCGTTCAGAAGTGGCAGGATCTGCCCGAAGTGCCTCAAACGTACGCTCTTTTTTCATTGGAAAGGCACCTACTACTTACCAACTACCAAGGCCTAACTTGTTGAGATCGAGAAGCCAATGTTTTGGCGCCGTTATCCAACGTATATACATGACGTCTCGATTTAAAAAATCCTGTGGATTAGAGCACGCTTTCATAGGTCATTTAGAATATTACATACCGTTTTGCCAGATACTGATTGTCAGATGTTCATCAAAAATAAGACTATAGTTTCTTTTTAGCTATTTCTTTAGCTAGCCAATGGGCCTCGACATGTTCTGTGATCGATTACAGAAATATTCACGTGTAGCGTATTCATCCTTCAACTGTCTCAGTCTTAAACGTATTATTCCACTACTCAGGAGTCTGGAGGTGCGATACACCATGGCTGCGGAGGCCAGAAATAATTTGGTAGCGGCGTCTCAGAACATTGAGGGCGCCCACCGCACTCTCAGCCATGTCGAGTTCCCCTACTGCAATCCAGACGAAGTGGAGACACTCAACAAGGTATGATTAACGTGCTGTGTTTGTTTAACCTTCGCCCCAGTGGGGGGGGGGGGCATATGTTACCACCCTGTCGCGTTTTTTGCGTGTGAATAAAAAACCGCGGCGCGTAGCGCCGCGCCGCTTGGGGTAGCTTTTGGTACATCAATTTTGGACAATGTGTGAAATTTTTGACCCCAGGTCATGTCAGGTCAGGTCACCAGGTCAAGTTAACTGACCAAGCCTAAAAAAAAGTTTGCAATCATGTCCAGCCTGCAGTGTTTGTCAGAAAGGTTTCAAACTTGGTGGATTGCATACTGTTATGGGCGCCTACAATTTGTATATCTCGGATTTTTTATATCCGTGACCTAAGGTCAGGTCAGTGGCGAAACCTTTCCATTACAAGTCAATGGAGAAAAATGAAAATGCCTCTAGATCCGTGTGTACGCATCGGAACAGTCCAAATATTTCAGAATCACAATGATTTAGTCCACTCGTGATGACCAGGGTGTCATTTTTGCTGATAGCCTCTAGACAAGTCATCCGAGGTCACTTGAGGCTACAAACAGTTTTTTGCCAATAACTCGCGATTGGAAAGAGATAGAACGCTGGGGATGGTCTCATTGTGTTTGTCTTGTTGAGACGCATCGACTGATATGCAACATGACCTTTTCCGGTAAGGTCATGACCTTGACCTGAGGTCAAATTTTCAAATTGACCTTTCAAGGTCAAATTATAGTTCATTCGACGCGTCTCGGCGAGAGGAACACGATTCTGGCAATAGAAATGTCGTGGCTTTTTGTAGTCGAAAGTTATTGTCGAAAAACACTTTTCGTAAAAACAGCTATTTTTGGACTTTTTGCCCTCTGGAGGCCAAACCGTTGACCTGAGGTCAATATTGATAAAGACCTTTTCAAAAGAAGAGTTCAAAAGCTATCGATTGCTCTTCCCTGCGTTATTCTAGCTACCATAGTTCCTGAGATAGCGGCATGCTTTCTGAAAAATATAATGACAATTGGCAAATTTTGACCTTTGATGACCTCTGGTGACCCCAATATTGCTCTAAGATGAAAAATGACTGAAATACTTTCAAACGTACGCATTGAGAGCTATCGACTGCTTTTTACCGCGTCTTTCTAGCCCTCTTAGTTTTTGAGTTATAGGTGGGTGGTAACATATGCCCCCCTCACTAGGGCGAAGTTGGCTGAGACCGCCACTGGGGCGCGGGTTAATTATATGGTACCTAAACCTATTTTTTTCTGTTCATAGCCCTCTCACCAGGTCGCACATTGTACAAGGCATTCGTGAAAAAGTAAAGAATGGACTCCTATTCGCAGCTTATGACTAGTATAACTGTACTGTAACAATTAAAAAATGGTATACCCACCAACTTCACACCTTGCATGCGATAAGTTTTCATTGTTCAGCCTGTCGGCCAACTGACTATGCACTGAGCTCAGTACGTCTACTGTACGTTCCGCACGTTCCCCGCAGGCGACGTCGTACGTGTTCACGGACATGCAGTCGGAGGAACGGCACGCGCACGCCGGACAGTGCTACGACATCACGCACAAGAGGGCGGCCGCGCTGCTGCAGTGGTTCGATCAGGTCAGTTCTGGTTCCGTAGGACAAACAGGTCACAGGTCAGTCCCGGTCCGAACAACCGCAGACGTCACGCGTGAGTCCAGAACCCCAGAACTATGGTATTGGGACACGTACATGTCGGATCGAGAGATGCGGAGCAGCAACCGGACACTTTTTCAGTCCGCTACATCGGTTGTATTTACATTAGTCTATCAACGACGCATTTATTGAAAAAGCGACACATTTAAGTTGTAACGTTATAGGAAGACGAAAACGAACGGCAAAGTTCTTTAGCATGTTGTTAGATGCAGCTCGTTGCACTTGAATCACATTATTTGTAGGATCTCGCTGCTGTTTATTCCAGAATGATCTTTTTCTTGATCATACGATATTATTATCCAAGCAAGCGGTTCGTTCATTAGTGGCGCCACATATGTTTTTACTACATCTTTAACAATGTTTATATTTGTGCGTGTGTTGATCCATGGCTTCCTCCTGGAAGGACCAGCACATTGTAACTTAAGGGGCGCAAGGTGTCATCGATTATTGATTGGCGCACTATTTCTTTGAAAAGACGTGTCCGATGTGTAAAGTTGGCTTTGAGAAGGAAGGCGGTAAGGATCGATAGCACACAGTCAATGGCCCAACAAGTCGGACGACAAAAGAAAAATAAAGAAAAAAAAGACAAGGGGCCAAGGTACGAAAACTTTGGTGAAGCAGGATGAAGTGATGTGTCTACTCCAAAATGAGGTGAAGTGAATGAAGGCGGAGTGATGTGAGGCAACGATATACATAGTAAGATAAGGTGGCACTATTGGGGCTAGCGGGATGGGATAAGCCGGATGGACTGACGCGATGTAAAAAATGCGGTGAATCGAGTTCAAGTTCGGCTAGGTGAATAGAGGCTCAGGCTGTAGCCAGTATGGCGAGAGGCGCTCCGCCCGCCGGTATAGAATGGATCTCCGTCTGAAAGCCTCTCGCCGCTGGAGTGCAATTCATTGTGACGTTTACCCCGGCGTCGCCCATGCAAATATGGCATTCAGCGTCGCGAGCGAGGACAGCGTACGTGTTCGCCATCCGAGACTGCCCTTCCTTTTGTTCGGCACCCGACAGACGAGCACACAGCACTGACATTCAGAAATATAATAACGGTGGAGCGGCGCCACACAGGTTTTCCTTACGACATCTATTTAGCCAGCGACGCATCTCAAGTTCTTTGCAATCCCCAGTCCCCAATGCAGAAACGTCTTTAATTTGGCTTGTATATTTTGACTGGTAGTTTTTTAAGTAAGAACTGACGATAGTCAAGGCCTGTTGCAGCGATACTCTGACTTCGGACATTGAAAAATTTCAGATATGGCGATTTTAGAGTCCCGTGTCGACGCAATGAACTGCGCAGCGAACTTTTGTCAATCAGTCACAACGGTGCACGCTTGCAAATGCTCAACCAGTAGTGTAGTTCAAATTCATTGAGAGCTTCAATGACAGAGTTCTGGAGGGTTTGAACTAGCGTCACTGTAACCTTTTTCGCTTCTATTTGTGTCCAGGTTCTGAATACGACCATTATGGAGGACCTGGCCAAAGTGAACCTGATGGTGAAGGAGACGTCCCAAAAGTTACGGCAAGAGAGGGTACGACTCATCAAACTGAAGGTGAGTGCCGTCAGCATGGGTCCCCGATGATGTATTCAGAGCGAGCTGCTGGACACTTTGACATATTAATTATTTTATGCTCACAAATAGACCTAAAACCAATGGTGGCTTTGTTTTAAAAAGGGTGAATTATTAACGTGAAGTGATAACTCAAGCTCATATAAATGAATTGTTCTCCTATAATTGCTGACATTTTCAGCTCAGTTTCAAGATACACTGGCCTCTGGTGCATTCCAATACAAGTGACAGGAGTATGAATGAATTGCACTGCAATGTAAGTGCTTCCTGCTGCACTTGCGTGCCTAAGGTCCGGTCAGTGGCATTTAGCGCTGACCGCCAGCCGGCTCTCGTTCGGCTATGCCGAGCGACCGTTCCACTGCGGTGGTATACTGTCCCGCCGTACACGGCTGCGCGGCGGGCCAGTCTACCGCCGCAGGCAGGCAGCCGCACCGAACCGCCCGGCTCTATCCGCAGGCTCAGGAGGTGTGGGGCGCCGACGTGGACATCGAGATCGACAGTGGCGTCAGTGCCGACGATGAGGACCTGAACGCCATGCTGATGGAGGGAGTCAGCGACTCAGAGGTGGCCAAAACGGACGAGACGGTAAGTCAAGTCGCCATGGCGCCATTATCACTACACAGTACACACCAAATGGGAACGGTTTGGACGGTCTGCTACTTTTTTATTGCGTTAGGCAAGCCAATCAACTCTATATGATACATACTGCCACGTATGTATAAAGGTTCATCGACTCTGATTGAGGGAGCCAATCGCGAGAAATTAGGTCATGTACTTTTCAGTTGTTCGCTGCTTTGATTTAAAAGGCATGTTCATAGTTCACACACACACACACACACACGTCGCATCCAACATCTTTTTTTTTGTCTCAACTCAAGGTTGAAACTCTTATGCGATAGCCAGACTCCTGTTTTGAAGCCGGTCCTGCCTGCGTCGCCGGAACGTGTGAGCGCTATTCTATTGCCTTGTCGTCCAGTAAAATCCATAGGTGACGTCACAAGCTGAGGTGGGCAACGTCATTGATCGAAGGCAGTTGATGACGTCACTCGAATGGCTCGTTCGAGAGCGCGATTCCCAGAGCCATTCGGCAGATTGGCCTAGTGCGAAACCACGCCGCATGGGTACAACGGCGCAATGCATGCTAATCATAGCACATGACAACCTGGCTTGTCGGCCACAGCAGACATTTCTTAAGTGCAAGGCACGATCGATTGCAGTACCGGAAGGCAGAGGGTGGTTTTAGACCATTGCCGGTTGGTCTCTCATTGATGTGATGATTCTCTAAAACCTGCGTAAAACAAGGGCACACTGAAAACTTTTTTACTCCCGGCTGGGGGGTAAACCCTCGAAACGGGGGTATATCTTTAGGGGTCACCCTTGAAACGGGAGTTACCAGTCAGAGTTCTGCAATTTACCCTTCCAATTACTCTCCAACTTGCTCACCTCCCTTTACCTACTCTCGATTCGAGGGTCACGTACTCCCTGATCTGGGGTACATAACCCTCAAAAAGTGGATCTGTCGTTTTTACTCTCGATTCGAGGGTCACGGGTTCAGGTCGAGCGGGTACCCGACCCTCGTTTCGGGAGTAATTTTGCCGCGCATGCGCGGGAGGACATGCGTCGCGACGCCATATTGTGTCTCGAGAGGCGTTGGTTGTGCAGCAGTGCTCAGCGTGTTGGTGCGGCAAAAAGCGGTGCAGTAGTGAATCAATAGCATCTAAGCAAATGAAAAATGAAGACTAATCGATCAATAAGCACGACAAATTCATCCCATCATTTCAAAATACAAAAGCTTGCCAAGAAGATGGAAGATGCATGGCGCATATAACTAGGACCGAAGGCGCTGTTGAGTCTTCTTATCAGCTAAAATTTCTATATTGTGTCCCGTCCAGTGTTTCATTTTGCGGCCACTGGAAAACCTATTCACAATATTTCGGTTACTCGTGTAATGTATAGCATCGTCTTCGTAGCGATTCCGCAGCGGCCGTTTGACTCGCTCCAGCAGACCCGCCGTTGTGCGAGGATAACCATCTGTTTCCCAGGCGTCACCTGACCAGCTCTGTTCGGCCCAGCAGGGCGACAGTCCCAGAGCCAAGACTCCGCCGCCTCTGACGGCTGAGGAGATGGCCCCGCTGCCCACGTCCGAGGCCATCTTCGGCAAGTCCTACGAGCAGCTGCAGGGTAAGCGAACGCGTCACGCGCCGACAGCTACGAAGAACGCGGGGGAGGTACATTGTGTATGCCTCGGCTCTAAAACGGTTCGTCTTTATACCTATATATTTACGTCAGCAGACACTCCACAACACGGCTATTACGTGTAGGGCGGGTAGAGGTGCAGTTTGAAGCGGAATATGTTGAAGATTTGTAATCGACACGGTGCCATATAACGATATGCGTGATGTGTATTTTGTGATGGATACGGTGCTGAGGTAACGAGTGACGATAGCTCAGCGATAAAAGTGTGATCGACACACGGTGTGACGCCACGATGCAACGAAGCGTGTCAAGTGTGGCTATCACACCATCACAAAGTGACCCTTCGTGGCGTAACTGTCACCGCTCTGTAACTTGTCGTCGCTTTGCAGAGGACCTGGAGCAGATGCGGACTGAGCTGGAGTCGGACATGAACTACTTCCAGCAGGAGCAGGACAGACAGGCGGAGAGGGCCAGAGGAGACCTTCAGGTGAGTGGAACGGACCGCAGAGTCGTAGAGAGACGTTTGTGACAAACGCAACAACATTTGTGACATTTGTGATAAACGCACTGGATTCCACGCTGGTAGTTATAAATGAGGAAGGTTCTATCTGTTCTGAATACCAATTCAGTCTCACATGCGAACATCTGTTCGTCCCCAGGCGAAGCTGAACGCTCGCCGCAGGAACCGAGCCATGCGGAGCCTGGAGGAGAAGCAGCGTCAGGAACTGGCAGAAGGCGCCGTCCTCAGCTGAGCGCAGCAGCACGAGTAGAAATTATGACGTCATTTGACCAGTAGGCGATCGACAGTAACGCAATACGATCAGGAACTGTTTGGGGATGTCACGAGTCCCAAGCGCTTGTAGCCAATTGTGGCCGTTTGGAATGTTTTATTTTTACATCTCGTAGGGCTTTGGGTTTTCTTGGAAGCTAACACATTCTAAAACGAAGGTATACCTATTGCTGCCGTAATGCTTGAAATACTGAGTTATTAACAGCCAGCGGCTCATAGCAATCGCAACGTTTTGACATTGCATGTCCTGCTGATACTCGAACGACGCATTGAATGAGCCACTGACGGCATCATTAGGCTATGATATATTAGCTGTTTAATTAACTAACTCTTCTGTTCACTTGCAAAGTGAACCTAGCCATTATAATTGGACTGTGCCCGATCCCATCAAATGTATTTGTGTGTTGTCATTTTGTCATCTCTATGCAATCATGGTGAGGAAACCACGCACCCGTTTAAAACAAAGCACCTCACCGAACGAAAGTGCCTTTTACTAGCGTGCCCGCACATTGAACACGTGCCCAGCACTTTCTGAAGAAAAATGTCTCATTGACTGCAATCGCCAGCTAAACTCGTCAGGGCCTGTGATATATTGGTGTGCGTGCGTACTCGCGCGCTAGGCGTGTGCCGCTGTCATGTCCGTCCGCTTTTAGCCATGCTGCACCGGTGCCTTTGACCTGCCAAACGCGCCTCTCGGACTCTCGCTGACGGCAGGTGACCCGCGAACGAATAGCTGTGGTGACGTGTTGGTGTTCGTGCTGCACTGTGCTCCTGCCGGGACGCCGTGTGCTCCTGTCGGAACGTCGCGTGCTCCCTGCCGAGACGCCGTGTGCTCCCCACTCCCCGCGTGAAGTCCTTATATCTATTTTTGGAGTGTTCGTGTAGGTTCGGCGGGCTGAGTAGGATGCCTGGCGGTTAGGGCTGAGTTCTGTGAAGGCCGGTGATGGCTTGCTCAGCTGGCCTGGGTAGGCTCTACTCGGGCCTGGGAGCCCAAACGCTGGATCAGCCATCGGTGGCATTGGACGGTGGACAGTGGTCACTTATCCTCGGCCGCCCACCGCGCCTCTGCGGTCAGTTAGAATCAGTCAGTCGGTCAGTCAGAATTGCCGATAGAAGCGCCGTCCGATCGCTTCTCCGTACGTTCGCTCGTGGTGGTACTGTCCTGTTCGCCCCAGTATTATAATACAGTATGAACAGGCTCTGGAGCTCGTATGTTTTGGACGGGCGAGTCATTTCACAGGAATGCTACAGCAGTATATGGAGTGAAACCTTTCAGCGTTTGGCATTCCTCGGATTTGCACTGTCGTAATCGTAGCAGCCCCAATCGAACCAACAGTCGTCGCTCGAAGGCCGAAGCCTACAGGCGACTGACCTTTAACCACTGCTCAACAGCTCTGTTCACGACATATTCTAGTGAACGTCCATGGAGAAAGCCACTTAGTCGTTTTTATACCCTTGCTTGAGCGGTAAACCCTATTTGACTCTTACGGTACCTGGACCGAAAGCCAGGCTTATAGAATATCAAGATGTTATTACGAAAGGTTAATTGCTTTTCATATGCTTGGCTACCACCTGATCGTGAAACACCAGATGAATGAAAGGTCAATTTATAAGCGCGGAGGAAGAACAGAGGGTATACATAAATGAGCTTCTGTCGATGCTCGCTTCCGATTATTGACATATGCGTCAAGAGTACTGGAAGGGCCACCAGCACAATCAAGTGGACAGATATAGCGCCAGACCTGCGCATACTACTGAATAGTCCTATCTCGCCCAGACTGGCGATAAGTGACGGAAAGTCACACCAAAGTCATTACCCGTTTCCACCCCCGAATTCGAACTATGGTCTACCACCGTTCCCATTATTCACGTTACGTAACATACGCATCAATATATCAAGCATGTATTATTGACCACAGAGTTGGCGTCAGGCACTAGAGAAGATAGCGGATAATTGCACCATATTAACACACACCATTAACCTCCAACAGCACAGCACATAAACCATTAACTGTCAAACTTTTGGTTCAATAACAGCCGAACCTCCAATAGCGGCGTCAGTTTTCAGCATCAAGCGCTGAAACCGTGCGATAGCCTGAGAGGTAAAATGCCTACCTATATATGGCGGTCCTTTGCATTAGTAGTCACTGTAGCGGGACAGGGTATCGGACGGAGTCGACTCCGGAGTCATCCAGTACCACGACCGGAGTCGTAGCATCACACACAGTCCTCTCAGTTCGACCGGGTTCGACTGCCTCGACAAACGACCGGCCGGCCGGCCGGCGGCGGCTGACCGCCCCCGAACCCGTCCGTCACCGAAAGCGGTCATGTATCTCTCTGGTATATAGCCCGTGCCACGGCACACAGCAGCGGCCCAATCCTACTCCAAACACACACAATGCTCACAGCTCCGCCACCGCTTCTACATAGTTTCGGCGGACGGGTAAGTACAACACCCGGCTAAAATAGCTGGGAAACCCTCCAATCCCTGGCGGCCAGGTGACCCATCCGGCCGCAAAACACTGACTAAACTGAGCAGCTTGAGAGACCCCAGCAGAGATAAGGATGCACTCGCACGCAAGCTCACTATTAGCGGCTGTAGACTGAGGAGTGAGGAGTGTAACAACCCCGGCGGCACGGGCCGGCACTGGGCGAGCAGCAGCTAACGGTGGGTAGAGAGGGGAGGAGGAAGAGAGAGAGAGAGGGGGAGAGGCAACGCTGCCCGCCACCGAGTCACGTGGAGCGCCGCGCGCCGGTCCATTTACGAGTCGAAACGGTCCTCGGGCTCCATGTCGAACCAGCGGGTCACGCCGTTCTCCAGGTCCAGCTCGCGCATGTCAATGTGCATCTGGCGGGGTGGAATGGACACAGTCACACGGCCGCGGGACAGAGAGACACGGGACATAACGATAAGGCACGCGACTGAAATTAGAATGGGCTGCTTTCGATGCACTAGCAAAATGTCAAAATGCCCAGAATGGTCGTTGATAGTTTCAAACAAACGGTTCGAAATCACGTCTTCGTCGTGTCTTGAAAAGCATCAATACACAAATATACGCTGGATTCAAATACATTGCTTATATATGTTACAGGGAGTATGCGATTTCAGTTAGTTTGCAACGACCCTAGGGTGGTTGTAACCTCCCTGAACAATCAGTTTGTTTGCAACGACCCTAGGGACGTTACAAAATAACTGCTCGTTCCGGGACGTTGTAACGAAACTAGGGTCGTTGCAACCTCCCTAGTTAGTATGCAACGAACCTAGGGTTGTTACAAAATAACTAGGGAGTTTAAGAATTCATCGAGTCTCGTTTCACAGGAGGGCCGTCAACAATCTTGACCAATGAAAATATTGTTCAGTCTAGTTCAGTTTAAAAGAAAAGAACAAAATTTGAACATTCAGCTCTGGAGTATATGTGCCATGTGGTGCCCGGGACAAAGCACGTAACTGTGATAATTTTGGCTGCACTATATCGCCAGCATATGCTTACATATGCTTACATATGCTGGTAGAAAATATAGTTACTGGGGTAGGTGTGATGGTTATCCGTCGCTATCCGTCTGCGGCTTATCCCTCACACTTTTAGGGGTGCGGGTCGGATAAAACCCCTCTTTTTTCGCGATTATCTCGCGCTAAAAGCGGCCGATCGTGACGAAACTTTGAGTGTCCTCGAACTTATCTACGTTACTGGTTACACATTCCCTATACAGTTCATGATCCTGAAACCAATGGCCTTTGGCCTATGATCTGATCTCTGAGACCGGCAGACCGAAATGATTTGCCATTTATGTCAGCGGACATAAAACTGCGTTTCCAGACTTCTATTGTGATTGCATATACCTAAACGTGCCAACATGTGAACTGATGGTTGTCCCATGCATCATGAATGGGTTTCAAGTTGACTTGTCAGTTGCCGGCCAGGTCAAGGTCATTGACGTTTGGTGACTTCGGGTGACTGTTTCAAATTTTACGATTTTAAGGGAAATTTTTAGCTTATTTCGAATCCAGCATTCGTTGAGACATTTGAAAAGTAGGTACGTAGGTATAGTTGTAATGCCAATGCAACTTGCTACGAAGCTGTCGCTAGTGGTTTAGGTACCTCTGCTACTGTTGACTGCACCTGCACCTGCTACTGTAGTATAAACAGGTGGTGCGGGTGGGACGCCTACTACTTGACCCAAACTTACCCAACCCAGCCTGGCTTTATCCTCGCCCCCCCCCCCCGGCCCTAGTTTTTTTTTTCGCGGTAGCTCCGAACACGCCAGCAACAGAGAGCTGAAACTAGTCATACCTGACCTTTGATTCAAGCCGGATCTTGTGACACCAACCAGATTTTCAGGTCAGGTCAGGTTACTGACCTATGACGTCATACGTGGACGGTTCTCAGATGCCGCAACTTCACAACGCCCTCAGTCCCAGAGGAGCTTTTACAGGGTGATGAAACTTACAGTACGTGCATCTTCTAGAAGTCTCACAACTTGTCCCTCTAGGATTTTTCCTAAAGATCACATGAGGTCAGGTCGGTCACGTGACCTCACCACTAAAAGTCCATTGAGAAAAATGAAAACTGCTATTCTGACGCCGGGAACGATCTCAAACTATCTCAAGCACACCGATCGTGATTTCATACACTCCTTGCAAGGTTAGATGCTTCAATTTTGCATTGCTGACGTTGCATGACGTCATTTATGACGTCACTAGGCCATACGAGCTTTTCGTCAATAACTCCCGATCAAACTGAGTTAGCGAGACGGTTAAGCCACCGATGGACGCAGGAAGACCTGCCGAATCGAATAATATGCAGCATGACCTACTTTGACCAATTTCGCGACCTAGGGGGTCTTTGACCTGACCTTGACCCGAGGTCAACACCCCAAGTTGACCTCACCCGAACAAAAAGTATACCATTCGATGCGCGTAAGCAAGGCGAGCACGTTGATGCTAAAATCGCGCTCAGCGACTGTTTTTTAAGAAGTTATTAATCAAAAACCGAACCCGTGTCTTGGGTCACTTGACCTGACCTCAGAGGTCACCGGTTGACCTGAGACCTTAAAATCGGGTACTAGTTGCTGTGTCTCCTAACGGCACACACACTCGTTTTTTTCCGCGACGCTCTAACTCTGTGACGGGTGAAAAACGACGAGGGGGTCGTACCAACCCTTCCCCCCGGCCGGCGCGTATGTAGAAAACCAACAGGTCCTGTGGGGTTAACTCTCGCCCTTATTGGTGTTTTGCTAGCCGCAAACGCACAGGGCGGGGCTAGGTTATGGGTTGACCTTCCAGGTCAGGTCAGTGACTCAAAGTTCGGGAAAATCGGGACCTGTTAAAACTTCGGAGAGTTAGGTTGTTACGAGTTTTTTTTTTCGGGGCGCTGATCACAAATTTCTTATTAGCTTTGATCACCGATGATGTCTTTATGTTTTTAGGCCAGGTCGGGTCAGGTCAGGTCAGGTCAACCAGTAGGCGTCTTGCTAGCTGTCCATAGTAGGTGTCAACCACCACTGACAGCTTCGTGACATGGTACGAAGGCGCCAAAATTACTTCGTTAATGTTCAAATGGATGCTAAATTCGAAATCAGCTCCAAAAACTAGCCTAAAAATATATGAACCCAGAAGAAACGAACTGAGGTCATCAAAGGTCAATGACATTGACCGGACCTTCACGTGACCTTGACACCCACCATAATGCATGGGACCACTATCATTTCATGCATGTTTGAACGTTAACAATCACAAAAAGACTGGAAACGAGCGGATAATGGCCATTTTTACGAAGGGCTTCCTGGCGAATGCCCATCTAATTTCACAAATCTGCATCAAATGTGCACCTAATTTGCACAAAATGTGTACTAGATGGCCGTCGTGAAATACTCCTGAGCTGAATGTTCAAATTTTGTTCTCCTTTTCTTTTAAACTGAACTAGATTGAACAAGATTTTCATTGGTCAAGGTTGTTGACTGTGAAACGAGACTCGAACTCGATGAATTCTTAAACTCCCTAGTTATTTTGCAACAACCCTAGGTTCGTTGCATACTAACTAGGGAGGTTGCAACGACCCTAGTTTGGTTACAACGTCCCGGAACGAGCAGTTATTTTGTAACGTCCCTAGGGTCGTTGCAAACAAACTGATCGTTCAGGGAGGTTACAACCACCCTAGGGTCGTTGCAAACTAACTGAAATCGCATACTCCCTGTAACATATATAAAAATCGACAGGTGGCTCTGAACAGGCTCTGAGCGCCTTTACTAACAGGTGGGCGCTGAAAGGCCGGCAGCGGCGCTTCCGACACCCCCGGGACAACTGTTAACTTTAACATTGCATACGAGCTGTCGACCACCGCGCCGTTTTAGCTGGCCGCCCTCGCCGGACCGGCTCGGCAGCCGACGGCCGCCTGCGAGACGCCGCGTTAATTTGCATACGTGAGTGAAGAGCACAAGTCTCCTAACAACGCATCCGGGCCGCGGGCTCTGCGAGCTTAGCGGTAAATGGCGCATTGAGCGTCGCACGGAGCTCAGAGTAGGGGTCTCGGTGGAAAATCCGCTCACGTCCAGCCCACGGGAGTGGATGGAAGATTACGCAGCTGCGACTAATCAAGCCGCAGCTCAGATCCAGAGCCGGGCGAAATTATTCGAACCGAGTAGGCGAGGTGGGAACTAGCCACAGCTTTGGTAAAAACCAGTTCATGAAACAAACGCTTGAATAACAAGCATCACGCATATTACTATCGATACGGCGAAAAAATTGACCAAATTTCTGAATCCACATTTGGTCCTAAAAAACTTGGGGTCGCTTGTCGCAGCGAATCTCAGAGGCGTTATTTCGCACGTCAACGGATAGCTGAGCCAAATTCCCGAAGTGATCCAACTCACCATTCCTAGCCCCACAGCGCTCCACCTTAACATTGTCAGCCAATCCAGCTCACCATTCCATACGCGCCACGGCGTCCCCACTCACCATTCCGAGGATGGGATTGCGGGCGAACGTCTTCTTGCTGACGACCTGCACCTCGAGTCGACGGATGCGCAGCTCGTTGAGCAGGCCGCTGTACTCGAGCGTCTCGTCGTACACGGGGTCGCACTGGTCCTTGATCATCTGAAAGGAGCGTGGGCGGGACCGGTCTAATTCTATCGAACAGCGCAGACGACACCGGGTCTCAGAGCCCCAGCGACGCGTACATGATTACTGCATTAATGGATCCACATTTTCGGAAAGACGCACGGTGAATTGTGGGACCCCGACCATCCATTCGCCTAAGATATCGCACTTAATTGCTTCATCAATTCGGAACGGTGTGTTCAGCCGATAGTTGGAAGCATCGTTAGCGGCCCACACGGCGAGCTCGCCGGGCAGGTCTATTCTGTTGAACACCTGCAGTTACCGACATCGGGTCGGCGCAGCGCCTCCGTGGTACGCAACTCATTGAACATTCATTTGTATTGTATTGTATTTGTATTTACATTTAAGAGCGATCCACATACAAAGTGCGTGGCGATTACTGCTCAGAATCCGTATCCGCGGTTGCTAATCTAATCATTCAAAACAGTTGCACATTCACTCACGTCAAAACAAGGACAAAACACTCTCAGGACAGCCTCATCGCTTTTACCCACCCCTATCCTATTGGTCAGCGACGATGTGCTGATTCATCGTCCACGATTGCGGCTTTAACAGCGCGGGCGAAGCGGGCGGGAGGCAGCTGCGACAGGTGAGGTGGCAGGCTGTTCAGCAGAGCTGCAGCTCGATAGCCAAACCGCCGCTTGCCCGTTTCCAGCCGTGGACGGGGAAGATGGAAGAAGTGATCTTGCCTGGATGGTCTCTCGCGGATAGCGCTATTAGCGACGAATAGGGCTGCTAGTTGCTCAGGTTCACGGCGCTGTATGACCTTGTGTGCGATGACAAGGGTGTGGAAATCGGACATACCGCGCGGGGACAACCACCCGAGTTTTGTTCGCAGGTCGGAGACATGGTCAAATTTACGGCGGCCGAAAATAACTCTAGCGGCGAAGTTAAGAATTTTTTGGAGTCGATCGAAATTTTTTTGGGACCCATTACCATAAACTGAAAGGCAGTACTGGATACGCGATACAACGAGTGCCGTCACGAGCGTTCGAATGATGCCATCTGGGAGACAGTGGCGCGCATGTGAAAGACCAATCAACAGTCCCGTACACCGGCGGCAGAGTTCAGAGACGTGTGCGTCCCATGACATAGTGCTGTCAAAAGTGACGCCAAGGTTCCCGACTTGTGCGCACGGTTGCAACGCTGCGTTGCGGAATGGTACTCTAAAGTCTGGTAATTTACGAAGATTTTGACGAGTGCCAAATACAATAAGCTGTGTTTTACTTGCGTTCACTTTGAGGGCGTTAGCGCAAAACCAGTCGTTGAGAGACGCGAGCGAGTCCTCCATGCGCGAGATGAGAACTTCGAGGTCCCGAGCTGGACCGCTAACCAATACTTGAGTGTCATCGGCATACTGAAACACTTTTGCGTCGCCCGCGTATAGCGATAGGTTGTTAGAGAAAATGGTGAAAAGAAGCGGCCCTAACGCAGAGCCCTGGAAGACACCCATGGCATTAGAAAGAGGCCTAGACAGCACTCTACGTCCGGATACATCTTTCAAAGACACGCTCTGAGTGTGTCCATGTAGATAGGCGGCGAACCAGGAAATTTCAATGCCGTGTAACATCAGTTTTTGCATCAGAAGATCGTGGTCAATCACGTCGAAACATTTACTGAGATCGAGAAGGCATAGCATTGACAAATCCCCCCTATCAGTGGCGGCCAGGATGTGTTCAGTGACAGACAGCAACGCGGTTTCCGTGGAGTGCCGGGGGCGGAAGCCGTGCTGGGAGGATGCCAGAAGGTGATTATGGGAGAGGTAGGCGTAGAGCTGCTGATGGACAATGCGTTCAACTACTTTCATGATTACAGGAACTAGGGAAATGGGTCGGAAGTTTGCGGGGTCTGAAGGGTTACCAGACTTGAACAGAGGGTGAACTATGGAATGTTTCCATGAATCGGGGATGTCAGATTGGATTAAGCAGGTATTGATAATATGCAGGATGACACCACCAATAGCGGGGAATCCGAATTTCAGCATGCGGACACAGACGTTATCGGAGCCGCAGGCACTCGAGTTACGCATGCTGAAAATAATCCGCTCGAGCTCCCCCAGTGTTATCTCACGAAGTTGAAAACTGCATGCGCCGACACGGGTGAGACGCACATCCAAATCGGTGGGAGTGTTTTGGGCTCGGATCTCGTCAGCGACACGAGGACCGACAGATACAAAAAATGAATTTAAATCATCGGCAGATAGATCGGGCTGGACGTCTGGGCCGTCCTTCTTCGCGGCTACCACTGACCTGATGCACTGCCAAACTTTGTTGGGGCCCCGCTCCCCAATTTCCCTCCGTATCTCTATTCGCCTGTCTCGACGCACTGCCGCCCGGACTGAGCGGTTTAGGTCTCTGTATTCGCTCGAGTTGCGGCCTAGATGGCGAAGCGCAGCGCGACGTTGAGACATGAGGTTACGGGTGGCGGCGGAGACGGGAGGAGCGGTCGGGTTACGGATAGACACACGCTTGATTGGGGCATGGGCATCAAAGACAGGTACGAAGAACGACAAGAAAGCATGCCACTTGTCACTGACAGTTTCGGCAGAGAAAACATAATCCCAGTCGACATCGAGTAAGTCGTGATACAGTGCAGGGTGATCTAGGCGCTTAAAAGAGCGAGATGAGATAACGGCGGGCTTTTGACGCACTTTCGGCCATTGATAATCACGTCGATGATTTTATGGGGACTGAAGTGACAATAATTAACGCTGGTGTCACACACAAGTTCGCGTTTGTTAACAATACATACATCCAATAGAGAGCCGGAGGTAAAAGTTGGATTTGTTACTAGTTGATCTAAAGAATAATTCGATAAGAAGCTGATCAGATGTTGAGACGCGCGGAAACTCGGCCCCTTCAATAGGTCACAGTTGAGGTCCCCGCAGAGAACGAACGGAACTCTGGGGTAATCGATGAGGACCCGCTGCAGCTGGGCCTCGAGGTCCGTGAAGTCGGCGAGCAGGGCAGCCTCAGAGTGTCGGGGTGGCCGATAAAGGGAGCAGATGATTATCTGTTGGCCCTTGTCCAGCTTCAGCAGCGCCCACTGCGACTCCAGCTTGCTTTCGGAGCTCCCGCTGCCGGGGATCTTCAGTGTCATTGACGTCAAACTGTTTTTAGTGATGATGGCTACGCCGCCATAACCGCTGCCATCTGGGCGGTCCACACGACTGAGCGAGTAGCCCGGAATGACCAGGAGGCGTTTCGGGGTAGACGGACGTAGCCAGGTCTCGGAAAGCAGCATTACGTCGTAGTTGCGACGAGCGAGTTCGCAGGTCAGCTCTTGAAGTTTGGGTTTGATACTTTGAATATTTAGGGCGCCGATCAGCAATTTGGGCGGGTCGGTCGGCCGGCTGGACTGGAGAGTCCTCGATGCGGGGCGGGGTCCACATGCCGCTTCCGCAGGGCTGAGGGGGCGTGATCGATTAAGACAGCGGATGAGATACGCGGGAAGACTGCGCCGGATAGTCTCGGCTACTTCACGAGTGGTGTTGTTGCTTAGTCGGTCACGCACCGCCATCAGATGTGCCCGGTCGTATGCACGTCTGGCAGATTCAGCAGTGTGACTGTGATCGTCCCGTCGGTGGTCGCTGGCCGGTGTTTGGCACTCTACACGGCGAGACCCGTTCGGGGCCCCCGTGCCGGAAGCAGTCAGCTGTCCGCTGCTCCCATGTCCCCTCGCACGCCGAGCGCGCCAGCCCGCGCGGCGGCCGCGCCGAGCGGGCCGCTCATGTCTGAGCGCCGGACATTTATGAGCACTAAAGCCCCGGAGGCATTCATTTCTGAGCACCAGTAGGTGACGTACGAGGCTAACGCGAACTGAAGTACTGCGTATACTATTCATACTGCAGAATACAGCGCACGATGAATATCATGCGAAGTCAACTATTTGCTGTCGACTCGTGGCAGGTGGGCCCGTCCGCAGCTCAGGTGGCCGCCGGGCACCGCGCTCGTCCCAGCTGCGCCGCTACTGACGTCAGAGCGCTAACTCCAGGAGCCCGGGAGCAGCCCGGAGCCCGGACCGGAGTCCGGGAGCAGCTGCGGCCGCAGCTCGGGCCTCCCCTCCCTCTCCTCCCCGCGGAGAGGCAGGTAACGACGGTAATTTCACGGCGCGGCCGCCGGACGTCCCGTGGGAGACGGGGATCGGATCGCCGGGTCACCGGATCGGCCGCCGAGGGGGGGGGGGGGGGGGGAGCGAGGGGCGGAGACGTGGCGCGGCAGGAGACATCCCGCCCGCTAAAATGTCGCTCTATTTTAGAAACACCGTGGCGTGCCCAGCCCAGTGCGTGGAGAATTAAGTTGCGAAGGATAAAGCCGCAGAGGATAAGGTCAAAGCAGAATTGTGGCCATGTAGTGTCGGCCGCGTGACCTCACCAAACGAGCGACTGGGCCATAGAACTCGGCCGGGCTAAATTTATGGCTAGATTAGCTGCGGAATCCTCCTGACACGAACACGGCCGTCACTGCACCGGAGCGCCTGGCGCGGGAAATGACAAGGTGTTCAAACAATTCACTCTTGTCGGCTGTCACCTACAAAGGACAGAGGTAATGGCTGATGGCTCGGCTGATAGCAGTCCTAGCGAGTGCAGCATCGATCCAGCGTGCAGTCGTGCAGGAGACGCATGTCAAAGATCCTTTGCAGGTGTGAGCTTGACATTTTCATGAGGTCTACGGAAACGGTTCTATAGTAAACTGCCGCATCAGAGAATTAATGAAAGTCATGTTTAGTAAAGCGTATAATAAAAGAACAAGAACATAATGCTAGACTAGCGACGATTAAATGGAGTATGCTAAATTTGATAAAGAATCGGGACTTCGGCCACCGGACCGCAGAACCAGAGCTCATTGGTGTCCCTAAGCCATTTTTAACAGAATAATACCGGGAAAATAATGTAAAATCTTGCTAACTATAAAAAACTAGCGGGACCAAACGATTTCAGGAAGACGATGCGAATAATAAATCTGAAAAGCCACGGCTGTTTTAGAGTGCTCTTTATCACAAATACATGACCCTGTTGGATGAGAGCTTTAGACAAAAGTGAGCTTTGCTTGTGCGCCTTTAGACTATTATGCTTTTCTACATTATAGAGGCGATAAAATAAACGAAACTGAATTGAACAAATACAACACAACTGGCATCCATGACAGCACTACGACAGCGTCACGGCACCTACCCGCGTCTTCCGCTTGTTGTCCTCGGATCTGTCCGGCAGCAGGTAGGTCTTGACATACGGGTCCGGGATGTCCGAGCCCTGCATCGGCAGGCTCCTGTCAACACACAGAGTGACGTCATTAGTGACGTCACGACACGTCTACTGTGACGTCACGGGCTGAGCAAGGACGCCAACCGGCACCGAGCCGCGGAACGTGTGTGGAATACGGGAGCGTGTGACATTATCATCGCCGTCCTCCCGCCAACTTTGGGACGTAGTTTGACGTCCACAAAGTCACGCCATGGACCTTTAATCCGAGACATGTGACCCCTAACTAGCGGCAGACTTGTCGCCAAGTAACTTCATTAGGAATATGTAGATGTCGAGATAATGAGGACCGATGAATACAGGCGGGCTGGGGACACTGATCGGTGTGGCGGGAATTCTGATGGAGCGAGTCACGACACATTGACCACAAAACGAACGAACCACGCTGAATATGAGAGGCCCAAGACCGGACAACGTTATACAAAGAAGCATTGGTTGAACTAACTACACAATCACACCGACCGAACGGAGCCATAACGGCCACAAGCCGACCAGTCGACAGCTGCGGCAGTATCAACGGTAGGCATTATACATAGAGTAAAACACAATGTTCAGTAATACTGATAGGAGCGGGAATGAAATAAGGAATAAAAAACAATTTTTCTTTTGTTGTGTCCTCACCTCGACAGTCTTTGTTTGGTTTACAGCGAGCAAATAGCAAGAAAAACGTCACAATGCATACTGCCTATTCGATATCCTTACAAGGAATGCACTACGTAAACTAGGGGCATATACTCTAGCTTGGTAGTTCCGCAATGTTTCATCAGGGATGACAGGTTGCCTTCATTTCACGTGACGCCGTCATCAGTCACCTAAAGCCTGAGTCGTTCTGAGTAATGCCTATCGCGATAGCTCGTCTGGGTCACGGCCACCGAGGTACGCCACGGGGTTAAGGAGTATACAATATACACCAACCATGCAACGACCGGCGAAAGCAGGGCTAATGTGCTCGAATTACGAAATGTCAGCGATTATGTCGCTAACATTCCTATGGAAAATTCCGAGCAACACATTGGACATACGCAAACAGGCGCTATTAAGCGCTATAAAGAAAATTACGGCACAAACAACTTGTTAAGCATGTCAGCTTGAACCACATGGTAACGCTGAAAACAAAAGGCAGGGCAATACATTCTTGGCATATTCGCTGAAGACGACGCTTGCAGTTTCATTTATCACGATCTTTTACGAATAAATGTAAAAAAGGAAATGTACCTCCATAAAAACACTTTGCTACTGAGAAACTTTTATGATAAGCAGAGCTCCACGAATCGAAATAAATGATTTTAATACCTATCTTTCAAGAAATGTCACCAGACCCTACACCAAAGGTCAACATTATGTTTGGAAATTGCAGAATCATTCCTATTGCAGTTATTTTTAGGTTACTTTTCTTGAAAGGTCGCAATCCCCGCCTTGTGTTACGTCCTGATAAAAAGACCATCGATAAAAAACGAAATGCATTTATCTGGACACAACAGATAAGGTTACTGTCAACATTTTCGTACACGGTCAAGCAGTGTGCTCAGAGAGGTCTGAGCGCAAGACAAATTTGTTGGAGGAACAGCTAAGAGAGCTCGTGTCGAACGACCGTGGCAACACGGCAGATGCGGCGCTAGCCCGGCTGTCGGCGCCAATGTTAGCTTTCTTGCATTTTCTCAGTCGCCATTACGCTTAAGATTTTTCTAGCGGCACTCCTAAACATCTGACTGATCTGACCTATCGACTTAGCTTAATTGATTGACCGCGAACAAATGATTCTGTTCTAAACCAGAGTTCACAGCATACATTTAAATAGCTACGTATAAAAAGAATATCACTCATATGCGCAGACACTGTGTACATTTCAAGGAGATAATTTTATATTTAACAACGCTGGTTTTTCATCACCAAACAATCTGAGCCATATGTGTCAGCCCCAAGCAGCCACTACTGTGCTAACGAGGACTAGCCAGGACTAATTGTCTGATTGGTGATTGAAGCTTCCCACAACACATTAGCACTCATTTGCTCCTCTCCCCTACCCCATCCCCTCTCCACTCAGCGGAGGAAAGGGGCCGCCCCAGGTCAGCACGAGCGAAGAGAAAAGCTCTGACGGACCCTCTGCTGATCACCGGCACTACTCGAGAGCCGTGAGGACGGACCAGGTGCTGATCACCGGGGCCGAGCCGGCGGCAGTGATCGAGGAGATGACGAGAGCTAATTGCGGTGGCCAGGGAACGGCGATTGCTGAGGGATGGAGCCGACTGAGGGATGGAGGTGACTGCGGGGGTGGTGGGCGCTCAGGAATAGACGTGATCGACATGCGGCGACGGTCAAGGCCTCAGAGATGATAATCGATGGAGATAAATTCGACTGGGGCGTAACCAATAACTGAAAGTTCCAAGCAGCGCTCGGTTGGAATCATTACGGCCGCTGGCTCCGATCATAACGACCGCAGGCTTCCGACATGGTAGGGTTTAGTTAGTTGGTCATGATATCGTGATAGAGCTGGAGTTTTTTTTTCATGAAAATCCAGTACCACGATACCAGCGTCAGGTAGCGTCAATTTCAAGCCGTGAAACAGGGGCCAGGTGGCATACCGCCGCACACAGGTGTTCCAAGTCACACCAACGCCACACGAACAATCACACTGCAGTCTTCAAACCCACGCGGCCGGGTGCTACACCCACAGCCCACCCTCGGTAGCTGAGGAGCTGATGACGGGCCGGTGTGAGGGGCGGAGGGGCGACCACCAGTCCCCCGGGCGGACCGCCCACCGCCAGCCACTAACGATGTGACATGAGACGGCAGCGGCGGACGCAGCGAGCGGACATCAGCAGACGTCGCGAGCGGACAGCGGGAACGAATGTGGGGCGCGGAGGAAGGTAACAGGATGCAGCTGCGTCCGTCTGAATGCATTTTTCTTTTCAGTACGGCGTGAAAAGTTTGATATCGAACTTAGTGCAAGTATCCAGCTTAGGGGATGTATAATTAGCATCGTACGGAAATCCGCTAGCTGATGCTTGAATCCTTGTGGAACAATGCAATTTAACTACGACCATCTAATCAAGTGCACATTGTAGCTAGTTAACTACCACGAAACAGTTAATTCAGTATTTAATGTTGTCATAAAAAACTCGTTTTAAAACTCAATTCACGTTCGAGCTTAGAACGTAAGAGCGTCGTTTCTTAAAACCTATTCACTGCTATGCTGTCCGTCCACGATTATTCTCAATGATCAGACGAATACCGGGTGACTAATGGTATCGCAGACTTTCTCGATGCCCACCCAGTACCTACCATTCTGGTGTGGGCGCACGGGGGACGGACACCTGAGCCCGGCTCAGTCCGATAACTTCGCGGCCACGGTCAGCCGCCGACCGGTTAACAAACGACCCCCACTGCAGCGCGAGGTGTCAGGAGACGGCGGCGGGGCGGCTTCGATCTGGGCAGGGGGTCTCTGGGGGCCGCTGTCGGAGACGACACGGCGCCCGCTGCGGCTGTCACCGGGCAGAGACACCCGATCGTGGCACCCGTGATTACAGAACGGTGTTACCGGGCGGTCCCGCACCGTATCGGCACAGATAATCCCAGCTCCAGCCCTGGCCCGACCCTACGCTGAGCCTCCGTCCCCGACAGATTCCCAGGGCAGACCCTCAGCCGAGCGATACTCACGATATCTTGTGGACGACGATGATGAGAGCGCTGCGCGTCTCACTGTAGCGTAGCGTCATCTCCACGCGGCCCAGGCGGTATTTACCAGCGGGACTGAAACAAATACCAGATTATTCAGTACCCACACAGACGGCCTTTTCTGGCGGGACTGAAACAGATGAGACAGGATACTCAAGCCCCGGTATTTACCGGTAGGACTAAAACACGAACGTAGACGAGGGACTGAAAGAGAAACACGCACAGCATACTCAACAGTCATACAGTCTTTACTGTCAGTATCAATACCCGCACCGATAATAGCTACCCTCGGTTTGAACTGGACCACAAATACGCCTCGATACCCCTGAAACATCGACAACTTTTCAATTAGTGGTGAAACAAGCTGCCGACGGGCTTCACTATTTTCGTATCCACATTAGCGAAAACAAAATTATACCCTTTTGGAAACTACGTAGTGATTAGCTTTCGAATACTATTCAGTATTCCCGTTTCCGTTGCGTGGGAGGAACACACAGTCGTTCCCATCGATTCAGCGTTGGCTCGGACCAGTTTCGGCCTCACTGCGTAGGATGGTGTTCCTATCACCTAACCCGAAACAAACGACGGCAACGCTCAGCGGGCTGGACACCAGATGCCACAGAAAAGAGAACGCAGCAGAGCCAAGGTCAGACCTAGTTTCCATACTAGCTGCGGAGGGCAGAAGACGCCAACAAAAAACACCGGCCACAGTCCTAACGGAGAGCCGACCAGGCACGTCATCCAACCCCAGGGAGCGTGACGCGGCAATTAGGGCGAGTGGGACGCTTAACGAGCCTTAACGAGCACTGGGAAAGAGAAACAAACCACAACTGACACTGAGCAGAGCCGAGAAATGTTTGCGACTTCACCACAAGGTGTCACTGTTCACCACAAGGTGAACAGTGACAGAAGGAATCAACTTTCCATTGTGAAAACGTTTACAGATGAAACGGCATTCAGATGATAAATGGGGTTAGAATATGTAGGCGGCCATAAAACAAGATTTTCCGGAACAATTATTAAACATATCGCATGACGCACCGGATGATGAGCTGCATATATGAATAGACAGCATGAGACAATTCATGTCATCTGTGATGCATGATCTGATATACACAGAACGAACACAATCTGATGCCTTCTGAGCCGGTGCGGCAGCCGTCGTGTGGGCGGTGCGGGGCAGGGGGCGGGATACCGCCGGGGGCTGGTTACACCCGACACCAGTGTCGGCTCCGCCCCGGCGGGCCATTAGCAGCGCACTCTCGGGTGACGCACCGCCCGCGCGGCCCGTGCAGGGCGGCTCGGGTGACGCCAGCCCGCGGCACCCCACACGAGCCGTGTTGTGGCGACCAGAGGCGACCCGTGTTGTGGCGACTGGCGACCCGTGCTATTGTATTCCGAGTGGTTTTCATGGAAAAATATCGATACTCAAGACATCGAATGAATCACAAAGTATCGGGTGCAAATTATCCAAAAACATAATATCGAAGCCGAAAAGAGTAAAGATGACTAAATCTTGGACTTATACCTGGTCTTACAGATCAATTGTATAAAATTGATATCATTCCAAATCCACACACCCCTAGTGATGCAAAACGTATGGCGAATTTTCCGAAAATAAAATCGAACAGATCTTTCGGGAATCGCATTGGAAATACCGACCATACAGTGATAAACAAGATTATAAATGAGACAAAGCAGCAGATACGATAACACCCAAGCTCATCATCAAATACAGCAAGTATGAATATGACATATGAGAAAATATGAATGTGACAGGCCAAAACGGGCCACCCCTCAAATGCCCATAACACGAAGCAGTCTCCTCATTTTCCCACCCACTCGCAGTTGTGAAGCACCACTCAGCAGCAGGTGGGCAATCAAAACTTTGCTTTTTAGCACTTCAAACACAAAAACGATGTGTGAAGTTTGAATAGCTTCACTGCCCTTTTGCTCCATTTCAAAGGCACTAGGCGGTAGTTTTTAACTTCAAACGACCGGAGCCCTGCACACCGAGCACCGAGTTATTTGAGAGTGGAGAGGGGTGGGAAAGGAAGGGATGGGAGACAAAATGTGGAGCACTTGCGTGACTTAAATTCTCAGAATGTCATAGTACGAATTTACCTAGTAGAGAAAACTAGTAGAGAGTAGGGGAGAGCTGGAAGGGAAGATAATAAAAGCAGGCCATGAGTGAAGATAAGTGACGAAGGGAAAAGAGAATTATGCGGTTGTTCATTGCAAACATAATGTAGGTAAATTCATCAGCGCGTTCATGGTCACAGTCACGCCCTAAGTACCGACACAAAACCGTTCACCATTAAAATAACGTGTGGCGAAAATTCCACAACTCCGATCTGCAGGTCAGCAGCCAAGAAGCACCTGTTTGGGCTCACTCCGGTTCCCAGGCTCTTCTGAGAAACGCCCTCCCTCATCCCATTGTAGGATAGCTGCTCTAGAGCCACAGTTATGGGGTCATAAAAATCAGTGCACGTCGTATTCCTGTGTCCATTTTTACACAGTCCGGCACTGGGCGAACGTTATGACTCTGATGGGCAGCCGGAAATGACGTCAAACTGACGTCATGATGAGTCAATTCTCGACTACAGAAATGCTCCATGAAAGGCACTGTCATACACCCGTCACAAACAACTTCATGAAAAAGTTGGCCCATTGTTTATTTGTTTTTTTTTTTTCGAAATAAGCATCAGGAATTCACCAAATTATCTCAAAATACATCGCATGTTTAAAAAAAATTATGCGGCTGTGCGATGTGCAATGGACACAAAAGAGAATAAACAAAATGTGGCAAAAAAATCTGGTCAAATTCGGTCACATAATCTTTGTCGGCACATTTGCCATGGGCCAACTTACTTTTCGGGTTTCCGCTGCCGCAGTCCGGCCTCGGTGGAGAGACCCTGGATCAGCGTCTCAACCTCCTCACGGGTCTGTCAGAGGGGACAGAAAAGATGTCAGAGACCGAGCGGGGTCGTCTCGACTACCGCGAATCTGTCAGAGGGAGCAGCGGGGATAGTAGACACAGAATGGGGTCGTCTCGTCTCCTTACGGGTCTGTCAGATGGAAAAGAGCAGTCAGATGTGTCAGGGAGCGACACTGTCACATCCAAAAGTGCGCTCATGCAGAGATCACTGCACCTATGAACCTCTCCTTATCGGGAATCTCTACAGTCTACAGCATAGAGCCACCAACTATCGTGGGGAGGATAAAAAGCTGATTGTGTCGCTTTTTTAATACACGACCCAACATGGATTGATGCAGAAGCTTTGAAGGATTACTTGCACCCCATCCCATTCAAACAAGGTAATGGCATGCAAGTCTGGAATGAGCCCGCTGATGTGAGGATCACGTATTCAGTTTTACGACTAAGGCAAATCACCTCCCTTAGGCGTGACATATGGGGCAGCGTATATTGGGACTTTTGTTACCACACCGAACACCAGGACTTGTGATACGTCGATGTTATAACATTGGGCGATGGTAGCTATAAAGAACGTCACAAACCAGTACTATCCGGGTTATGTGAGCTTAACGAGCCCTGGCGGTGTAATGACCCGTTCACATACGGCACTTTTCGACACGACGGCTGTGTCAGTAGCACCAGGCACTCGATTTCGGTCTGTCTCAGCCTACCGAGCAGCGTCACTCAGCCTATCTGGAGAGTAGTGTGCCTATCTGGGTGCTAGTGAGAGCCGGGGCCGATACTAGGGAAGCTGAGATTGACTCAGCGAGGACTAGGGTACAAATCTGTAGGCAAAGACCGTTGTCAGTGCGGCCAGTGTCAATGGGAGTGGTGGCCGGTGTCGGTAGTTTGGCTGTGGTCTCTCAGAGCCGGGAGCGGCAACTGACCTCAGCCGGCACGGGCTCGGGTCGGTGTTCTCCGCCGGTCGCCTGCTCCGGACGGTCGGCCGGCGGGCGGCTGTCCGGTGGCGACACGTCTCCTCCACCACCTGCAAGGCATAGAGGGGGAGGGGTGAGAAGGAGGCGGTGCTACGTCCTCTCCACTTCACTGCCTGCACCGCACAGAGGGGTAGAAACTGAGAGGGAGAGGAAGAGCAGATGAGAGGGCGGAGCGGGACGACCACGGCACGGACCCTAACAGCCTTGATGGAAACAGATTTTTCTACTACGCCAATCAATGGCACTGCCTGTTAGCGGTATTTTAAAATAAGCAAATAAGGAAGTGTTTAAACCTGAGCATAACAATAAGCACAAAAACATAAATATACGTTACGAACATAACTTGAAACTGGTGCACGAAGCAAGGATTAGTAGCGGCGTATATTTCCTAGCGATGTATGCAAGCAGCGATGGTCAGAAGGCCAGTAGCAAATGACCTCACTCGCTGCTCACATACACGTTCAATGTTTGACATAAACAAGCAGCAATGGACGATCATTACACAGTTCTCGGTAATTGCGAGTCCGGTCATTAAACTCATGGACAAATGTCTACAGCAAATAATTCTGCCTGAATGGTTGTAGTCGAGCGATCATTGCAGCTAAAACTATGTTTAATTTGGCAAAGCCGCTGCCCATTCTGTCAAACAGAGTGATAGGACCACAGCGACGGCCTGGGAGGGGCATCGGCCAGGGACGCCAGAGCACAGGTTCAACCCAAATAGTAGACCCCACATACTTGCTAGGTCACAGGCGCAGACGAGTAACTCCGGTATCGGGCATAAATGCCACAGACGAATAAGAGTGAGTACCAAGATGTGTCACCTCCGGTTGAGGCTATTCCAGTACTATGTGCTGTCTAAATAAACGCACCAGACATGTGCTTGGATCCGAGAGCTGGATCTATGATCTCAGTGGATCTCTCGACAAAATAGAGGGGTTGGATCTATGATCCGAGTGGATCTCTCGACAAAATTCAGGGGTTGGATCTATGATCCGAATGGATCTCTCGACAAAATTTAGGGGTCGGATCTATGATCTCTGTGGATCCAGCGGGCAAAAATTTGTGGAGGACCTATGATCTGTATGGATCTCACGACAACATGTAGCCAATGAAACCCTCATCCTACATAATTGTACACCTTACAGTGCAATACAATTGAGAATTATCACTTGTGGACATGGTTATTGGTTAAGACCACTTGAAATCATTAGGTATCATCATTAAACTTGAATTTAAATAACAACATTTGTACTATATTTAAAATAAACCAAGAACATGCATATTGCTACTTTTTGTGACCAATTGTAACTTTTTCATGACAGCACTGATGACAATCTTATCAACAAGCTACAGCCACTTTAACTCAATGAACAAACAGTACAGACAGATGCAGTGGCAACAGGGCACTGCAGATTTTCATTTTGGTCCCATTCTTTCCATGCAACGCCAGTAGGCCTAATGTTAAAATGCCAAAATCTATGGGGGGGCACTGTGCCCTGGTGCCACCCCCCCCCCTGTTCTGCCGCCTATGGACATATGTTAGGAAATCAAACCTGGAAGCCAAATAGGTCAGTTTTGTTAAAAATAATCCAGCAATCCACTTCTGCCAGGTATGAAATCCCAATCCAGAATGTTCATATGAGCTATTAGTATGTGCAACACAATTTCGATTTAGTAAGAATAGCAACCAACCTCTAATACTTTCCTAATAAAATTACAAGTTCAAAAATGGCATCAACTTCTTCAGATTACCTACTTTTGGCATCGTGCCACGTGGCTGTGCTTTTTGTTATGAGAGAGCCTCCCAAAAAAAGACAAACGAAATTCACAGCCCACGTTTTGGTAATATGGTTTTATTACGTCATTATCATTTGACCAATGAGAAATCTTTATTTGACCAAAACCGTAATGATTTCAAGAGATTCCCCGTAATAGGCCCTTTAAACTAATGACGTAAGATATTGTTATTCTTTTGAAAAGTGAATAAAATAAAGATGCAAGGCGCACACCGCTCAGGGTCATATAATACCGTTTCAGCTTACGTTTACGTCATTAAATTCAACGCTACAAAGATGATATTCACAAACAATAGCATCGTACAACTATGTGAGGCAGAAAAAATGAACATTCTCTTAAAAAACTCCAGACTTTTGAATTTCCAGTTTGATTTTTTATTTATTTTCGTTATACTCGAAGGTAGAACGCCTAGCTCATTTGTTATTTGAAATGACGTCACGAGTTCTATTTAGATACTGAATAATCATTTTACGGTAAATATCCAAGGCCATTACAATTGATATTTCGCTTCCCATCGCTTCCGCAGGGTGTTGAATATTTTAATACTTTTGTTTATATTTCAGTTTATTTTATCAAATATTTCTTTCAATAGATTGAAATACCTTTACCTAACCAAGCCACATGTGTCAGTATCATCTTTTATTGTTTATCAATCAATTGTGGTAGCTGGAAACTGGAAAGCCTCATGGTTGCCTAATGCAAGATTGTCTTATCAATATCATTATGTAGATTATAACATGAATTGTGATGTGGTAGGTACCTAGTTATGCATTGTTCATTAGTCATTACTTTGACTTACCTCTATGTTAATTGTTAATGCAAACTTTTCTGTTGGTATGTGAACTGTGAACAATCTTCATGTCACTCAATTCTCTCAAGTTGTGACCGTCATGAGCCGCCTTTATTTTGTATTCTGTATAATGTAACTGGATGCAGGGTTGTGCTCGACTCAAAAAAATTTGCCGACTCGACTCATCATTCAACTTCAGAATGCCCTGACTCAACTCTGACTCAAGCAAGGAGCTGGTTTTTTCCCTTGACTCGACTCATGACTCAAGCGGCTCAATGAAAATATGAGTTGACTCAAACTTGACTCAAATTTTTTGCTGAGTCAAATGTGTTGACTCAAAATTGACTCAGATAAAGTTGTTGAGCGGGGGGGGGGGTTAAAAAATCCGGCAGCAGGGCCAGGCCTAAGTTATTAAGCGGGGGGAGAATGAAAAACTTATACTATATATTGTTTCTAGAAAGTTGAGTCAGCTGACTCATGTTCCTAAATGTTTTTGACTCAACTCAATGTTAAAAGTTATTTTACTGACTCAACTCTGACTCAACTCAACACCTTAATATTTTTGTCCGACTCAACTCTGACTCAACTCAACAGCTCAACATTTTATCCGACTCGACTCAAATCTGACTCATTTGAGTCAGAGTTGAGTCAAATTTCTGACTCGACTCATGAGTCAAGCACAACCCTGACTGGATGCCTTTACTAATATGGCCTTTGTATAAGATTGTTTGTTTCTAACCATACTTTGGTATTCATAACTTCTTATGAAAGAAAGTTGTTACATTTTGAGCACATATGAGCTATGATCCCAATGGATCTCACGACAAAATTGGGGAGCCAGATCTATGATCCGAGTGGATCTAGCGACAAAATTGAAGGGTCAGATCTATGATCCCAGAAGATCTCTCGATAAAATTGAGTGGTTGGATCTATGATCTGAATGGATCTCGGATCGGGATCCATGGGATCGGATCTCAGATCCATTTTTCCGGATCCAAGCACATGTCTGAAACGCACCGCTACCTTCGTAGCACATCATATAAATGATTCATTCCAGGAGGCATGTAGGACGTAGGTATAGATCACTCCGGTCATTCCTAGATCAAACATGTGCCATTCGTTTGTCTATTTTCATCATAATCGTTATCTTGTCTGTCATCCGCCACTGACATTGTCCAGTCCTTGGTAGTGTCGTGAATGATCAATACATTTCCGGCTCGTGTTGTAGCAGCAGTGACAAGGCAGAAAAAGCAGCATCCAACGGTGAGGCGGTTGCTAGTCATTACCGTGATTCATACTGTCACAAAAACGTTCCTTTCACACCGTTGCACAATGGGACCGGAGCGAAAATTAGCGCGACATCGGTACTTTTTCGTATTTCGTGCCCGCTTTTCACATGAAAAGAATGGTAGAATCATAAAAATGGTAATCGGTGTACTTTCTAAGCAATTTCTGATTATTATAATTAATTAATCATTAATTAATTCATTAATTAATTGATTAATTAATCGGTTGACCTGCCCTGACCTCGACTCCGCTCGGTCACGTGATAAGACGGCAGCACCTGTCAGGCCAGGTCATGACGGCACCGGAAATTCCGATAAGCAAATAATGTAGCCACCAAAACCGTGAAGATGGGAATCTGATGGCCTACATGACTATATAACAAATTTATTACGGGTCAGAAAAGTGTATCAGAAACTCCGATAGAAGGTACGGATATGTCCGGACAAAACTTTAATATAGTTGGTACTTGGCAACCTTGTTCGATTCCTGAGGTTCTGTTACTCGCGGCTCCCGGCCGCGGCGACCTGGAGTAAAAAAATGCCCCTCATTTTCGCTGTCGCAGGCTGACGCAGCTAAATTATACATTTTCTGAAAGGCAATTGATTGGTAAACACCATATTGATAAAAGAACAGCGGGACCTAGCGGGACTTTTTATATCGGCATTCCAGAATATCTATAACAGTAAAATTAACTAACAATTTTTAAAGCACCAAAAAAACTTAACATTTGAAGCGTATCTATATATTCAGCTATGAGTTTTTTTTTTCTTCCATCGTGTAGCCCATGGTCTAACTCTAAACTATCAGGTTAGACGTCGAAAATATTGATAAAGCCGTCTAATAGATATATTTTTTACCTACATTAGCTGCTATTTTTCTCCGTACGAAAACGGGTCTACGATGCTTGGCACAAAACTTTGTGTTTGGGCTGATGTGGCGCGGACGCTGTACACTATGGACGAAAAATATTTGCAGATTCGTGGTCCATGGACATTTCTGAACTACGTGACACAGTTTAACTCAATTTGGGAAAGGTCGCCAAATCCACCAATGTCGCGCTAATTCCGGCCGCGGTCCTATCGTGCGTTGGCGTCCGACAGAAGACGTCTAAAATAAACCTAACCTACGGCCAACACAGCCGGACTTGAGAACCTACCTATATGGTAAATAAAC